TTAATAAAAATTGAGTTTTGTCCTGTTTTTGTTAAAAATGCAAGGCTAACCCCTTATCATTTTGAAATTTTGATAAAAATTGAGTTTCGTTCCGTTTCTGTTAAAAATGCAAGGCTAACCCTTACTGTTGAGATTTGTGATACAAAATTGAGTTTTGTCTTGTTTTTGTTAAAAATGCAAGGCTAACCCCTTATCATTTTGAATTTTGATAAAAATTGAGTTTTGTCCCATTTTTGTTAAAAATGCAAGGCTAACCCCTTATCATTTTGAATTTTGATAAAAATGGAGTTTTGTCCCATTTTTGTTAAAAAAGCAAGGCTAACCCCTTATCATTTTGAATTTTGATAAAAATTGAGTTTTGTCCTGTTTTAGTTAAAAATGCAAGGCTAACCCCCCTGATCATTTTGAAATTTTGATAAAAATTGAGTTTTGTCTTGTTTTTGTTAAAAATGCAAGGCTAGCCCCTTATCATTTTGAATTTTGATAAAAATTGAGTTTTGTCCCGTTTTAGTTAAAAATGCAAGGCTAACCCCTTACCGTTTTGAAATGTTGATAAAAATTTAGTTTTGTCCCATTTTTGTTAAAAATGCAAGGTTAACCCCGTATCATTTTGAAATTTTGATAAAAATTGAGTTTTGTCCTGTTTTTGTTAAAAATGCAAGGCTAACCCCTTATTGTTTTGAAATTTTGATAAAAATTGAGTTTTGTCCCGTTTTCGTTAAAAATGCAAGGCTAATCCCTTATCATTTTGAATTTTGATAAAAATTGGGTTTTGTCCTGTTTTTGTTAAAAATGCAAGGCTAACCCCTTACCGTTTTTGAAATGTTGATAAAAATTGGGTTTTGTCCTGTTTTTGTTAAAAATGCAAGGCTAACCCCTTATTGTTTTGAAATTTTGATAAAAATTGAGTTTTGTCCCGTTTTCGTTAAAAATGCAAGGCTAATCCCTTATCATTTTGAATTTTGATAAAAATTGGGTTTTGTCCTGTTTTTGTTAAAAATGCAAGGCTAACCCCTTACCGTTTTTGAAATGTTGATAAAAATTGGGTTTTGTCCTGTTTTTGTTAAAAATGCAAGGCTAACCCCTTATTGTTTTGAAATTTTGATAAAAATTGAGTTTTGTCCCGTTTTCGTTAAAAATGCAAGGCTAATCCCTTATCATTTTGAATTTTGATAAAAATTGGGTTTTGTCCTGTTTTTGTTAAAAATGCAAGGCTAACCCCTTATTGTTTTGAAATTTTGATAAAAATTGAGTTTTGTCCCGTTTTCGTTAAAAATGCAAGGCTAATCCCTTATTTTGAATTTTGATAAAAATTGGGTTTTGTCCTGTTTTTGTTAAAAATGCAAGGCTAAACCCTTATCATTTTTAATTTTGATAAAAATTGAGTTTTGTCCCGTTTTTGTTAAAAATGCAAGGCTAACCCCTTATCATTTTGAAATTTTGATAAAAATTGAGTTTTGTCCTGTTTTTGTTAAAAATGCAAGGCTAACCCCTTATCATTCTGAATTTTGATAAAAATTGATTTTTGTCCCATTTTTGTTAAAAATGCAAGGCTAACCCCTTACCGTTTTTGAAATGTTGATAAAAATTTAATTTTGTCCCGTTTTCGTTAAAAATGCAAGGCTAATCCCTTATCATTTTGAATTTTGATAAAAATTGGGTTTTGTCCCGTTTTTGTTAAAAATGCAAGGCTAAACCCTTATCATTTTGAATTTTGATAAAAATTGAGTTTTGTCCCGTTTTTGTTAAAAATGCAAGGCTAACCCCTTATCATTTTGAAATTTTGATAAAAATTTAGTTTTGTCCTGTTTTTGTTAAAAAAGCAAGGCTAACCCCTTATCATTTTGAATTTGGATAAAAATTGATTTTTGTCCCATTTTTGTTAAAAATGCAAGGCTAACCCCTTACCTTTTTGAAATTTTGATAAAAGTTGAGTTTTGTTCCGTTTCTGTTAAAAATGCAAGGCTAACCCCTAACCATTTAGAATTTTGATAAAAAATTGAGTTTTGTCCCGTTTTTATTAAAAATGCAAGGCTAACCCCTTTACCATTTTGAAATTTTGATAAAAAATTTAATTTTGTCGTGTTTTTGTTAAAAGAGCAAGGCTAACCCTTTACCGTTTTGAAATTTTGGTAAAAATTCGGTTTTTTTCCGATTCTGTTGAAAATGCAAGACTAATTCCATACCGTTTTGAAATTGTGATAAAAATTTAATTTTGTCCTGTTTTTGTCAAAAATGCAAGGCTACCCCCTTACAGTTTTGAAATTTGGATAAAAACGGAATTTTGTACTGTTTTGTTAAAAATGCAAGGCTTACCCCTTTAAGTTTTGAATTTGGATAAAAATAAAGTTTAGTCCTGTTTTTGGTAAAAATGACCTTGGAATGGCACATCTGTCTAGAAAACAATTGGGAACATGTTCAACTGTCCCTTCAATATCGTCCAAGGAAGTTCCAGGAAGTTTCATTTTTCAGCCGAAATTTGGACAAAATTGTAAGGGGTAAACCTTACATTATTAATGTAATTTCGCCCCAAAAAATGGCTTTTCTGCAAACAACTTAAACATGGTTTTTAATGCAAATGTACTTTAACCACAGATTTCAGATATGAAAAGAAACAAGTACAAAAAGTGACCATTCTTTGAAACTTATATCTTAGTAAATCATAAAAGAAGCTTTGGTCAGTTGTTGCCATAATTCGCAAACCATTTGTCTGCAATACAAACAAATCTTTTTGTAGTATTTCAGGTGAAACTTACAGTTTTAGAAATCCTTACAAATTAGTTTTACCATCAACCAAAGTAATAATAACAAAGTTAAAACAATAGGCCAATACAAGCCTAGAAAAGATGATGCCAGAATGCAAAAACATATCTGCAACTGATTTAGAATCCTACTGCACAATGAGCCAGATTCATACCGTTGCGAGGTAATCCTATACAATAGCACTGCCTGGCTTTCCACAAGCCAACCACCAGGCTAAGCCACAATGAGCCAGATTTAGCCCATTCATAGCGTTGCAGGGTAATCCTATACAATAGCACTGCCCAGCTTTCCACAAGCCAACCACCAGGCTCCAGTGAGGTACTGTAGTCCGGCCCTCGGGGACCAGCACAAAATCAACACAAAATGTTAAAAAAAAAATCCTCCATAAAACAATCAGTTCAATCCAATTCATCAATACATTAATTCTTACATCATATCTAATTCTGTACAGAAAAAAATGGCCTTAATTTATACAATAGTACATTACAATATCTGTAGTAAATAATGTCAGTATTTTATAATAGGCATAAATAGTACACTTGGTATTAAATAGACATACACGTACTTGGTTGTATTGAAATATGTATATGTAAGCTATATATTGCAAGTTTATACCCAAATTTTCCAGTCTTTTATATTGCAAGTAGGGCTCATCTCAATTCATATCTGGGACAAATTCCGGACAAGTTGCAGGTGGAATCATCCACTTTGTCTAGCAGAAGCTCTACATTTATCCCGGACATGTTCCGAGGAAATTGTCACTAGCGACTGTTTGACCCACCAATACTGATCACTTCATTGCGGGAAGATTGCGGGGAAGTTGATCAGATTACTGCAACTTATACCTGATATAACGTCCGCAACTTGTCTGGAAACCGTGCCGGGTATGAATCGAGACCGGCCCTTATTTAGAAACTGTTCTGTACACTGAAATTGGAAGAAGAAAAAAATCCAAAAATTAGTTAGTGTTGGGCAATGCTAGTTGCTTGGCATGTATGCAAGAATCATTTCAGATGGCCATAGCTCGCAAGTTAAGCCTCGCTTGCATCTCAACCGTGCAAGGGGAAAAAACCCACAGTACTGGGCCCACGATACAAATATTGCTTGGAACATTTATCCACTAAACAGAAATGAGCTGGGAACCAGTGACAAAGTGCATACTTTGCATGACATTTTGCCTGGTAACCTGTTCTTGCTAAGCCAATAGTTTCTGAGCTTACCAGATTTTTGTGCCGAGAAGCTCCAGGAACTTGGCCTCAATATAGCAACTGTCTTAATAACTTAACTACATGTACTGGTAAATACAAACACCTTTACAAGGCAAAACTGAAAAATTCCTGTAAAAAAAGCATGAACACAAACAAAGAATGAGCTTAGAAATGCTATAAAATAAAAAAAGAGTACTCATCACATTTGGCAATACATGTTTATCGATTATAGTACTTATATTCTTTCAAATCGGTCGCCTCAGAATAACATTTTCAAATAATATTTTCTTTCGCAAGAAAATGTTATTATTAAAATAGTACTTTGCAACGTCGAAAAAAGTCTATTCTATTGATCATGAAGTTTAAAAAAAAAAAAAAAAAGTACTTGTTTGACACAAAACGATGAAATTAATCACTGATACACGCAAGATCAACGAAAAGAAATTCACAGTCAAAGAAATAAAAAAAAAAAATATATACAGTTTCCATTATGGACTAAAGGCGACTATACTCGTCATAAAAAAATTGTCAATTTCAAATTCACGTACTGACTGTCCTTTTTTGTCAAATATGGAGTCATATATTATGCACAGAACTGGAATTCATTGAGTATGTACAAAATAACACGTACTGTTGGTAAAAAACACTTCATAGATAAACCTCAATATTGTACAGAATTATTCTTCTTTAGATTCTTGTGTTTTGTTGACCAATTTGGCGAAAGCAGTACTCACAAATTCAATCTTTTGGTCTGATAATTAAAAAGTAGAACAAAAAATCCCCAAATGGAACAACTACGATTTCAGTACAGTTCAAAATGTTTACATACTCCCAAATTCAAAACAAACAATCAGAAATGTTCACCGCTGTCCGCCATTTTTGCCCAGTTCATAAATTTGTTCTGAACTTTTTTGCAGTCCCAAAAATCAGGCCTAGTCAATTTTTGAAATATTGGCCTCATGTGTGACTGAGGCTTTGTCGCGGCTCCACAGTCATTTGAACCATTCACGTCGCAAACAAATCAAAAATAGTCGACACAGCCAAGAGGCACGGCAACCAATAATATATCACAAGCGTGAGGCTGTTGCCTGTCCTCATACACCTATGTTATGTGGTCAGGTCCGTCGCCAGTCTACTCCATTTCCAGCTGGGTCTAGTTCCCAGACTCCCCTCAGTCCTTCTCCTTGATATACTTAATGAGTCTTTCCATCAGCAGTGCCAGGGCCATGTCTAGTGGATCCATTGCCCCACGCTGCATCCATTTTGGGATGGTAACCCGGGCGTGTGAGAAGCCCAACTTCTGCAGGATGTAGTCTACGCCAAGAGGCTCGATCTGCTTGCCTCCCCAAGACAACAGCCTGAAAAAGCAAAAAAGAATTCATTTTAACTTCAACCCAAGGCCAAGTTCGCGCAAGGACTATTGTTGACCAATGGTTAACCACAGTTCGACTAACGCTTGCCCGAACTCTGTCTAGTCGACGGTGGTTGACTACGCTAGTCGACTATTTGGAACCAGCCTACTGGGGTTGGTTGCTTCGCTGGTAACCAATAGCCGCGCGCATTCATAACGCTAGCAGAGAGCCAGGATCCAGAAGTTTTGCGATGACATTTTGACCAGCGTTTGACTAGAGACGTTCGCACGTTGCTATCAGTGCGCAGGCGTAAGGTACGTCACAAATCAACCACTAGTCGACTAATGGTCCTTGCCCGAACTTAGCCCCAGTTGGAGGTGTTCGCATGTTGCTATTAGTGCGCAGCTGTAAGTTACAACACGAATCAACAACTAGTCGACTTATGGCCTTCACCTGTAGGAACTCTGTGAAACCGAGCTCAGTTTTGGCTTCTTACTAAACTACAGAACGACATCTTATGTACCTAATGGTCGGCTCCAACTGCCAGGTGATGCACTGGAACTCCCTCCAATCGCTAGCGCCGCTAGACGGCGTGACCTCACTGGTACCCGTGCTAGCCGGTTCAGGTAGCTGCAAGACATCCGGTTCCGTTGGGGCTTTCATCGGTGGTCGGCTGGAAACCGAGTTACGGTGGGACTGGGGAGCTAAGAAATTAGGGTTGGGGGATAAAAATTGATCAATGTCATTTCTGTATTGATAGTCTCTAGGTGATCACACAGAGAAAGGGTACTATGATTGTGACAAGTTTCAAGTCTCTTGGTTTTTCACACAGAGAAAGGGTACTATGAATGTGACAAGTTTCAAGTCTCTTGGTTTTTCACACAGAGAAAGGGTACTATGAATGTGACAAGTTCCAAGTCTCTTGGTTTTTCACACAGAGAAAGGGTACTATGAATGTGACAAGTTTCAAGTCCCTTGGTTTTTCACAAAGAGAAAGGGGACTATGAATGTGACAAGTTTCAAGTCTCTTGGTTTTTCACACAGAGAAAGGGTACTATGAATGTGACAAGTTTCAAGTCTCTTGGTTTTTCACACAGAGAAAGGGTACTATGAATGTGACAAGTTTCAAGTCTCTTGGTTTTTCACACAGAGAAAGGGTACTATGATTGTGACACGTTTCAAGTCTCTTGGTTTTTCACACAGAGAAAGGGTACTATGATTGTGACAAGTTTCAAGTCTCTTGGTTTTTCACACGGAGAAAGGGTACTATGAATGTGACAAGTTTCAAGTCCCTTGGTTTTTCACAAAGAGAAAGGGGACTATGAATGTGACAAGTTTCAAGTCTCTTGGTTTTTCACACAGAGAAAGGGTACTATGAATGTGACAAGTTTCAAGTCTCTTGGTTTTTCACACAGAGAAAGGGTACTATGAATGTGACAAGTTTCAAGTCTCTTGGTTTTTCACACAGGGAAAGGGTACTATGAATGTGACAAGTTTCAAGTCTCTTGGTTTTTCACACAGAGAAAGGGTACTATGAATGTGACAAGTTTCAAGTCTCTTGGTTTTTCACACAGAGAAAGGGTACTATGAATGTGACAAGTTTCAAGTCTCTTGGTTTTTCACACAGAGAAAGGGTACTATGAATGTGACAAGTTTCAAGTCCCTTGGTTTTTTCACACAGAGAAAGGGTACTATGAATGTGACAAGTTTCAAGTCTCTAGGTGATCACATGGTGAAATCTTTGAGGTTTGCGTGTCCAACCTTTGTCTTTGTAGCTGATGTAGGCCGTGACAAACGCATGCAGGAAGAGAATGAGCTCAATATCCATGGCAACGTTGATATGATCGGTGAAATGAGTGACAAAACTCACAGTCACTGCCTGGGGTGGACCTAAAAAGAAGAGAAAAAAAATAATAATATTCAACATAGAAAAATAAATTGCAGGTGTTGACTTTCCGAGCACCGTTAATTTTGTTGTGACACTACAAAGTTGATACTTTAATTTTTTTATACTAAAAGTTATTGTTTAAAATGTAAGCATATAGTTGAACTGTTTTCAAAAAAAGATACAGACTGTACATGTATGAAGTATTAAAAGTCGGTGTTTAAAGGCGTTGAGGATCGTTTGCTTTTCATGCATTTTGTTTGTTTCCAATAAAAGCACCACTCATAAATCCAAAGAAGAACGTTCAAAACCTAACCGGTCAAATTTTGAATTCGGTGGGTGATACACTTTTCGTGAAAACAGTGAAAAAGCAACCACAACCTTTTGATCACGAAACATGCTTTTGTCAAAAACACTCTTCATTAAAAAAAATCAGTCAATTGAGTGATCGTTGGAAATCACCCGCATTTCTTGATTTTATTATTATTAATATTATTATTATTATTAATCATTTTTGGTAATGAAACCAAGGATTCCTCAAAAGCGCCCTAGGCACTGTAGCTCGCAAGCCTGAACAAACCTGTGGAGAGAAAACAATGAGAAGAAATTACAGTTTTAGAGGTGGGAGGAAAAGCCCAGAAGAATATTCTGAGGAAAACCCACGGAATCAGGCAGGGACTGAAAACCCAATCCACATATTGGCCCAGGCGGGATTCGAACCCGGGTCACAGCGGTGGAAGGCGAGGAAAGTACCGCTACGCCAACCTGATTTCCTCTATATGACAGCAAGCCAGATGGAATAATTTCACGAGGTGTTTAGTACCAGTACGATCTTTAATCCAAGTAAGCTTTTTGATAATAATTTGGTATGTAACTATGCCTTTAATACATCGACTCGAGCTTTGAGACTTAACACTCTTGACTTGACACAAGACTACACCACTACCCAGAGCCACACAGTGACTGTTACCATTGAGTGCCGGGCTGTGCGTGGACTGCATGTGGTTAGACTTCATCTCCAGCTGTAATTTGGGCAGAGCAAAGATTGGCTCGGCGGTGTGTCTGAACGTCTCCTTGGAGCTGTAGGCAGGCATGCTGCTTGACGTCAGAACATGCTCAAACTCTGCAACACAAAAAAACAAAATCTTTCAATAAAAACATATTTATGAACATAAGTGTCTCTACAACTTTGACTACAGATTTTTCAGGTAGCAGAAAGTTTTACCCCAAAAAAGACCATGTCATTTATGGGCAAGTTCAAGCAAGAACTATTATTGACCATTGGTTAACCGTAGTTCGACTAAAGTTAGCCCGAACTCTGTCTAGTCGACGGTGGTTGACTGCGCTAGTCGACTATTTGGAACCAACCTACTGCGGCTGGTTGCATGGCTGGTAACCAATTGCCGCGTGCATTCGTAACATACAGCAGGGAGCCAGGATCCAGAAGTTTTGCGATGACACTTTGACCAGCGTTTGACTAGAGACGTTCACACGTTGCTATTAGTCCTTGCCCGAACTTGGCCTATGATGTTATACTTGTCAGTTGCCATAAGGCAGAACACAAAACTGACGTACTATTCGCAAACTTTTCTTATGGGCTCCGTGCACAAGTATACCCACAACGATACGATAGGGAGAGTTGGGGGGGACTACTAGTAGAAACATTTGAATGCATTGCCGACAACGCTGGATCCTCAAGTAATGACGCCATGGCTTTGTGTGTACTTTGCGCTACACGCACGGGAGCCAGTGCGAACACGTGCTGTATTCTGTTCCCTGGGCTTTTGATGGTGGTAATAAAAACAACCTGTAATGTTGGGTAGGTGGTTGCTTTTCATAATCACTCTGCATGCAGAATTTATAAAATCGTCATGTCCGATGTAACAGGGCGGGAAAAAAAGGGACCCCAAATTTATAGAATGACCAATATTGCAAGGGTTACACATGCAAAAAATAATACAATAGATTATTATTTCCCACTGAAAGTCTCTTTTTTCTGTTGAAAGTTGATCAAAATTTACCATTTTGTATAAGGGCCCGTTTAAATTCAAATCAGGGACGAGTTCCAAACAAGTTCAGGACATTGTATCGGGCATGAGTTGCAGGATACTGAACATCTTCCCCGCAATCTTCCCGCAATTGAAGTTATCAGTATTAGCGAGTCAAGCATTTGCTAATGAAAATTTTCCCCGAACATGTCCGGGACAAATGCAGAGCTTCTTGCTGACAAAGTGAATAATTCTAGCCGCATTGTGTCCAGAACACATCCCGGATATGAATTGAGACGGCCGTAAACATGTCTAACATGGTTTTTACCTTTTCAAATTACTTAAAAAAAATATCCTGCTTTGATGGGTTTCTGATATTATGGGTGGAACCATTGTAAACCATATTTAACAGTACTTCGGACACTTGTCAATGTAATTCTACAACCAATTCTGTGCTGTCAGAAATCTATTACAACTGGAGAAATGAAAACAAATTGATTATAATTGAAACAGCCAACTCTACCTTCGGGCGCCCGGATGGCGCAGACGTAGTGGAAGCACTGGTCAATGGTTCCGTTGGTTGGGAAGTGATGTCTCTCGGTCCGTGTGACCCGGTAGATGACCCCCATCGACCCTTCACCCCTCTCTGTCTGGTTGTGACCCAGACTGAAGACCAGGTCCTCAATGATGTTGGTGCCACCTTCGCCTGCGATGAGAATTTTTGCGGGAAAATGTGGTTTTAAAGGCACAGAATGTTTGTATTTATTCCCATTTGAAGTAACTCACCAAATTATCGAACAAGCTTACTTAGATCATACTGGTTCTAAACATCGCATGAAATTATTCCGTCCGGCTTGCTGTCATTTAGAAGAAATCAAGAAATGTAGGTGATTTCCAACGATCAGTCAATAGACCGATTTATTTGTGGATATAAAAAATGCTCTAGAAGAAATCGTGTTTCGTGATCACAAGGTTCGTATGGTTTGTCAATGTTTTCTCAAAAACGTGTCACATCCACTGAGCCAAAACTGCAACAGGTTAGGTTTTAAACAATCTTCTTTGGATTTTGAGTGGTGCTTATGGAAAATGTATATATCCTTTATGCCTTTAATAGTTCAGGTTTTTACCATTTTGTTCTCAATTTTTTGTTAGTATTTTTTTGTCCACCAATGCATTTCTTGGAAAGTGTTAGCTTTTGTGATTCAAGTTTATTGTTTAATTCCTTTATTTCCAAGGAGGTACAATTACACACAATATTATATTCACTTGATTCACAATTGGTCTTCAATGGAAGTCTTTTCTGGTGTGTGGTCTACACAATTGCCAAATTAGCCCATTCATTGGTGTTAGGGGGTAATCCTATACAATAGCACTGCCCAGTTCTCTTCACCAGTCTAAGTGACAGTCAGTTAGGCTGGCCCTTTGGGACTGGCACAAATATGAATCCAGACACTCAGAGGGTGTGGCCTAGTGGTTAGGGTTCGTCACTCATGATCAGAGGGCCAGGGGTTCGAATCCAGCTGCTGGTCATATGTTGTGTCCTTGGGCAAGCCACTTCATCCTCACTTGCCTCTCTCCACCCAGGAGTATAAATGTGATGCGATCAAGCTACATGAGTCGTTTGTGGACCCTGGTCACAAAGAAATTTGATACAGATTTCAAAAGAGCACAATCACAGCATTACTGCTATGAAAACCGCATGCTGATACCATCTTTAGTTCAAAAATTATGGAAGTCGGAACACCAAGAGATGTGATGAAATGATGTGATGAAGTGGCCCTATTTTGGCCTGTATCTCCACATACAAATTCCCGACAAACGACTCATTTAGCTTGATCACATCACAAATGGGTACCGGCATTAGCTGGGGAGTAACCTGCAATGGACTGGCATCCCATCCAGGGGGAATAGAAATATTGTTTCATGACAAGGAAAACGGAGATGAACGCTGGCCTGATGGGCTACACTGGCTCGACAGACTGAACTACGAAACTTCAATACACAGCGTGAAAAAATGGCAAACAGAGGTGAAGGGGTAACTCACCATCGCTCCTACTGGGCCTGATGGGTACGGCTTCAGTCTCAAAGTGCAACTCCGGCTCCTGCAGGGTGAAGAGAGCCCAGGAACTGGCCCTGAAGTTGATCCCATGGAAGCATGCCAGCAAGGCCCGATTGCCGCTCAGTAAGACGTGCCCACCAAGGGTTAGGTTCCCAGTGTGCCACTGTGGGGGGAGGAGCTTGCTGTTGGAGCGACAACTACGGAGGAGGGCAAAGACTGGCTGCCAGTGACGGTGGTAGTTCCTCTCCGCTGAAAAACACAAGTCAGTTTGAAGATTAAAGCCAGAGTCCATCATTTGTAGCTATCCAAAAAGTAACTGGCATAATTATTGTTGAAAAACATACTTGGTTGAGAGATAGTTAGGGGACTAAACTCCCTGTGAAATTATTCTTTCTGGCAAGCTGTCATTTTGAAGAAATCAACAAAAGAAGACCTTTCCAACGGTGCTTCTTAAGAAGCACCGTAGGAAATTCAAATTAGTAGTTCGTTTTGTTATTCGGCGAAACGCGCGCCAGCATTGGCCCGCGCGTGGTTGCTATAATTCGTCGGATCAGTGCGCAATATCACGTAGCTGCAATCGGCTCAGTGAGAACATGTCTCAGACGCTGAATTCAGGCCCAATTCAAAACATGATTCAGCAACTTTTGATTTGAATTGAGATCCTAGAATGTTGCTTTTCTCGAAATTTACAGCTAAAGCTGAGCTGAAACTTCATCAGGTTAGTTGTTCAGCACCCTTCTTTATATCTTGAGCACTTTTGTTGCTTCAAACGAACAAAATGCGCAAATTACAAATGATGGACTATACCTTTAAAGGCATAAAGAATCAATTGCTTTAATATGCATTTTGTTCATTTCCAAAAACACCATCACTTTGTGAGGAAAAAAAAAAGATTTATGATTCAATTGTGATGGAATTTTGATTGACTTATGATTGACTTGTGATGGACTTGTGATGAAGTTGTGATTGTCTTACGATTGACTTGTAACTAACTAGTGAATTAACAATAGTCAACTTGTGATTGACTTATGATTGCCCTGTGATCGACTTGTGATTAGCTTATGATTAGCTTATGATTAGACTGGCGACTGACTCCGATCCATCTGAGATAAAAAAAAACTGCACTCACCCTGCACCGTGAGTCTCTCCAAACTCCGCGTGCTGCTGCTCTCACTGCCTGTCCGCGTCCCCCCACTAGAGGGCCGACTGCTAGCCACGCCCCCTAGCTGCCACGACGCCAACATGCGCTTACTGCTCTGGAACTGCTGGCTGAAGAACTCCTCAAGACGAGACGTCATCTTGATGAGGTCTGGGGTGCTGGAGCGAGACAGCATGAGCTGGAACGTGTCCCACTCTAACTGGCCGTCTAGATAGACTGATGACGATCTGATCGAGGGAACCGTGGAGAGCAGGGAACCAGTTTTATTACACCTCGTACATATTCAATCAGTCACGCTTCTTTCATTGGTCAACAAACCCTTCTCAGGGTACGCCAGTACAGTAGGTAGTACTAACATTATAATGCATAGCTGCCAACTATTACGAATTTTTCGTAATTATTACGAATTGTTTGTTAAATTACGAAACTACGAAATGCCACAAAAATATGCAAATTTCCCATTCTCTACCTAATAGAGAAAAAACTTGTAAGGTATCGTTTTTGCCTGGTGACAAGTCTAATAAGCAATGCGGTCAAGCACCTGATAGACATGAATGTGGTGTGCGCAGTGGAATACTTGAGGACCAGACTAAACATATTTTTCAATGGTGTGTCATTTTGTGTGCACCTTGTGGATGTATTGTGTATGTGTAAATCAGTGCGAGATTTTTGATCATTTTAAGAGAATGGTTGGAAGAATTGGTAATAGAGTTTGAGGTGTTTGTACGTTTTTGGAACAGAAACAGAGTTTATCACAACGTCCAGAAAAGATAAATCAGCAACGTTTGCAAGGTATGTTGGCGGGATATTTCTATTGCATACGGTGGCCCTAAAAATAATGATGATAATGTGTGTAAAAACAACATCGATATAGCATGCATCTCAGAAAAATATGCGCACATTATTATTATTGTTATTATTTATTTGACTTCAACGAACAAATATGGACAGTAAGACACAATTAATTAAAAAAATTATTAATATTTTTTTATAATTCTAAATTAAAAAAAAAAATTATCCTATGGCCTACAGTATATTATTCATCACAACAAGAAGGGTTTGCACATGTATATATACATGTAAACCATGTACCTGTACCTATACTCGACGTTGGTAAAGCTGGTACATACACTGTTAATATGCGCGCAGTTGAAAGTGACCGCGCGGGTTGATTACTAATTTGGATTTTGAAATGTTGGCAGCTATGATAACGCTATCCATGAATTGTTATTCTTGGTGGGGTTAGGTGGGGGTAAGGGTTGGAGAGGCATGGATGGGGTTGGGATGGGGTTGGGGGTAAGGGTGGGGGTTAGAGTAGGCGTGACAGTAGGGGCGGAGAGGATACCCACCTGCTATGGCTAGTATTTGCTCCCGTCATCTCGGCCAGTTTCCATTCATCACTCAGTTTGACCTGGACTTTATCCAGTCTCTGCATGATGATACTGGATCCCATGTAGTCCATACGCACCGTCAGTAGCCCCAGGCCGGCGCCCAGCTTGTGACTTGGGGCGTGGGACGGCTGCTGGGAGTGATTCACTAGAATCAACAAAAAAAGTTCAACGTTAAAAAGTCCTACTTATAAAGTCAAATTTATTCATTGTAGTCAAGTCCGACATAAGTCAAATCTTGCATGACAAAAACTTGCATCTGGAAGATGAAAGATGTTGGTCTCAAAATGAGCTGTGACTTGTTACAGTACCTGCAATTCGGGCGATTCACAATGCAGTGCGCCACCAAGAGTTTGCCACGGAGAGTCTATTTTTCAAGTTTATGGTCGACAAAACATGTCCCATTTGAATGAGTGTCAGTAGACAACTTGAGCTAATTTGTTGTAGATTGGGGCATAGCGTTCTGACGCCTTACAAAACACACCATATTGATAAAAAGCAAAGAAAAGGCCAAAAAGATACTCGAATCATACGCCTACGAAACTACTGACCGGAAAAACTGCGAATTTGTCGACCATCTCCCACAATGCACTGGAAAAATGAACTCTCCGTGGCAAACTCTTGGTGGCGCACTTCATTGTGAATCGCCCGAATTTGAAGGCACATAGGATCATTTGAATTGAACCAAAAAGTAACCAACCAAATTATTATCAAAAAGCCGACTTGGATTAAAGATCGTACTGGTACTAAACAGCCCGTGAAATCATTCCCTCTGGCTTGCTGTCATTATGAAGAAATCAAGATATGTAGGCGATTTTAAACGATCAGTCAATTGACTAGTATTTTGAAATAAAGAGTTATATAGACAAAATCTTGTTTCGTGATCAAAAGGTTGTGCAAGGTTTTTTTTCACTTCAACAGGTTAGGTTTTGAACATTCCTCTTTAGATTTTGAGCGGTGTAATCATTGGAAAGGAACAAAATGCATGAAGAGCAAAGGGCAGCTTGGGTGGCACAGGGACAAGTGAGTTTAACCTCGGAGCCGCATGACCAAAAACTTTACGCAGAGTAACCACATGGAGAATTTTATCACCACACGTGTTTCTAGGTCAATAACCCCCTCATGCACAAGATATAGGCAGGTCACATGGCCTTTGTGTGGGCCAGGATTGTTTACGACCTGTCTGAGCTCTGGGCGGCAAGAGGGGTTGACACAGAGAGATCGGCGGCACAAAGGGGTTGGCCACTAAGATCTCCAATTACTGCACAAAGGCATTAGGCGCCTCTTGGGGCTGCTGTCTTTCAACACTCCTTACTCTGCAGTGGTTAGGGTCTGGCCAATGGGAGTCTACAGGCTTGTGGTGTATACCAGGGGTGAGGATTACATGGAATCTTGGCCTAATTGGCCCATTAAAAAAAAAGTTATGACCATATTTGGTAACATGTGGAGAATTTTATCACCGCGTGGCTTCTCCGAGGCAAATGACCGCGAGTCACTCACGTGTTCCGCTGAGTTGCTCAATGGCCACTTGTCCACCAATCACGCCTCCCTTGGCATCCAAGGTACTCTGCCTTAAACTGGTGCACATCTGTATCTCTTTACGACCGACGCTGTCGATGGACACCCAGCCCTGGGTCCGCAGATCCGTGGTTGACCAACTGACAAAAGAAACCTCCAAAATTAAAGACAAGCTTTAACAAAAATTCTGCAGGCTCTCTGCAAAACTTGGCCATGAAGGATGCATAAAGATGATAGCCCAGTCCTGAATCCTCCAATTTTAATATGATTTTGCACATTACTAGGGAGTTAGGGTTAATATTTTCAGCTCATGTTTAATAATAAGAATTAACTGAAATATGGAATTTGAAATTAAACTTACACTGTGCTGCCCATGACGTTACTCATATTCATATGGATGTCCAACTTCGTGAAGTTGACTCCGACGCGCACGCTGGTGTGCCACGTGGGTCCTCCCTTGACCGTACCCCCGGCTGAGCTGCTAGTGCCACTGCCGCTACCGCTGTGGTGGAAGGAGTCCGTGGGTAAGCCACCCACGACGGTGTCTGGCTTGTCCTGGTGGGGCTCCTTGGTCAGCTTGTGCTTCAGGCCTGGGTCCGAAACCAAACATAACACCATTAAAACCTACGAGTCTACAACATTGCAAAACCTTTCAACTTTCTTCACTGTTGGCATCAAATCGCAGCAAGTCGGCTATGTTTCTGTCGACTGTAAACTTGAAACATGGAATCTCCGTAGCAACCTGTTGGTGGCTCACAGTATTGTGAATCGCCCGTATTCAAACCTTAATTAACAACCATCACCGAATCACTGTAAATTTATAATAATAATAATAATAATAATAATTTGGGGAGCTAATCATCCTTACTCGCAGCTGGTATGCTGAATTGTGAAGGACGCGGCTACAACGTGGTCGGGCTGCTGGCACAGAAAGGCGCCTCTGGCTGCCGGCCACATCGACCCATATATGACCACGGAGCACAGCCTGAGATCGAAAGTGTTTTGTAACCAGGTCGGGTTGCAGTACTTACTTTTCCCCGACTGGTTCCTTACTCCAGCATTATTTCATACCAAACTTTTGTAACTTCGTGTTTGTGTAGATTTACATGTGAGCAGCCATTGTGATCATGCTTTTTGCCTAGCGCCCTCTCGCGGCCAACTAAACTTTTTTTAACAGCGCGTGCCGCCTAGAATTTGGCTCAACTATGCGATGGGCGTAGCGAGCGTGCAAGTTTTGCATTCCAACGCGCTTTGTTTAAGCGGAATAGTTGACATTCCGGGCGTTTCGGTATAGTTTTCTTGTAGGGCCTGCTGCGGAATATTGTTGATTTCGATCCAACATTTTGTTGCGAGCAGACCATCTATTACGAGCGCTTACACTCTTCACTTGTATTACAATTTTGAGGGAGGCTCCCTATACTAGCAGTAAAATATTTACATCTACATTGTATTTTCACTGCTGATCGTCGATTTTCACATCGGAGTAGGCATGAACGTAGATCTTCCCAAGTGGTGAGTAAATCCTTTGTCTGATATTTCACATTTTTATGCCTGAAACATTTTTATGCCTCAAACATTTTTATGCCTAAAAATCTTTTTATGCCATCATGTATGAAACATTCTGGTCTTTTGTATGTTGGTTGATTGCCAGAATTAAAGGCCGTCAAAACGGACACGGCCGGAAATCTGCCTTGCGATCACGACGGATTATTAACTTTTGAAACAAATCTGTCGTCGTGATTTGCAAGTATTTTTGAGAATGATTTTAATGATTCTCTATTTAATTCTTGCATGAGATGGCAAAAAGGATTTTTTGTTGACTTTATTTTATACTTTAAACATTTCGGGTAAACACCGTCCATTTATTTTAACACAATCTCTTACTATTTTAATATTTTTCGGCATTTCGGAAAACAATGTTATTAAGTACTTTATTTTTGTGAACTTCAAATTTTCCTTTTGAAACAAACACAAATTGGAACTTATAAGCAACACATGTACGCTAACTTCAACTTAAATTTTAGTGTTGCTATAATATTTACGTTCTCATTTATCATTTGAAATAGACTTTTCCCATTTCCCCAAAACTATCAGTTTTCTATTGCTATGATCATTCGTGAATTTGTTATTAGGGCATGGTATTATATTCTGATTTCATTTTATAACATAACTTGGCGAATAATTCATTTCTATTTTTCGGATTTAAAATTACATTATATGTACATAAAATATCCATATTCTTGCATAATTGCCATTTAAATAATTCTCCATTTGGGCAACAGTCATTTTATGCCACAGTAATTCCCATAATTCATTAGACATTTATTGTTTTTATGCATTTCAGATTAATATCCTTGGAGCTACTTCATTAGCCATTTCCCTTTTGACTGTCGTTTTTATATACCCAACCAAGTTTCTAATATAATTCTTGTGTAAATATCTAATAATTTGTATATATTGTCTCTATTTGTATTATAAATAAAACCATTTCATATTTGTGAGACTACAGAAAGTTCGCTCTTCCCAAATCATTTTTTAGTGGAACCACTCGGACATAAGGAGAGTGCCCCATTTTAACAAACTAAATTCCACTCTCCCCGGTTACACTTGGCGTAGTCGGCAGGATAGCTTTGCTATCCACTTCTTTATTTTAGATTTGGGAGCGAAATTGGATAAATTAAATCAGGGCTAAACGGCAGTCAAATATATAGGGAATTCGCCTGGCACTGATGAGACCGGGAGCTCTGTGGCGTCGTTCTGCTCATGACGATTGGGTACCAGACCAGGTAGACTAAGGAGGGGTGTACCGGCCCAGGTTCCTGCCGCCTTCCTTCCTTGGTGCCATCTTGAAAGAAGAACTGCCAGCTGAGAACCACTGACTGACCTCCAGAGTGAGCTGCAGGAGTGTGTCATCTGCTGCCATTAGACGCCACTGAACTGTCTTCTTTTGGCAAAATCCAAAAACAGAACTCCTTCCATCTTGGTGGCCGTCCATCGATCTGACAGCGACGATTGGTCTCTGGAGCGGGCTGTAGGAGCTTCATTTTCATATTTTTGCTGGTGGTGGTTATATTTCTTGCTTGTTGTGATTCATTGCATTATTATTGTTCTCTAAAAATCTAGAAAAAAGACTAAGAACACAACGAAATTTTACCTGTGAAACACATATTGTGCCTGCTTATACACACTGTAGCGTAGAGATGGACGGATCCAAAGCTTTTTTATTTTTAGTATTTTAATTGTTATTTCAATATGCACTGCTCCTTTATAGCTCAATATTCTTCCTCTCATAGTAATGGTTGTATTTATTTCAACATTACCTTTTTGGCTTATTGAGGAAGTGCTTGGAATTCTTGATATTTTTAATGGAGCTCTGTTACAATGATTCTTGTTGAACATTTTTAACGCCCTTGAGGCAGTTGTCTTTTCTTTTATATTTTTCTGTGCATGCAGATTTGGGACATACTTCCACTTGGGTGACTACGTTCATGCCATCCATCCCTTCTTCCACCCCGTGATTCACTTTTCATTTTAGTTGCACGTGATTCAACCGTGCTTGGGTATTATATAGTGGATATTATAGGTGCACTGCAGCTGCTAGACGCTAAAGCGTGCATATTAGGTTGTCGTGGCTTGACTGCGTACGCGCGTCTTCAGCTAAACCCTAACATTTTTGTACATGTTTTTACCTTTTTTATCGTCCCATTGCCAGTATACTGATTCTTTTTGTAGCAATATATTTAAATCATAGCTGCAGAAAAAAAACTATTTTGCAAATGATTTAATTAGCGCTTTAGGCGAATAAACCTTTTACATCTTTAATCTATGATAAATCTTCAATGCAGACGCCATATCTTTTATTTCACATTGTACATGTAGATTCCACTATATCTGTATTGATAGTAAAGCCAGTATTTGGTAAATTTTATTCTCTCATTATCCTAATTTCGTTTTAACCACTGTTGGGATTAGCTAACCCAACTAGGATAAATAGACATGTTTAGGTTGGGGTTGAAAGACACCCTGTAAATAGATGTTGAGGATTTTGTTTTTTAAAATACATTAAGTGTAGCCAGATACTAGGGTTTTTATAGTAAGATTAGTGTAGTATGATTATATATTGAGAATTAGGTTATTGGGTCCATTGGAGGATAATCTCTATTTCTCTAGCGACATGCTAGAGGTGGACCATATTTTTGCCATTTTTCTCTATCCCGTCATTCAACACTATCTTGCAATTTTAATTAATACTGATATGGTGGATGTTTTTTAGGGATTTTTTATTTGTAGAAACTCATAGCCAAATCTTCATTTTTTTACGCGGACTTTCATATGTCTAATTATGGCCAAATTGGGAGTTTTAGATTTAAGGTCCATAATGAGGTAATCTCTAATTCACTAGTCAAATACTAGTGGTGGACAATCTTTTATCGCGCTCTCGACCATTTGAACATATTATTATTGTCCAAGTTTATTTCGAGGAGCTGGTGTAGTAGTTTTTATAAATAGGATATTCCTTTTAACATGTTTAATCGTTAGTTACTTTGAAATTCCCTTCTATAAAAATTCTTTTTTCTATAAAATTAGGGGGTGAGTGTAACCAGGTCGGGTTGCAGTACTTACTTTTCCCCGACTGGTTCCTTACTCCAGCATTATTTCATACCAAACTTTTGTAACTTCGTGTTTGTGTAGATTTACATGTGAGCAGCCATTGTGATCATGCTTTTTGCCTAGCGCCCTCTCGCGGCCAACTAAACTTTTTTTAACAGCGCGTGCCGCCTAGAATTTGGCTCAACTATGCGATGGGCGTAGCGAGCGTGCAAGTTTTGCATTCCAACGCGCTTTGTTTAAGCGGAATAGTTGACATTCCGGGCGTTTCGGTATAGTTTTCTTGTAGGGCCTGCTGCGGAATATTGTTGATTTCGATCCAACATTTTGTTGCGAGCAGACCATCTATTACGAGCGCTTACACTCTTCACTTGTATTACAATTTTGAGGGAGGCTCCCTATACTAGCAGTAAAATATTTACATCTACATTGTATTTTCACTGCTGATCGTCGATTTTCACATCGGAGTAGGCATGAACGTAGATCTTCCCAAGTGGTGAGTAAATCCTTTGTCTGATATTTCACATTTTTATGCCTGAAACATTTTTATGCCTCAAACATTTTTATGCCTAAAAATCTTTTTATGCCATCATGTATGAAACATTCTGGTCTTTTGTATGTTGGTTGATTGCCAGAATTAAAGGCCGTCAAAACGGACACGGCCGGAAATCTGCCTTGCGATCACGACGGATTATTAACTTTTGAAACAAATCTGTCGTCGTGATTTGCAAGTATTTTTGAGAATGATTTTAATGATTCTCTATTTAATTCTTGCATGAGATGGCAAAAAGGATTTTTTGTTGACTTTATTTTATACTTTAAACATTTCGGGTAAACACCGTCCATTTATTTTAACACAATCTCTTACTATTTTAATATTTTTCGGCATTTCGGAAAACAATGTTATTAAGTACTTTATTTTTGTGAACTTCAAATTTTCCTTTTGAAACAAACACAAATTGGAACTTATAAGCAACACATGTACGCTAACTTCAACTTAAATTTTAGTGTTGCTATAATATTTACGTTCTCATTTATCATTTGAAATAGACTTTTCCCATTTCCCCAAAACTATCAGTTTTCTATTGCTATGATCATTCGTGAATTTGTTATTAGGGCATGGTATTATATTCTGATTTCATTTTATAACATAACTTGGCGAATAATTCATTTCTATTTTTCGGATTTAAAATTACATTATATGTACATAAAATATCCATATTCTTGCATAATTGCCATTTAAATAATTCTCCATTAGGGCAACAGTCATTTTATGCCACAGTAATTCCCATAATTCATTAGACATTTATTGTTTTTATGCATTTCAGATTAATATCCTTGGAGCTACTTCATTAGCCATTTCCCTTTTGACTGTCGTTTTTATATACCCAACCAAGTTTCTAATATAATTCTTGTGTAAATATCTAATAATTTGTATATATTGTCTCTATTTGTATTATAAATAAAACCATTTCATATTTGTGAGACTACAGAAAGTTCGCTCTTCCCAAATCATTTTTTAGTGGAACCACTCGGACATAAGGAGAGTGCCCCATTTTAACAAACTAAATTCCACTCTCCCCGGTTACACTTGGCGTAGTCGGCAGGATAGCTTTGCTATCCACTTCTTTATTTTAGATTTGGGAGCGAAATTGGATAAATTAAATCAGGGCTAAACGGCAGTCAAATATATAGGGAATTCGCCTGGCACTGATGAGACCGGGAGCTCTGTGGCGTCGTTCTGCTCATGACGATTGGGTACCAGACCAGGTAGACTAAGGAGGGGTGTACCGGCCCAGGTTCCTGCCGCCTTCCTTCCTTGGTGCCATCTTGAAAGAAGAACTGCCAGCTGAGAACCACTGACTGACCTCCAGAGTGAGCTGCAGGAGTGTGTCATCTGCTGCCATTAGACGCCACTGAACTGTCTTCTTTTGGCAAAATCCAAAAACAGAACTCCTTCCATCTTGGTGGCCGTCCATCGATCTGACAGCGACGATTGGTCTCTGGAGCGGGCTGTAGGAGCTTCATTTTCATATTTTTGCTGGTGGTGGTTATATTTCTTGCTTGTTGTGATTCATTGCATTATTATTGTTCTCTAAAAATCTAGAAAAAAGACTAAGAACACAACGAAATTTTACCTGTGAAACACATATTGTGCCTGCTTATACACACTGTAGCGTAGAGATGGACGGATCCAAAGCTTTTTTATTTTTAGTATTTTAATTGTTATTTCAATATGCACTGCTCCTTTATAGCTCAATATTCTTCCTCTCATAGTAATGGTTGTATTTATTTCAACATTACCTTTTTGGCTTATTGAGGAAGTGCTTGGAATTCTTGATATTTTTAATGGAGCTCTGTTACAATGATTCTTGTTGAACATTTTTAACGCCCTTGAGGCAGTTGTCTTTTCTTTTATATTTTTCTGTGCATGCAGATTTGGGACATACTTCCACTTGGGTGACTACGTTCATGCCATCCATCCCTTCTTCCACCCCGTGATTCACTTTTCATTTTAGTTGCACGTGATTCAACCGTGCTTGGGTATTATATAGTGGATATTATAGGTGCACTGCAGCTGCTAGACGCTAAAGCGTGCATATTAGGTTGTCGTGGCTTGACTGCGTACGCGCGTCTTCAGCTAAACCCTAACATTTTTGTACATGTTTTTACCTTTTTTATCGTCCCATTGCCAGTATACTGATTCTTTTTGTAGCAATATATTTAAATCATAGCTGCAGAAAAAAAACTATTTTGCAAATGATTTAATTAGCGCTTTAGGCGAATAAACCTTTTACATCTTTAATCTATGATAAATCTTCAATGCAGACGCCATATCTTTTATTTCACATTGTACATGTAGATTCCACTATATCTGTATTGATAGTAAAGCCAGTATTTGGTAAATTTTATTCTCTCATTATCCTAATTTCGTTTTAACCACTGTTGGGATTAGCTAACCCAACTAGGATAAATAGACATGTTTAGGTTGGGGTTGAAAGACACCCTGTAAATAGATGTTGAGGATTTTGTTTTTTAAAATACATTAAGTGTAGCCAGATATTTGTGAGACTACAGAAAGTTCGCTCTTCCCAAATCATTTTTTAGTGGAACCACTCGGACATAAGGAGAGTGCCCCATTTTAACAAACTAAATTCCACTCTCCCCGGTTACACTTGGCGTAGTCGGCAGGATAGCTTTGCTATCCACTTCTTTATTTTAGATTTGGGAGCGAAATTGGATAAATTAAATCAGGGCTAAACGGCAGTCAAATATATAGGGAATTCGCCTGGCACTGATGAGACCGGGAGCTCTGTGGCGTCGTTCTGCTCATGACGATTGGGTACCAGACCAGGTAGACTAAGGAGGGGTGTACCGGCCCAGGTTCCTGCCGCCTTCCTTCCTTGGTGCCATCTTGAAAGAAGAACTGCCAGCTGAGAACCACTGACTGACCTCCAGAGTGAGCTGCAGGAGTGTGTCATCTGCTGCCATTAGACGCCACTGAACTGTCTTCTTTTGGCAAAATCCAAAAACAGAACTCCTTCCATCTTGGTGGCCGTCCATCGATCTGACAGCGACGATTGGTCTCTGGAGCGGGCTGTAGGAGCTTCATTTTCATATTTTTGCTGGTGGTGGTTATATTTCTTGCTTGTTGTGATTCATTGCATTATTATTGTTCTCTAAAAATCTAGAAAAAAGACTAAGAACACAACGAAATTTTACCTGTGAAACACATATTGTGCCTGCTTATACACACTGTAGCGTAGAGATGGACGGATCCAAAGCTTTTTTATTTTTAGTATTTTAATTGTTATTTCAATATGCACTGCTCCTTTATAGCTCAATATTCTTCCTCTCATAGTAATGGTTGTATTTATTTCAACATTACCTTTTTGGCTTATTGAGGAAGTGCTTGGAATTCTTGATATTTTTAATGGAGCTCTGTTACAATGATTCTTGTTGAACATTTTTAACGCCCTTGAGGCAGTTGTCTTTTCTTTTATATTTTTCTGTGCATGCAGATTTGGGACATACTTCCACTTGGGTGACTACGTTCATGCCATCCATCCCTTCTTCCACCCCGTGATTCACTTTTCATTTTAGTTGCACGTGATTCAACCGTGCTTGGGTATTATATAGTGGATATTATAGGTGCACTGCAGCTGCTAGACGCTAAAGCGTGCATATTAGGTTGTCGTGGCTTGACTGCGTACGCGCGTCTTCAGCTAAACCCTAACATTTTTGTACATGTTTTTACCTTTTTTATCGTCCCATTGCCAGTATACTGATTCTTTTTGTAGCAATATATTTAAATCATAGCTGCAGAAAAAAAACTATTTTGCAAATGATTTAATTAGCGCTTTAGGCGAATAAACCTTTTACATCTTTAATCTATGATAAATCTTCAATGCAGACGCCATATCTTTTATTTCACATTGTACATGTAGATTCCACTATATCTGTATTGATAGTAAAGCCAGTATTTGGTAAATTTTATTCTCTCATTATCCTAATTTCGTTTTAACCACTGTTGGGATTAGCTAACCCAACTAGGATAAATAGACATGTTTAGGTTGGGGTTGAAAGACACCCTGTAAATAGATGTTGAGGATTTTGTTTTTTAAAATACATTAAGTGTAGCCAGATACTAGGGTTTTTATAGTAAGATTAGTGTAGTATGATTATATATTGAGAATTAGGTTATTGGGTCCATTGGAGGATAATCTCTATTTCTCTAGCGACATGCTAGAGGTGGACCATATTTTTGCCATTTTTCTCTATCCCGTCATTCAACACTATCTTGCAATTTTAATTAATACTGATATGGTGGATGTTTTTTAGGGATTTTTTATTTGTAGAAACTCATAGCCAAATCTTCATTTTTTTACGCGGACTTTCATATGTCTAATTATGGCCAAATTGGGAGTTTTAGATTTAAGGTCCATAATGAGGTAATCTCTAATTCACTAGTCAAATACTAGTGGTGGACAATCTTTTATCGCGCTCTCGACCATTTGAACATATTATTATTGTCCAAGTTTATTTCGAGGAGCTGGTGTAGTAGTTTTTATAAATAGGATATTCCTTTTAACATGTTTAATCGTTAGTTACTTTGAAATTCCCTTCTATAAAAATTCTTTTTTCTATAAAATTAGGGGGTGAGTGTAACCAGGTCGGGTTGCAGTACTTACTTTTCCCCGACTGGTTCCTTACTCCAGCATTATTTCATACCAAACTTTTGTAACTTCGTGTTTGTGTAGATTTACATGTGAGCAGCCATTGTGATCATGCTTTTTGCCTAGCGCCCTCTCGCGGCCAACTAAACTTTTTTTAACAGCGCGTGCCGCCTAGAATTTGGCTCAACTATGCGATGGGCGTAGCGAGCGTGCAAGTTTTGCATTCCAACGCGCTTTGTTTAAGCGGAATAGTTGACATTCCGGGCGTTTCGGTATAGTTTTCTTGTAGGGCCTGCTGCGGAATATTGTTGATTTCGATCCAACATTTTGTTGCGAGCAGACCATCTATTACGAGCGCTTACACTCTTCACTTGTATTACAATTTTGAGGGAGGCTCCCTATACTAGCAGTAAAATATTTACATCTACATTGTATTTTCACTGCTGATCGTCGATTTTCACATCGGAGTAGGCATGAACGTAGATCTTCCCAAGTGGTGAGTAAATCCTTTGTCTGATATTTCACATTTTTATGCCTGAAACATTTTTATGCCTCAAACATTTTTATGCCTAAAAATCTTTTTATGCCATCATGTATGAAACATTCTGGTCTTTTGTATGTTGGTTGATTGCCAGAATTAAAGGCCGTCAAAACGGACACGGCCGGAAATCTGCCTTGCGATCACGACGGATTATTAACTTTTGAAACAAATCTGTCGTCGTGATTTGCAAGTATTTTTGAGAATGATTTTAATGATTCTCTATTTAATTCTTGCATGAGATGGCAAAAAGGATTTTTTGTTGACTTTATTTTATACTTTAAACATTTCGGGTAAACACCGTCCATTTATTTTAACACAATCTCTTACTATTTTAATATTTTTCGGCATTTCGGAAAACAATGTTATTAAGTACTTTATTTTTGTGAACTTCAAATTTTCCTTTTGAAACAAACACAAATTGGAACTTATAAGCAACACATGTACGCTAACTTCAACTTAAATTTTAGTGTTGCTATAATATTTACGTTCTCATTTATCATTTGAAATAGACTTTTCCCATTTCCCCAAAACTATCAGTTTTCTATTGCTATGATCATTCGTGAATTTGTTATTAGGGCATGGTATTATATTCTGATTTCATTTTATAACATAACTTGGCGAATAATTCATTTCTATTTTTCGGATTTAAAATTACATTATATGTACATAAAATATCCATATTCTTGCATAATTGCCATTTAAATAATTCTCCATTTGGGCAACAGTCATTTTATGCCACAGTAATTCCCATAATTCATTAGACATTTATTGTTTTTATGCATTTCAGATTAATATCCTTGGAGCTACTTCATTAGCCATTTCCCTTTTGACTGTCGTTTTTATATACCCAACCAAGTTTCTAATATAATTCTTGTGTAAATATCTAATAATTTGTATATATTGTCTCTATTTGTATTATAAATAAAACCATTTCATATTTGTGAGACTACAGAAAGTTCGCTCTTCCCAAATCATTTTTTAGTGGAACCACTCGGACATAAGGAGAGTGCCCCATTTTAACAAACTAAATTCCACTCTCCCCGGTTACAGTTTGATTTTTCCGGAGGGAGGAAAACCGGAGGGCTCGGAGGAAAACCCTCGTGGCACAGGAGAGAACCAACGCACAACTCTACTCGCATGCGATCCGCGGCCAGGATTCGAACCGTGGTCACCTTGGTGAGAGGCGAGCGCTTTACGCACAAGCCACCCATGCCATCCGATAAGCCGGGTATCTCAATGAAGTAGTCCAAGTCAATGGTCATTCGGGATAAAATCGCTGACATGACAATACGCGATGTTACGCAAACGCCCATTCTGCTTGTAAATAACACGCGAGCGTCCTGCGCCAGGGTCCGTGCGCGTTCATGCACCTTTGACGAGCGCTCTACTATCCCAAATGACCCGTAACCCATGCGCATACCCACTTGAAATACCCAACTGGCTTATTTCACAGAGCTAGCTGCTTGGCAGAGAACACTGCTTAGTAAATATACACACTAAGCAAATATCAGCGGAAAACCAGTGGCAAGCAATAGACATCTTGTGATATTTTGACTGGTGACCTGTTTTTGCTAACCAAATATTTTCTGTGCTTAACAAATTCCTGTGCTCACATAAAACAATTCGGGCGATTCACAATGCAGTGCGCCACCCAGAGTTTGCCACAGAGAGTTCATTTTTCCAGTGCATTGTGGGAGAAAGTCAACAAATTCGCAGCGCGGGACATTTGAAAAGTTAGTTTTTTCGGTCAGTATAGTTTCGTAAGCGTATGATACGAGGATCTGTTTGCCCTTTTCTTTTCTTTGTATCAATATGGCGGTTTTTTGTAAGGTGGCAGAACGCTATGCCCCAATCTATGGCATATTAGCTCAAGTTGTCTACTGACACTCATTCAAATGGGCCATGTTTTGTCAACCGTAGAGCTGGAAAATGGACTTTCCATGTCAAACTCTTGGTGGCGCACTGCATTGTAAATCGCCCGAATTGGCGGGTACCTGTTTGGGTGGGTAAGCCCTTAGCGTCCGGGCTAACAGGGCTGGAATGCTGAGAGTGAACACTGAAGATGCTTGGCGAGGGAGGAGGGAAGGGGAAGTCTCTCTTGAGAGACGGGGTGTGCTTCTTCAGCAGGTGGGGGACCTTCTGCGGGGAGTAGTCGTCTTCGTAGTCGGACGACGTGGCGCTACTGCTCACAGAAGCTGGATTCAAAAAAGAGATAAAAAGTAGAGTTTTAGTCATGTTCTGACAATTAAGTCCATCTCCAGTCATAACAAGTCACCAATAGTCAATACAAGTCCATCATAAGTCATTACGATTCCATCACAAGTCATCACAAGTCATCACAAGTCAATCACAGATTATCACAAGTCATTACACCTAAGAGCAAATCATAAGTCATAACAAGTCAATCACAAGTCATCACAAGTCAATCACAAGTCAATCACAAGTCATAACAAGTCAATCACAAGTCAATCACAAGTCATTACAAGTCAATCACATATTATCACAAGTCATTACACCGAAGAGCCAATCACAAGTCATAACAAGTCAATCACAAGTCATAACAAGTCAATCACAATTCAATCACAAGTCAATCACACGTCACTCACAAGCCAATCACAAGTCATCACAAGTCACTCACAAGTCCATCCAAGTCAATCACAAGTCAATCACAAGTCATAACAAGTCAATCACAAGTCATAACAAGTCAATCACAAGTCATAACAAGTCAATCACAAGTCATAACAAGTCATGACAAGTCAATCACAAGTCATAACAAGTCATAACAAGTCAATCACAAGTCAATTACAAGTCATAACAAGTCAATCACAAGTCAATCACAAGTCATAACAAGTCAATCACAAGTCATAACAAGTCAATCACCAGTCATCCTGTCTCAAGTGAAGTAAAAAGCTATTCAAACTTATCTTTGCAATGTTTATCCCCTTATAATTGACAAATTATAATTGGAAAATGACCCAAAATACAAAAATGTCTCAATCTGGCTGATTTTATGAAATGATACTTTGGGACCAAATGCCTCATTTTACCAGAGCAAGTCAGGCGTCTTTATTCCTCACCTGATGAGAGCTGGTCATCGCTTTCCTGTGCAGTCTGCTCCTCACCGAGGAACATCCACTTCATGATGCTCTTGCGATACCAGGCTTTAGGGAAGGCCATCATCTCGGTCAGACGTCGCATGTCGTATTTGAAAGCCGCCGTGCCAATGTCACACAGAACTACGCAAAACAAAATTCATTTTTTTTGAAATATTAAGTTGCGCCAAAATTATCCTTCTTTCCAAAAATATTCTGTAGGTTTTTTGTAGGGGGGGGGGGGATATCCTGTTTACAGTGACCACTCACTTGAAAACTGGTTGTTGTTCTGCGAAGTGCTTGGTGAAGATGACAATGCTGGTGACTTGGGTCGCTCATCCCTAAAGAAGGGCGGAGACTGCTGGTGCGACAGAGGGCGTGACGCGGCGAATAACGTGTCTGCGTCTCGTCTCTCCTGATGCAAATGGTCCTGCCGGGTACCGGCTAAGTTCTCCACGCCCTGGTCTATAGAGGCGGCCGAGGCCGAAGTGACGGTGACCAGCTTACGATTGCGGGACATGTTGACTTTGATGAACTCGACCTTGAGCGAGAGGGCGTCCTTCCTGGAGAGCGTGGTCCAGGGAACGTTGCTGTCCTCGCTGCTTGCGTCTGCTCAATGATTGTAAAAATGACTATTTTAGTTTAGTGATCATAAAGTTGAACGAAGAAATTGATTGGAGCGGGGTTTGCCGTTCCGGTGCTCTACCAACTGAGCTATCCAGCCCTATGTTGGCGGTTCCCAAATTTGTCATTTTCTTTGTTCAACAGGTGCTAGTCAGAAGCCATAAAATACAAATATTGAATGCTTCGAGTGGTGTAGTAAAACTAGCCTCCCGAGGTGATCCATGGACATTCTTTCGCCTCGGGAAAAACAGAATGCTCCATGGATCACCGAGGGAGGCTAGTTTTACTTCACCACGAGATAAAGCATTCAATATTTGTTTTATAACACTTCACCCACAGATTCTGCTTGGTTTCAATATTTTAAATTATTTAAATCTGAACACAGTTGAAATAAACTTCAATTTCAATACAAAATTGATGGAAAATGTATTTCTCTCTTCCAAACTACCCCTTCACGAAATGTTTGAACCCAACTCTGCGGTGCGCTCTCTTTGGAACAAAACGCGCTACGCGCACACCAGCATGCATTTGCACACAAATAACGCACCGTGGATATAGTACTTTGGTTGCTCTTGGTATAGTACTTTGGTTGCTACGGGTATTGTACTTTTGGCCGTGCACAGAAATATAGCAAAAATAGAAAGTATCATGTGACTCGCTCTCAACCAATCAAGACACAGAATCTGTGGGTGAGGTGTTATAAACCCGTATATTCCATGTAGACAGGGATCATGCCTAAAGTCACGATAGAAGCAACATTAGCAATGCTGCAAACCTGGGAAATACCAAACGGGGATCACTCAGAGAGGATACCAACATTTGCTCCTCGAAGAGAATTATAATTTTGGACAAAAGTGCAGCTGATTTTTGAACACACGTCTAGTTTGTTATTTTACAATGACTTGTTTTTCATTCTGTAAGTGATGCGATTCGAACCTGTTCTGAACTCCATCTCTTCAACTAATCTCTCTCGTCGCTGGCTGCCGCCGTACGGATGGAACACGTACAAGGAGAAATCGGACATGACAGCTGCGATGCTCAGGCCGACACGATCAGTACCATCCCCTGCTAATGTCAGCCTGCTCCCAACTAAGAAAAAAATATGACAAAAACAAATACTATAAAAGTTCTTATGAATGTTGCTTCATTATTTTTATTTGTTTAAGATTTAAGAATATTTCCATACTGAATTTAGCTGCCTTAACCCTAACCCTCCAGGGCATTCTGGCTAGAAACCCTGCTAAATGCAACCACTTGTCAAAATGACAAGCCTGCTGAGTGTAGCAAGATCCATTAGGTCAAAAGTCTCAAGGCCAAACTGCCTCAGAGTCTGTGGTCCCCGAATGCAGCAGGATACAACTGTGGCATTGTTCAATGGGACTAGCTCTCATTGTTTCTGAATTGGTCGTTTATGCCTTGGCGTTGATGGCTCAATGCAGCAAAGTCCCACAGACTTCAACTCTTTCAGTGCCAAAGTCTTACATGTACGAGGTATATTTGTTAGTTCGACAGTGCCAACCTCGTACATGTGCGAGGTAATGTTCGTACTTAAAATCGCCAAACCTCGTACATGTACGAGGTAGAATAAGCATGTTATCACAAGGGGGCGCTCTTGCTCTTTCTAATAATATCATTTTCATTCAGGTACGACCTGTATTTATTAGTTCATTCGAGTTTTTGCGAGAGGGCGCAGCACTAAATCTCGTATTTTCTGCAAAAAGTGCGGAATTCCCCTGCGTGCAGGACAGTGTTTCAGGGTGTATATCAAGGATATACCAGAGAGCAACAACAACAAATTTAGTGAGTAAAACTTATTTACTTTTTTTTTACAGAATTTTGAACAATTAAAAAAAACGCTTGAAGTTGGGCACTTTCGGGTTAAACTTTTCAAATTTCGTGGGCACTGAAAGAGTTAACACCTGATGTACCGTGTTGCGTCTGGCAGTGTTAATTGGATGAAATTAACAATGCGCTATGACATTTAAGCCAATATAACGACTAAACGTCACTAGGGGGCATAGTTTCAGTGGATATATTTGCTCGCTGTATGCAAATAATGCGTAAATTTGTCAGAATAAAACGGAAGAAAATGCCGAAAGAGTTCAAAACATGAATATCACACAATAAGTGGTATCCCAGACTATATTGCAATTTTTTATTATCGAAAAGTAACAAATTAATTGTGAATGACTTGTGACTTGACTTGTGATGGAATTGAACACAACACTCAATTACAACGTTATATTTCCCAGGGTTCGACCTTAACTTTTTTGTTCGCTAGCCAGCGTGGCTACTGAAACAGACTCTTAACTAGCCCGGGGGCATTTTCACTAGCCCGCATTTTTTTTTAGCTCAAATACAAAATTCCGTATTTTCAGGCTCAATTCTGAGGCAATTTTGTCAGTGTTTTAAATAAACAGATCTAATTAAACCCTTTAAAACAGTTGATAAAATTAGACACAAGTTGATGAGGTTTGCTTTCTGAATTGAATGATTTATTTCTTCCTGTCCTTTCATCTTTGCCGTAGCCCAATAATTTTTTGACTTGCCAGCCGGGCTACTTAAGGAATAGTTTGACTAGCCCGCAGCTGTTTTGACTAGCATTTGGCTAGCGGGCTACCGCTTATTTCGAACCCTGTTTCCTGAAGTATTCATAGCAATCTCCTAATGTAGAACTACTACATAATGAAAATAACAGTTTTGAATGATCGTTCACTGCTGAAAGCACCGTACCTTTGGGTGCATTTAATGATTGTGAGGAATCCAACGTGGAATTGCCATCGGTGGAGTGATCAATCTGACTGTTGCCTCGGGATGAGAACGCAAACTCAACAGTAGGAAGCTTCAGCAAACACTCCACCTGTTAATATCAAAGAAACAATTAGAACATTTTCATTGTTGGCATCAGGGTTAGGAGTTGGGGTTAAAGAGGTTGTGGAATGCTCGAAGACATTTCCGTCATTTTTCGGGTATAAGTAGCCTAAGGTGTGATGAAATAAAAACGACTATTGTGTCTGTCATGAAATGAGTACAAAAGGTACTTTTGAGAGCTGTTTTTCAGTTCCTGTTTCGACCCGAACGTGCAATTTGTGTAAAAGTCGTCGTTGGGGGCTGCAAACAAAACATAGTAAATCGTGATGTAATAAACAGGACTCGTTTATACTACGCTGCATCGGGAGTCCTGTTTATTACGTCACGATTTACTGTGTTTTGTTTGCTGCCCCCAACGACGACTTTTACACAAATTGCACGTTCGGGTTGAAACAGGACCTGAAAAACAGCTCTCAAAAGTACCTTTTGTACTCATTTCATGACAGACACAATTGTTGTTTTTATTTCATCACACCTTAGGCTACTTATACCCGAAAAATGACGGAAATGTCTTTGAGCATTCCACCTCTTTAAAACCATTTTCAAGGGAAATGTTTACAAGCATAAGTAAGGGTAAGTCTAAATTTGTTAAGGCATATAGGACCATTTGCTTTTCATGCATTTTGTTCCTTTCCAATAATAACACCACACAAAATCCAAAGAAAAATGTTCTAAACCCAACCTGTTGAAGTTTCAGCTCAGTGGATATTAAACCTTCCAAGAAACCCGTTGAAAACCATGCACAACCTTTTGATCACGACACACAATTTTGTTGGTATCACACTTTATTTCCAACGATCAGTCGATCAGCTGATCATTGGTAATCACCTACATTTCTCGATTTCTTCTAAATGACAGCAAGCCAAACTGAACAATTTTACGAGATGTTTAGTACCAGTACAATCTTCAATCCAAGCAAGCTTTTTAATAATAATTTGGTAGATACTTTCTGGATAAATGCAAACGATCCTACATGCCGTTAAATAATGATAATACACAATGCAACGCTGTCAACTGATTAATTAAAATTTTAAGCATTTGTTGCAAATCTTATTTCAAAGTTGATCTTGCATCTTTACCTTGGAGACAGGCAGACAGCTCAGGCAAATGACCGATGGCCTCAAGCAAACATAGACTACGACGTCGACCGGGAACGTACTCGAATCCATCGTAGATGAAGACACCAAGGAATTGGCCGACACGCCGATGTCTTCTACACTTTTGTTCAGATCTGCGGCTGAAAATATTGGGTGAAAAAATAAATTAATAAATCAATAAAAAACTTGTTAATGAATTGTGGAGAACATTTTTAGTCTCCCAAAATTCTGGATTAAAGTCTAAAAAGTCGTATCCAGGCAGAAATTGAAGTTAAAAGTTTTCCAAAATGACAAACTGAAATCACTGAACGCCTTAACTAGCACATCTTCAAAGGCATATAGGATCATTTGGTCTTCATGCATTTTGTTCGTTTCCAATGATAAGACCCCTCAAAATCCAAAGAACATGCGTTCAAAACCCAACCTGTTGATGCTTCAGCTCGGTGGATATTACACTTTCCGAGAAAACAATGAAAAACCATGCACAACCTTTTGATCACCATAACACGATTTCGCCAACTGCACTCTTTATTTCCAAAAATCAGTCAATTGACTGATCGTTGGAAATCACCTACATTTCTTGATTTCTTCTAAATGACAGCAAGCCAGATGCAATCATTTCACGGGGTGTTTAGTACCAGTACGATCTTCAAAGGTATAGTCCATCATTTGTAATTTGTGCATTTTGTTCGTTTGAAGCAACAAAAGTGCTCAAAATCTAAAGAAGGGTACTGAACAACTAACCTGATGAAGTTTCAGCTCAGCTTCAGCTGTATATTTCGAGAAAAACAGCATTATAGGATCTCGATTTCAAATCAAAAGTTGCTAATCATGTTTTGAATTGGGCCGGAATTCAGCGTCCGAGATACGTTCTCACTAAGCCGATTGCAGCTACACGATGTCGCGCACTGATCCGACGAATTACAGCAACCGCGCGTGCGTGTGCGTCGTGCCAATGCTTGCCCGCGGTTCGCCGAATAACAAAACGAACTACTAATTTAAATTTCCCTACGGTGCTTCTTAAGAAGCACCGTTGGAAAGCCCTTCTTTCGTTGATTACTTCAAAATGACAGCTTGCCAGAAAGAATAATTTCACAGGGAGTTTAGTCCCCTTACTATCTTTCAACCAAGTATGTTTTTTAACAATAATTACGCCAGTCACTTTTTGGTTAGCTGCAAATGATGGACTCTGGCTTTATTCCAAGTAAGCTTTTTGATAATAATTCAGTAGGTTACTTTTGGGATAAATGCAAATGCTCATATATATGCCTTTAATGGTTGGTCATGAATTATTTGGGAATGAAGAGGAATGTTGGTTTTTCGTACCGGTTGCTTGAGCAGTAGCTGCTGATACTGGAACTGTTTCCAGGGCTTCTTCCAAGAAATCCAACAACGATAGCGACACTACTACCTCCTGTACCAAAATCATAAAATTTAAATGTGATTAAAAACATATAATTATGTGGTGCTTATACAGGGTGGAAAAAAAAAAAACGAAGCCGAGATATTATTAATTGGAACAGAAGTAGGGCACATGTGAATTAAAGGGAGATATCCTCTGTTAGGGTTGAATCTCCTCTTTAAAATGACACCCTGATCATGTCATTACATTCACAGTTGACTGAGCAGTGACCAATTTTATGAAAGGGTCTCTTTTAGAGGCTTGCGCCACTTTTCAATTGTGGTTTTTGTATTGTCATTTGTCACAGAGTGAAAGGCTACGGTTGCCAATCAAGGCAGGTGGGGAAAAAAAAGAGATTTCACCATGAAAAGTGGCGCAAGCCTCTAAATAGACCCTTTCATAAAATTGGTCACTGCTCAGTCAACCATGAACGTAATGACATGATCAGGGTGTCATTTTAAGAGGAGATTCAACCCTAACAGAGGACATCTCCCTTTGATTCATATGTGCCCTACTTCTGCTCCAATTAGTAATTATATCTCGGTTTCGTGTTTTTTTATCCACCCTGTATAGTACTTTAGACCAACATCTCAAAGCACTTCACAATTATTATCCCTGTTCATCAGGCCATGAGACCAGTTTACTGCAGCAGCTCGAGATCAGCGCAATCTGGTCTCTACCTTCACAGGTGCCCATTTGTACAACTGGGTGGAGAGCGGCCATTGTGGTAAAGTGCCTTGCCCAAGGACACAAACATCAGAAAACTGTTGTTACTTAAGGGTCAATGCGTCATTTGAGTTCTTGGCCAGTTTACTGCTGCAGCTTGAGATCAGTGCAATCTGATGTCTACCCACACAGGTACCAGTTTATAATCCTTGGTGGAGAGAGGTAATTGTTGTAAAGAGTCTTGCCAAAGAACACAAACATTAAAAAATAGTCTGGTTACTTTAGGATTTAATAATGAGAGGTTTGAGTTCTTGTACCTTAGGAGGCGAAGTGAGCATAAACCATGTGTAGAGTACAGCTTGCTTGCTGCCGTGCGATTTCTTATCAATGCTGCCCTCTGTTGACGACGTGTCGGCTGTGCTGCTCGTGGTGCCCTGCTGGGGGTCTCTCTCACGCTCTGATTCGCTGGGACGATTGGATGAGGCACTGTTGGTGGACGACTCGTAGTGCAACTGCACACATATGAAACAGAGACAAATGGGTATCGTTTAAGGCACTTCATGCATATTCATGAGTTCCACTCAAGACAAGTCATGCATATTCATTTGATCTATTGTGTATCAGCAGAAAGACTTGAAACTTGTGAGATGTAACGACTTACTTTGACATCAAACGCTGGGAGATAGAATGTGGATTGTTTGGCCTGCCCCGTCCTTGAGTCACTCAACCCGGGGGAGGGGTGACGGCTTGGAAGTGGGCGGGTGTGAGGGGCGATGATGTCATCGTACAGGCCCGGTGGTCGGCGCACATCCCCGGTACGTCTGGGATCGAACAATGGAAAGATTCAAATAGGTACATTTATGACGGACAGATTGGAACTTTGCCATGATAATGATGTTCTCAATTTACACTTCTGGACTTGCACTGACTTCAAATATTAACTTGTAATTTGTGATTTGGTTTGTGACTGACTTATGAACTGACTTGTGATTTTACTTGTGATTTACTAAGGATTAAATTGTGGTTGATTTGTAATTTGACTTGTGAATGTCTTGTGAATGTCTTGTGATTGACTTGTGATTGACTTGTGAATGTCTTGTGAATGTCTTGTGATTGTCTTGTGATTGACTTGTGATTGACTTGTGATTGACTTGTGATTGACTTGTGATTGACTTGTGAATGTCTTGTGAATGTCTTGTGAATGTCTTGTGATTGACTTGTGAATGTCTTGTGAATGTCTTGTGATTGTCTTGTGATTGACTTGTGATTGACTTGTGATTGACTTGTGATTGACTTGTGAATGTCTTGTGAATGTCTTGTGAATGTCTTGTGATTGACTTGTGATTGACTTGTGATTGACTTGTGATTGACTTGTGATTGACTTGTGATTGACTTGTGAATGTCTTGTGAATGTCTTGTGAATGTCTTGTGATTGACTTGTGAATGTCTTGTGAATGTCTTGTGATTGTCTTGTGATTGACTTGTGATTGACTTGTGATTGACTTGTGATTGACTTGTGATTGACTTGTGAATGTCTTGTGAATGTCTTGTGATTGACTTGTGATTGACTTGTGATTGACTTGTGATTGACTTGTGAATGTCTTGTGAATGTCTTGTGATTGACTTGTGAATGTCTTGTGAATGTCTTGTGATTGACTTGTGATTGACTTGTGATTGACTTGTGATTGACTTGTGATTGACTTGTGATTAAGTTATAATTAAACGTGTGATTACCTAGTGATCAGCTTGTGACTCACTGATGATCTGATTTGTGATTTAGCTTGTTAATGATTTTTGACTGGCTTGTCATTGACTTGTGATTAACTTGTGATTGACTTGTGATTGACTTGTGACTGATTAGTGATTTAACTCGTGAATGACTTGTGACTGTGAATGACATATGATTAACCTTGTAATTTGTGACTGGCTTGTGATAAAGTTGTGATTAACATGTGATTGATTTTTGAATGGCGTGTGATCTGGTCTGCGATTGACTTTTTTTATGTTTACCTGTGATGGACTTGTGATTGACTAGCGATTTAACTCGTGAATGACTTGTGACAGACTTGTGATACCTCTGTGATTAACGTCTGATTGACTTGAGAATGGCGTATGATTGACATCTGATTAACATGTGATAGACTTGTGACTGACTTGTGATCGACTTGCAATTTGAATCGCTCACACTCTGATCAACCTATAGTCCCTGTACTGCCCAACCCATCCCAGCATTGTATGGCTTTATGGATTCCTCAGGGTACTAATACAATGTAATACAATGTAATACAATGTAATACAATGTGGTACAATGTAGAACAATGTAATACAGTGTAATACAATGTAATACACTGTACAGGGTGAGTCAAAAAAAGCGGAACCCAAACCCCAAAAATTATATTTCATATTTAAAAAATATGTAGCACCAAAAATAATAATGACCGGAAAGCCAATTTCATAAGCTACCTTTGGATGAAAAAATTGCTGAAATTGGTCAATCCGTTCAAAAAATATCACCATTTAAACACAATGACCCTAAAACTTGTCTCGTCCAATAAATGCGATTTCAACAATCGTCGTCACAATTGTCTTCAAACATCACCAGCAATGAAATCTTAGTTTAAACGTTAACAATATGCAACAAAGTCCTTTTGAAGGCCCGTCTTTTAAAAGAGTAGATTTTATAAATCATATTGTTTGCCTAACCAGGGTTGTTAATCAAAATATTGTGTACTACAGTTGGTGACAGTTGTTGAAACAAGTAATCTGTGTCATTTTCTTTGTTGTTCCAAACAGTCAAAAATACACAACAAATTGATTTTTTGGACGAGACAGGTTTTGGGGTCCTTGCGTGTAAATGGTGGTATTCTTTGAACGGATTGAGCAATTTCAGTAATTTTTTCATCTAAAAGTAGCTCATGAAATTGGCTTTCCAGTCATTATTATTTTTGGTGCTACTTATTTTTTTAAATATGAAATACATTTTTGAGGGTTTGCAAAATGGTTTGGGTTCCGCTTTTTTTGACTCACCCTGTAGTAAAGTGATAACGGGTTTAACCCTAAAGGGGCCGGGTTATTTTGACCATCTCTCAGCCGGGGGGGGGGGGGGGGGGGGGGGGGGGGGGGCGGATTCCGCCCCCCCCCTAAGATCTCGGCCATCGAGCGACGAAAAATTTTGAAACTCGGCACATGCATAGAGCAACTCTTCCTAAACATACCCAAGAAATTTCATGACTATAGGTCAAGGGGTTTTGGAATTATGGCTAATTAATTATTCATATGTACGAATGGCAATTCTGCTCTGTGTACACGACGTATATGCGAAAATTCAGTTTTCACGGCGCATAGCGCCGGAAAAATTTTCGCTACGCAGCAACCCGTGGTCCGATTTTTATGTTTTTGGTATCAAAAGATGTGCAAAGCTCGAGGCTAAAAAGTCATAACAGCTCGGGTCGCGAAAAAAAATTTTTTAGAGGCTATCACGGAAAATGTTGAGGGGGGGGGGCGGATTCTGCCCCCCCCCCCCCCCGGCCCCTTTAGGGTTAAGACTCACCCAAGCATAGAGACTTCGCCTTGACCCTCAGGACTATGGCAGTTCAGCACCAGCATGCCGCTGTCGATGTTAAACTTGACATCCAACTCAAAGTCCACGGTCGGGGGTTCCACCTTGGTGGAGTGGGCCGGGGAGGCCGGGGGCTGCTGAGGGTGGGATTGATGCTGGGCGTCTGGCTGCAGACTGGACTTACTGCGACGCTGACCGCTGGAGGATCGAGATCTTGGCCTGGGGGAAAGAATAAAGATTGTGAGTCTTGGCACCAAACACTGACTAGTCTAGTCACGGACTCTCTATTTCTGTCTTAACCCAATAGTAGTGTGAATGGTCGACTGACTGAAAGTTAAGGTCAAAATTTGGTGTTCAAAGTGAAATGAATTGTCTGTTTATACCCGTGACAAGGTTCCAAAGACAGTCGACCAGAACTATTGTCAAAATGGCAGTGGAGGTAACTCATCGACCATTTTATGACTGAAACCAATCTTTTCCCTATACAGCTGTTATCCTCGTCCTAGAGGTTTTAATTATATACAACGTTGTGAACTATGCCACGTTTCGTGCAATTGATCACAAGTTTACTCACTGCTTTAACCCTCTGCATGGCGTTAAAGGGAATATACAACATTTGCAAACATCGAGAAAAAAAAACTACCAAGTTTTTACGAAATACCTTACTAGGATGTTGGTAAATGACAGTCTAAAGCATCCTATAAAATTATGGCACCTGGTGTGAAGTCGTTTTCAAGAAAATGGTATTTTTGGATACATTTCCAACGGTGGTCGGCCGACCACCGTTGGAAAAACCTAACTATTTTTCAACTACTGCTCCAAATTTACAATTTTATTTCAGTCAAAATGTTGTTTGCTATTGGTTACATGTTCATGAATGGGTGCAGGCCAGCTAAACTGGTACCCTTACCTTACAATTTTCCGTCATCTATAAATTGATCCATTTCATCTTTACTGGAGTCAGGGAACCAGACTACTTTAGCATTTTTGGTTTTTCCAGCATTTTCGCACACAAAACTTCAAAATGTCAGTGTAACAATATTTGATCTATTATACTAACCCCTCAAATAGTTCATTTTCTGAAAATTACTGCAAAAGCCAATGATGTACATTCCCTTTAAAGTTTAAGCAATGTTTCGTGGGATTGTCCGCATGACCTTACCAGCTGTGTGTCGCCTGTGACGTAGCACATGTATCCTCTTCGTGATCCGACCCTTCGCTTCCGCTATCCATCTCCTCCGGCACCGACCCCGAGTGTAGCTTCAGCAGACGCCGCCGGGCGCGACTACTAGCCACCATGGCCAAGTCCCGATCCGTGTCCATCGGATCCGTGATGGTCGTGTTGAGTTCTGAGTACTCGGGGCTCCCAATGCTCTTGATTCGACGTCTGGGCTCGGTCTGGGCGCCGATGACGAACGGCGGAAGCTCGTCCAGTGGGCTCGGGGTGTTGCGAGGAAGGTTGAATGTGACATGGGAGGAAGCAGACGGGTATTCGACGATGGTCTGAGGGCGCTTGCCGATTGGTGTCTTGTACCCAGGCCTGGTGATATAAACACACATGCAAAATAAGAAATTGAAAAGGGATACTGACTACGTTAACTTTATTAAAACGTCCACGTTGCTTCATGCAACATCAAAGAATTTTGTAAATACAAAATATTTAACAGAACATGATCTTCATATCAAGTAATTTTTTGGATTAGTAAAGGATTACTAGGTGATATTGAAACAATGGACAACTACTATTCAATCTTATCCACTGTATTTGAATGTGTCATTTCTGGAAATGGATCAATTCTTCAAATTTCTGGAAGCCTGGTGGAAATTTATCCACCTGTTACATTTGTTCATACTATTTAGATGCATCAGTGAACATTTATACATGTTTTCATTGAGCTAAGGGGTCAGCAATGTCTGGGAAGAATGTTTAGTAAGAGTGCACACCACCACTTAATCAAAGAAAAAATTACAAAAGTCAATTTTTAGTACAAGACATAGTAAACATAATAAGTACATTTTAAGTGCTAATTGTTATGTTCTAATAGTACTTTAAGATTGGCTGAGAGAAATTGATAGATGAAATCTGTGACATCATGACTAGTTTAGTTAGTTTTTGAAATACTTACTCTTTTAACTTTTTAATAGAACTAGTTTAATAAATCTAGTTTGGTCTAAATATAATTGAGTAATTGCTCAAAGGGTGTGAATTTTTCAATAAATTGTGAGGACATTTGAGGACTTGCTTGGACTTGTGATGGACTTGCTGGGACTTGTGGGGACTTTAAAAGGACATGTGAGGACATGCGAAGGAACTTTGGGGACTTGTGAAAGACTTGTGAGGACTTGTGAATGACATGTGAGGACTTGGGGGACTTGGGATGGACTTGTGGGGACTTTAAAAGGACATGTGAGGACATGCGAAGGACCTTTGGGGACTTGTGAAAGACTTGTGAGGACTTGTGAATGACATGTGAGGACTTGGGGACTTGGGATGGACTTACTGGGACTTTAAAAGGACTTGTGGGGACGTGCAAAGGATATTTGAGGACTTGTGATGATTTGTGAAGGACATGCGAGGACTTGGGGGACCTGTGAGGACTTGAGATGGACTTGTGGACACTTAAAAAGGATTTGTGAGGACGTGCCAAGGACCTTTGAGGACTTGTGAAAGACTTGTGAGGACTTGTGAATGACATGTGAGGACTTGGGACTTGGGATGGACTTACAGGGACTTTTAAAAGGACTTGTGGGGACGTGCAAAGGACATTTGAGGACTTGTGACGATTTGTGAAGGACATGCAATGACTTGGGGGACCTGTGAGGACTTGGGATGGATTTGTGGTCACTTAAAAAGGATTTGTGAGGACGTGCCAAGGACCTTTGAGGACTTGTGAAAGACTGGTGAGGACTTGTGAATGACATGTGAGGACTTGGGGACTTGGGATGGACTTACTGGGACTTTTAAAAGGACTTGTGGGGACGTGCAAAGGGCATTTGAGGACTTGTGACGATTTGTGAAGGACATGCGAGGACTTTGGAGACCTGTGAGGACTTGGAATGGATTTGTGGTCACTTAAAAAGGATTTGTGAGGACGTGCCAAGGACCTTTGAGGACTTGTGAAAGACTTGTGAGGACTTGTGAATGACATGTGAGGACTTGGGATGGACTTACTGGACTTCAAAAGGACTTGTGGGGACGTGCAAAGGACCTCTGAGGACTTGTGAGGATTTGTGAAGGACATCCGAGGACTTGGGGGACCTGTGAGGACTTGGGATGGACTTGTGGGCACTTAAAAAGGATTTGTGAGGACGTGCCAAGGACCTCTGAGGACTTGTGAAAGACTTGTGAGGACCTGTGAAGGACGAGTGAGGACTTGGGATGGACTGGAATACAACACTGCATCAGCAAAGTCAGTAGTGACATTATTCTGTGCTTAACTCATGCAAAACTATGCTTGCCAATGCACACTGTGAGTAAAAAAGAATTAAAACTCTGATGAAGAAATGAGTATGAGTATTAAAGAAAGTGATTATTTTCTGTGCACGTCAGTGAGTGTGGGTTGTGTCATACATTGGTAAGCTACTCAGGAAGACTCGGTCGCGAGTTAAGGAGTGCTCGTTGGGACTGTCCGAAACGGCTCGCTGACGAATTATTCCCGGTCTGGTACCTGATCTACACATAGAGAACGGTCATGCATTTGGATGAAATAATGGAAATAATAAATATGATGGGATTCTGACTACCTACATCAAGGTTTTAAAATCCAAGCTTGTCAAATGTAGTCTTCCTTCAAGACTGTTATTGGTTTTTATTGCTGGTATGCATTGTCAAGCTACAGCAGCAGTAGAGGTTGCTATCAACAAGATAGATCAAATCTGCCATCCACATGACGAAATCCAATCTTGAGAACTTCGACAGTGCTACCCAGGAAATCATGAGCATACCTCATGTACGCTGTATTCAAGCTAATGCACGCGTATGAGGTATACTCCAAATTTCCCGGGTAGCACTGCCAATGTTCCCATGACTAGATTTGATTCATCTTGATGATATCAACTTCTTACTGCTACGGCCGCTTTTTCACACTTGTTTGGGACTGGCTGGACTAGGGGAATAAAAAGTAAAAAATGGAGACTTGGGCCAAGACTATGTCAAAAGGCAGCGATGTCACCTAAATTTTCACGCCCATGGGATAGATTTTGCTTTAACCTGGTATGCATCGTTGTTTATCACTGTGGAGTGCTGTGGCCTCGTGGTTAAGGGCATTGAATTTGTGGTCTGCGGGTAATGCTGTGGGCTGTGGGTTCGAGTCCAGGCTGGGGCTATGGTGCGCGTGCCCTTGGGCAAGGCACTTTGTCACTCATTGCTTCTCTCCACCCAGGAGTAAATGGGTACCTGTGAGGGCAGAGACGGTTATGTGATTGAATTAGCTTCCTTGAGCCTAACAGGCTGCATCGAGCTGTATACTCCTCAGGGAGCTGAGATGGTATTTGGAATTTTTAATTGGCCCAATGATCAGGGGTAATAATAATACTGTAAGCGCTGTGATTTAGTTTACTAATAAGAGCATTTTGAAATGCCGATTATTACTAATAAACTAACCAATTAACCTGTTTTAACCAATAAACACTTCAACGTGTGAGCAATGAATGCATGCTGAATGGATGGTATTATCCACAATGCTTTGCACTTCAAAGATTTTGTGATGAGGGCTGGGTCCTTTCGCACTCAAGGTAATAAAGCGCAAAATTAAATGAGCAACTATAGACAAAAGCAAGCTCTTAACGAATATAGCAAGTTTGACAATGGACCATTTACAGCAGCAATGCAAAAAAATCAATCAAAGTCAAAATTGTTATCTCACTAAATTTAGAGCAACTACAAAGCAATCAGCCGCAACAAATTACGGGGGGAATGCAAATTGCTTTTTGAAAGCTTGACAAAACGTCAGGATCTCGTAAATAAAATTCACAGAAAAATCTCCAACTGTAAAATAAAAGACAAACAACTAAATCATACTTTCATCTGAAAATGAATAAAAGAGTAAGCATGTTTGGAAAATATCCTTGGTAGAGGGTGGGTGGGGTGGGGGGAGAGTGTGGGTGGGGGGGGGGGGGGGGGGGGTGGGTAGGGGAGAGTGTGGGTGGGTGGGAGGGTGTTGTACCCCACCCCATTATTATTATTCTTTTGCAAGATCATCCCAGCAGCAAAGTCGACCCGTTAGCCTAATCTCGTGCCTACCAGCAATACGCCGCAAAGAACAGCGCCACCTACTGTCCGATAGTGTCAAACATCCTCCGCTCAGCAGAGCGCCCCCATTAGTCAGCGTGTGTCCATGACCTCCCCCCCCCCCCCATCCCCCTCCTTTGATTTTAGGGTAGCAGGATGACAAGAAAAAGTCCTGGCTATCTTCCAGCATAAAGAAGCAGATTTGGCAAATATAATTTCATTCCCCCCCCCCCCCTCTCCCCCTATTGGTCTGGTGACACCCACGGTACTGGCTATAATGAAAAAAAAGACTCAATTGCAATTACTGTTTGACATCAACGCTTTTCGATACTGAGACATACTTTGGGAATGGTTTGGTTCCAGGTATCGGGGTGACTGGCATGCCCTGAGATGTGACTCTGCCCCCCATGCTGACTTGGCGCGGTACGCCCGCCGGGGACCTCGGAAGCCCTGCTGTCAACTTGCTCCTCAGCGAGGCCTGAAAGAAAGAACACGTTTTTAAAATGAGGCAAGGGACTTCCAAATTTATTCCCTCAACTTCTTTTACAGAGAATATCCAATCAACCATTACCCCTGCTCATCAATATGTTTTCTTTTTAGAACAATTTATGCAGGAGCTATAGAACAGCGCAATCTGGTCTCTACACGCACAAGTACCCAGTTATACTCCTGGTTGAAGATGGAGAGAGGCAATTGTAGTAAAGTGTCTTGCCCAAGAACACAAGCAAGCACCGTGTTCCTCACAGTGCTCCAAACTTTAATAAATTTTGTCTGAGAACTTTTGTAGGAAATACTTCCTCTTTGGGTTCTGTATCTGCATATGCAATTGTAGTAAAGTGTCTTGCCCAAGAACACAAGCACTATTGTTCTCCACCAGGATTGGAACCCACATACCATCGCACACTAGTCGGACACTGTAACCATTGAATAACTGGGCTCCGCACTTTAATAAACTTGGTCCGAGAACTTTTGTAGTAAATATTTCCTTTTTTGTTTGTACCTTTGTATGCCATATCTTCCATTGTAGTAAAGTGTCTTGCCAAAGAACACAAGCACCATGTTGTCAGCAGGGATGTCCGAGAACTTTTGTAGTAAATATTTCCTTTTTTTGTTTGTACCTTTGTATGCCATATCTTCCATTGTAGTAAAGTGTCTTGCCAAAGAACACAAGCACCATGTTGTCAGCAGGGATGTGGAACCCACGTACAATGTCACAGTAGTCGGGCACTGTAATCACTGAGCTCCACATTTAATAAAATTTGCCAAAAGACTTCTGTCTTTAAGTTTCCACCCATATTTTTTTCAATTATCATTCTGCCTTTATACCTTCATAGTTTGCATCCTGAGTCGTTTGCGGATGTCTCGACGGAAGTCATTGAAGACAGCTATCTCAAGCTGCCGTAGTTTTTCTGCCTCCTCAGCTATGGTAACTTTCTTGGCTCCCAAGGTTCTATAAAGGAGAGAATCAACCCAAGAGCTCTCAAGAAACAATCCAATCTTCAGCTGGGAAAATATACTTGGCTGCCCAAGATGATGACTTGTGACTGACTTGCGCAGAATGATCATCAAACTTTTAGAATTTGTGCTGGAGGAATCTCAATGCTTACCTGAGATCGCTGACAATCTTGGCCTGTTCAGTCATCTCCTGCATGACCATCTTGGAATGTTTCTTAGCATCCTGCTTACTGACAAACAGGGAGGTGGGTCTTCTCAGCGCCGGTTTGGATTCCTGTACAAATCGCAAGGATAGAACACCTTTAATTGTGATGGCTTTAAACCAAGACCGGTGTCACGGTCTCACTTCTCCGGCGTGCTGGATTCTCCGAGTGAATGCGGCGGATAATTGAGCACGTTACAGTGCACGTTACATGAGCACGATTCATGCTCATGTGTCCGCTGTGCTTACTTTTCCTCGGGCTGTGCTATGGAGTCTACCAAGGTCATAACACAGTGAGGGACACCCAAGAATGTGTTATGTAACACTTCCTGTGGGTCAAGCTTATAGAGAGAAGTATGGAAATTGCCTGGGTCATTCCATGGTCTTGCAACAGCGTTGTGTGTGTGTGTTCATGGATGAATAATTAAGAACGAATTCCTTGGTCTGTGCAAGGTCTGAATTCCTTGCTCAGTTCGTGGTTGTCTTTATTTTTACAACCATACATGTATTGGGAGTTGCGAGCGCCACGAAAATTCTAGATTCGACTGGTACCTTGTAACGTATACATTTGTACATACAGAGATCTCACGTGCACCAGTACAACCCCAAAGAACGAAAGAACTCAGCACACAATAAAGTTGGCGAAATGTACACTACTGCGCAATTTGCGCATGTGTGTTGAGGCGAAATTTCCCTCTGCGGAGAAGCTAGCACGCCGGAGAAGTGAGACCGTGACACCGGTGCAAAAAAATATATAGCACCCTTTGCCACAAAATGAACATTAAGTCAGATTTAAAAAACAATTGAGTTGATTTTATTTTCAGTTTCTGCAGATTGAGAGCGTTTTAATGGTATTTAACACTTGGGGTGTCGAGTTCAGTTACGGGAAAATCACCTAAATTGAAGTTGAAAAACCAAGTTTTGAGAAAATGGCTTTTAGAAAAATCCCACTGTATAACAGAGACTGAACAGTTCCTAATTAAACGGGATGCAAATAGGTTTTAAAAGGTGGAACAGGACTTAAAGATCGAGGCTCACCTGAATCCAAAAAAATAAAAACTTAAAAACCTCTAAATTTTGGCATTGCCCCGATGTACTGCAAGATGGCAATTTCTGAATAATGCTTATTTTTCACATTTGTATGTGAACCAATGGAGCCCAATTCATTTACTTTTTTTAAGGATAGTGATACGTAACTTTAAAGGGAAGATACAACATTTGCAAACATCATAAAACAAAATGATCAAATTATCATGAAATATCTTACTGGATTGTTAGGGAATGACAGTCTAAAGCATCCTGTAAAGTTGTGGCTCCTGATGTGCTGACATTTTCAAGAAAAACTGTATTTTTCCAACGCTGGTCAACCGACCAGCGTTGGAGAAAACTGGCTTTTTTTTCAAAAAGTGCTCCTAATTTTTCATATTTAGTTCGTCTGCATTTTCTTTGCAATTGATTACACACCTGTGAAGACTACAAGCCTGCTAGACTAATTCTCTGATCTTACAATTCTCCAAAGTCTATAAATTGCTCCATTTCATCTTAAGTGGGGTCAGGGAACCAGACTGCAAGAACATGATTGGTTTTCTTGGTTTTTCCAGCATCTACGAACCCAAAACTTGAAACAAGTCAGTGTAACAATATTTGCTATAACATACTAATCCTCCAAATCCATTTATTTCTGAAAATTGCAGCAACAGCAAATGTTGTATATTCCCTTTAAACCGTAAGTATTTTTTTGCAAAACAAACTTCCTGAATGTCTCCAGCAAGTCATCCAACATAAAGTAACAGTGAATCCTGAATCCATAGCATTGGTTTCATCACAATCTGAAACCATTTGCAGGCTTTTAAATCAACCAATTAAAGGTATAGACCATCATTTGTAATTTTTGCATTTTGTTCATTTGAAGCAACAAAAGTGCTCAAGATCTAAAGAAGGGTGCTGAACAACTAACCTGATGAAGTTTCAGCTCAGCTTCAGCTGTATATTTCGAGAAAAACAGCATTCTAGGATCTCGATTTCAAATCAAAAGTTGCTGTTTTGAATCGGGAATGAATTCAGCGTCCGAGACACGTTCTAACTGAGCCGATTGCAGCTACGCAATGTCGCGCACTGATCTGACGAATTATAGCAACCGCGCGTGCGTGTTGGGCGTGCTAATGAGTGTGCGCGCTTCGCCGAATAACAAAACGAGCATCTAATTTGAATTTCCTACGGTGATTCTTAAGAACTCTTGGAAAGGCCTGCTTTCATTGATTTCTTCAAAATGGCAGCTTGCCAGAAAGAATCATTTCACAGGGAGTTTAGTCCCCTTACTATCTTTCAACCACGTACGTTTTTCAACAATAATTACGCCAGTTAATTTTCGGATAGCTGCAAATGATGGACTATAGCTTTAAGCAAACCGGAATGCCAGAGTTGAGGGTTTTAAGTAAACTCACACTGCTTGCTGCCATTCCGTCCGGTTCGTCCTGGGGTTCCGCCACCGAGCTCAGGTCGGCCACATCCACCTCGTCATCCTCCCGGCCAGCGCGGTCATCGTGTTGGCCAGGGCGGACAGCTGCCGGCCGATGGCCGGATTGACCTGGACGTCAAAGCCTTCCATCCGCCAGAGGAAATTCAGCATCCACTTGCCGGCGTTGGAGGTCTGTGCTGGGTCTAGAAGGATGGCAAATCAATGTTACATGCTCAATGCTTAACTAATCTTGGTGCAGTGCTGTGGGCATGTACTAGTCTGGAACCAACTTTACTTTGCTTCTTAAATCTTTAGCATAAACACTACAACACTACCAGCCATTTAAAGGGAATGTACATCATTGGCTTTTGCTGTCATTTTCAAAAAATGCACTAACTGAGGGGTTAGTACACTAGATCAAATAGTGTTACCCTGACATGTTTGAAGTTTTTTGTTCAAAAATGCTGGAAATACCAAGAAAAACAAAACTGTTAAAGTAGTCTGGTGCCCTGACTCCACTAAAGATAAAATGGATCAATTTATAGACGCCGGAAAATTGTAAGGTAAGGGAACCAGTCTAGCTGGCCTGCACCCGTTCATGAACACGTAACCAATAGCAAACAAAATTTGAACTGAACAAAAATGGTAAATTTGGAGCAGTAGTTGAAAAATAGTTAGGTTTTTCCAAAGGTGGTCGGCTGACCACCGTTGGAAATTAATACAAAAATACAACTTTTCTTGAAAATGACTTCACACTAGGTGCCATAATTTTACAGGATGCTTTAAACTGTCATTTACCAACATCCTAGTAAGGTATTTCGTAAAAATTTGGTAGTTTTGTTTTTCGATGTTTGCAAATGTTGTATATTCTCTTTAAGAGTGTCCCACTCTATTTCTATTGTTCTCATATTTTGTGCCTCTGAAGTAGGATCGGTTGGTTGGCAAAAAATAAAAATCTGAAGAAAGCATTTGCAGTTACAACCATTTAGATTAAAATTGAATGATGCCAAATGTGTACTGCCTCTTGTCAGGGTGACCGTAAGGTCATGGCCAAATTCTGCTAAATGCACTTCAAAAATCTGTCAGATTTATCAAAAATCTGCCAAATTCCAAAGAATTACTCGAAATACACTATAAACACTTAAAATAAACACTTAAAATCACTTGATTTGTAGTATTGCCTTAATTAAGGTTCAAATTACATTATAAACAATCTATAGTCACATAAAGATGTTATGAAATTGCGTAAGTTTCAGGCAAAATGCGATTGCTTCACGACGAAGTCCGGTTCCCAGTGAACCTCAGCACCTAGACCAGCCAACCTGTCCCATCATGCCAGGGTTTTGTTTGAAAAGATTGAAGCTTTTTTAAACAAATGTACCTTTTTTTTTGGAATTTGCTATGTTTTTCTGTCAAATAACCATTTTGGCAGAATTCCCACGTTAGGAAACACTCCGCCAATTTGTGCCCAATTTCCGGACGCCACCGTTTTTGAATTTCGGATTAAATTTTATGAAACTGAAATTGTTCACAGATTTGAAATAGCACGCATTAATAAGGTAAAAGTACTAGTATTTTACTGCATGAATTTGAGGTTTGTCAACAAAGGGGTTTGGCAACACTACACGGGGAAAGTCGGTAAAGTTCGAAGCGCGCCACGTTAGGGAACACGACTATAGATCCCTGATATTTTGAGAGGCAAAACCCTCGTATCTTCTGGGATTGCATTGTTGCTATACGCTGTGCTTCATGTAAAATTGGATATCATTTTCCATAGCTTTTCAAATTACACAAAGCCTGATTGCCTGAATTAATTTTTTCCCCTTCATTTTGTAGTTTGGCTTCCAGAAGGGGTTGGCAGTACTTAAAGAGGTTTTTTTATCAGGAGCAAAAATAGGGTCGATCGGAAATACCAACCAAACAATTAAAAAGGGATGCCCTAAGAAACCAACAAGACGTTTCAAAACCAAGTTTCGATAAAACGAAAACACAATGACACCGAAATAATTATATTTTTTTAAAGTATTTTTGTCTTGACTCGTGGATTTGCTTGTCCTGATGTGACTACATTCCTTAGCTCTGATCACAATTTTCATTTCTGTGTTTTTTACCTGTTCTATCCGCACTGATTGTCCTAGAGCAGAGCTCAAACGTTCCCTGTGGTACGACACCTGCAAGCAATGACAACCATTGACAATGACACGCAATGACAATGACACACAATGACAATTACTCGCAGTGACAACTATTGATGACAAGTGACATTTTTTGTTTACCTCAATGTCAATGTTCAAATAATTGATTATTCCATCAAATCCAAGTTCAAATAACCAAATTCTTAATTGATCATGAAATGCACAGCACTACAGCGGTTTGTCTTTATTCTGAAATTGAAATGGTTGCACATTATACAGGGTGTTCCAAAAAAAAAGGAACCCAACTTCAAAGAATTAGTATGGACAGACGATATGTTTACTGGCTATAAAACTGGTATCATCTGAAAGCGTAATCTCTATGCTTTTCAATGATACTATGTTTAGGTTTTCTGAGTCATGCATCACTGAGCATCATGGCCTTGAAAATTAGATGCAAAATTGCAGTTGGTTCACTTTCATTAAAAAAAACCCACTGGGCACAGTGTGCCTATTGTTACGGAAATGTCTGTGAAATGGCTTGAATGTTAATCCTCGGGAAAATGGCACATTGTTTTGAACATGGCTTGGTCAAAACAAGAAATTCATGACAAACAATAAAATCCAGTTTTGAAAACAACCTTGTTTTTTGGTTTCTTTTTATGCACTCGTGTCTTCTTCTTGAATACTTATTCTCATGCACACCATGCCAATTGTGTTTGACATGAAAGTCAACCAACTGCAAGTTTGCATCAAAATCTCATGACAGTGGCGCTCAGTGATGCATGACCCTGGAAATGTAAACTGGAAAGTACAGAGATTACGCTTTCAGATGATACCAGTTTTATAGCCAGTAAACATTTAGTCTGTCCATACTGGTTCTTCAAAGTTGGGTTTCCTTTTTATTGAAACACCCTGTATAATGCTCCATATTTTTCAATAAAATATGTTCATCATGCAGCATTGTTAGACATTTTTTGAAAAAATCAACCACAGTTGTACTTACATGCATTCATGAGCCCCTTGTATATCAGCGGTTTCCAGTTTTCAAGAGAGGTGTTAAAGTCCTCGGCGAATCGTAGACAGAAAGTCTGGAAGAACCCCTTGGTGACTAGCGACTTGTTGTAGCAGGCGGTGATCAGCGAGCTCTCCAACGTCAGAACGAGAGCCGAATGGTAGTCCGGTTCCGGCATGCCACCAGAGAGACTGGAGATGTTCTGTTGACGCCAAGCAACAAAATAAAAGACACATTTTTATTTTGTCACTTTAAATTTTGGTGGAGGATGGATAGTTGGAGCAGAGAAGTTTAGGGTATTGGAACCTTAAACCTAATTTGATATCAAAAAGAGAGATGGTCGATATTAAAACCAAGACCATAAGGACTAGTTCTAGAACTTTTTGCCCCAAGCTGTTCTTCTTTCAATATCAGGGATATGAGATACTAAAACAAAAGCAAAATAATAATAATAATAAACCATTCTTATAAAGCGCATTTTACACGGGGTCCCAATGCGCTGGGACTAGTTCTAGAACTTTTTGCCCAAGCTGTTCTTCTTTCAACATCAGGGATATGAGATACTAAAACCAAAAGCAAAAGAGCTAGTTCTTGAACTTTTCCCCAACTTCTTCAGATACAACAACTAAAACCAATGTACTAGTTCTAGAACTTTGAACCAGAGTTCTCCAGATTCTACAACCAAAACCAAAAGAACTAGTTCTAGAACTCTGCCCTGTGTTTTTCAGATACAAACAAAATAAGATGAACTAGTTCTAGAACGTTGCCTCAGGTTTTTGAGATACTATTCAAAACCAAAAGAACGGTTCTAGAACTTTGCACAAAGTTCTTCAGAAACTACAACCAAAATCAAAAGAACTAGTTCGAGAAGTTTTGCCCCAACTTCATCAGATACTACAGCCAAAACCAAAAGAGCTAGGTTCTAGAACTTTGCCCCAAGTTCTTTAGATACCACAACTAAACCTAAAAGAACTAGTTCTAGAACTTTGCACGACAGATTTACCTGGAATGATGGGTTGATAGGAATGCACACCCCTAGATCCTGCAAGGTGAGTTGCAAGAAGACAGAGCTGAGTTTCTCCAGGGAGGTGGGCTGTCGATGCAGTAGGTTCCTGGCTGGGACTCGGGGGCCTGATGTGGCCTTCTGTTGGTCTCGCCACAGCTCGTAGGCGCTGTGGTAACACACCCAGACTAGCACAGCTGTACAGGGAGAGACACAAAACATTTCAGGCTGTCAGTTTCGATATACAGTAAACTCCAGCTAAACCGGCACTCTCGGGACCCGAGAATTTGTGACGACTTACGCGAATGCCGATATCTGCTGTAAGTCGTCATTTTGCCGACTTACATGAATGGTCTTTTGCACACATGATTCATTGCACTAATTGGCTTCGATTTACCCTGGATTATCTCCTTAATGCTTGAGTTGAATCCAGCAAATTAATCCTCGAATTGTATCATCACGTTTGGGGTATTGATAGTGGAGACCATGATACATATGTACGTGCACAGTAACGAATTAAATGCCTGTGTGGTCCGGTATATACCACGCACGCATTGACTGCAGCAGTAGTCATTCAATAAGACGACCCCCAAAATGGACAGAGCGCATGCGTACAGCCTAGAGGGGGTACTGGTATTGATATGCTCACGATGCATATGCGATGTATGCAGTAGGACACCCTTTTAATTTCGACAACGATGTATGCAGCGATCACGGGCCGTGCCAAACCACTTTTCACTCGACACTTTGCCAACCGCAGTACAGGAAGTCGATGTCAATGCGTGATTTGTTAAATGCCGACTTACACAAAGGATTGTGAAATGTTTTTATGGAAAGGGGACCGAGAGTAACACGACGACTTGAGCGAAATGGCGACTTATAAAAGCCGACTTAGAAATATAAAAATTCAATGGAAATGCATTACGGACAATTGGGGACTTTAGTCAGACGGCCGACTTGAGCGATTTGACGAGTTGTACGATGTCGGTTTAGCTGGAGTTTACTGAAGGCAGTAGTCATCTTGCCATTTTTTGGGGGGAGGAGCTTGTTCCTCCCTAAAATTCCCTACCTCTACCTGTGACCTATACAAACTGCACTAGCACTCTACCAAGTGTTTCATCCAGCCATGTTTGAATCTGAAATAAACAAGCTCAATATCTGAAATCTACTGACCTATATCAACTGCGCTGGGCTGGAGGTACAATATAGGCTTAGTCAGAGTGACTAGAAAGGCCGATTTCTCATCCTTGAGGGAGGCCATGTTGTCCTGCTGGGAGATGAAATACAAATATGATTACAAAAACTTGAAGGTTTGCTTAATGAAGATTTGAGTGAATAAAGGATTTTGGTGTACAGTAAAACACCAGTATAAGGAATGTGGAGTGCTATGGCCTAGCGGCGCAAAGCACTGAATTCGTAAGATGGAATTTTGCGTCGGGGTGCTTTATTAATCAAATTAGGTTTTGCCCTTCGCAGACATATAAACACTGTATACTCAGTGTGTTACCTCCCATGTGAAAAGTTGGAAAAAATCACTCGGGTGGGACTCGAACCCACGACCTCCTGCTTTCTAGTGCAGACGTCTTACCACTCGACCACCGAGCTAACGGGATGGGTTGGCTGGTTCGAATCTGATGTACACAGCAGCAGGTACCGCATTAACTATTCATAAGATGGAATTTTGCGTCGGGGTGGTTGAATTCATGGTCTGCAGGTAATTCTGCTGGTTGTGGGTTCGAGTCCAGCCTGTGCGTGTGCCCTTGGGCAAGGCACTTCGTCAAAAAACGTCTTGGGAATCTTGTAGCGGTTGTACCCCTGTTTTGCCTAATGTATGCAGCGCGCATTCAACACCTTGCGTATTAGCTCTGAACCAAACTCTGAAATTTCAGACAGTAGCTCGCAAGACGCTACCAAACTTTTGTGCAACTTATTGGCAATGAGTTTACAAGATTCCTAAGACGGTTTTGTAATCGGTTCGTGGATGATAGCGGTTTCGTTTTAAAAATGCCCTCTTGCGGCACAACAACTTCTTGACCCAAACTAGGCCAAGTTCGGGCAAGGACCATTAGTCGACTAGTGGTTGATTTGTGACGTACCTTACGCCTGCGCACTGATAGCAACGTGCGAACGTCTCTCGTCAAACGCTGGTCAAAATGTCATCGCAAAACTTCTGGATCCTGGCTCTCTGCTAGCGTTATGAATGCGCGCGACTATTAGTTACCAGCGATGCAACCAACCCCAGTAGGCTGGTTCCAAATAGTCGACTAGCGTAGTCAACCACCGTCGACTAGACAGAGTTCGGGCAAACGTTAGTTAACCATTGGTCAACTATAGTCCTTGCGCGAACTTGGCCCTAGTAGGAACATTGACCAATGAGAGAAGTTTGGTTCATGAATATGTATGAGGTGTAACAGAACTCACTCTCGGCGCATTAGTCAGTCCAATGTTGGCCTTGAAATAAGCCAACTGATGAAGCTCGGGGTCGACCTCACTGACCCCGTGTGACCTCTGCATGGTACCCAGACTTATGTTGAGATCGATCAAGGCTTTGGCATACAGCTTCATGCTTCCCGGCTCGGTAATGGTGGCACCTGATGAAAGAACCACAAAAATTATAAATTATTCCAATTTGCATGGAAGATTAAAAATCCTCAGAGAAATATACATAAATTTGGTCAACAATGAGAGGCAATGAGTGTATTTGAAAATGTAACTTTTGGTTACAACTAATTTGGCCAAGTAATTCTTGAGAATTTTTGCATTTTTTTTTTTTCTTCAAAAATTGAATTTTCTTTATATTGCAACGATGGACCTGCTAGATTGAACTCTTCATGTTTTTCGGCTTTTGTTCCCACAAAACGGCTCAATAATTGGCCGTAAACATGAAACTTAAGTTCAACCCGGGGCGAAATCAATCTCGGGGTTGACGCAGGGTTGACGCAGGGTTGAAATTCTTCAAGTGTGAACCGATGTATGTTTTCAACCCTGTGTCAACCCTGCGTCAACCCCGAGATTTGTCTAGTGTGAAAAGGGCTTAGGGCACCTTTATGACAACTAACCCCTCCCCCAAAAATTTAAATTTATTTATTTATTTTATTTCCAATATGTCTGGTACCTACCTCCAGCTCCAGCCATTCTATTGGATAACTGGACCTCTACAGCACCAGTCTCAAGCCTCATGGCGCTAGCTGAAGGAGTGGTGGCAGTAATCTGCACTCCCTGTCGAGACAAAGACGCATTTTCTTTTGTCAACCGTAAACATGTCTCATAGAAAAAAATCTGCACGTATCTTTGAAAAGAAGAACTAAAAAAACAAGTAATTTATGATCAAAATGGGCCTGAAAAAAAATCGATTCAATTCAAAACAATTTTTATTTCCACACAATATTAGTAACATTAATTAAAGCTATAGTCCATCATTTGCAGCTACCCAAAAAGTGACTGACGTAATTATTGTTGAAAAACATACTTGGTTGAAAGATAGTAAGGGGACTAAACTCCCTGTGAAATTATTCTTTCTGGCAAGCTGTCATTTTGAAGTAATCAACGAAATAACGCCTTTCCAACGGTGCGTCTTAAGACGCACAGTTGGAAATTTCCGTTAGTAGTTTGTTTTTTTATTCGGCGAAGAGCGCGCCAGCTTTGGCATGACGCACACGTGCACACAGTTGCTATAATTTGTCAGATCAGTGCGTGACATCGCGTAGCTGCAATCTGCTCAGTGACAACGTGTTTCGGACGCTGAATTCAGGCCAAATTCAAAACATGATTCAGCAACTTTTGATTTGAAATCGAGATCCTAGAATGTTGTTTTTCTCGAAATATACAGCTGAAGCTGAGCTTAAACCTCATCAGCTTAGTTGTTTATCACCCTTCTTTAGATTTTAAGAACGTTTGTTGCTTCAAACGAAAAAAATGCACAAATTACAAATGATGGACTATACCTTTTATAAGTAATTCTTTGCAATGGGCTGTGGCATAGGAAAAAAAAATTCGGTGAAAAAATCTCAATTTATCAGAAAGTTTAACCTTTAAAAGTATAAACTGCACAGTTTGTTTTGTTTTATTAACTATTCATTGATCATGTTTTTCTCCAAATTTGTCCAAAATCGGAACAAATTGTTGTAATTACATGGTGTGAGGTCACTACTTTTTTAAAGTAAAATGGACAGATTTTGTGAAAAATCTTCAAATTTAACATTTTACAGTTGTCTCATAAAAACACTGAGGTCCAAAAAGTGCAACGTTGAATATAGACATACACACACAAAAGAAAATGCCTTGAATAAAATTTTACAACAATAACATGATTGAGAATGAAAAAGTTTCCAAATAATGAAACCAGAATATTTCAAATATTTTAAAGGAATAACAAATGTTGTGCCTACTTTGAATTTGACGAGCACGGAGATATCAAAATCCGAGCGATCGGTCGCAGCAGGCTGGGTTTTATCCTCTAGTTGCACTGGCTTCGCCGACTCCTCCATTCCAAACATGTGATCCATCATACTCGACAAATCCTTTTAGAAAAGAAAAAAAAAATAAACCAGAGTTCTGTTAAAGATTCTCTGAGGATCTTACACATGAAGTCATCCATACATGTTCACAACCAGCGTTGCAGTCAAGTACTAATATCTGAGTACAAAGTACTGCTGAATACCAAGTTATTTAGTGCTTCTGCATACTTTGACCTTTGAGAAGGAGTACAGGTACCCGAGTTCAAGTACTTGAACCTACGAGTACAAGTTTGAATACTTGAACCTCGGATGGACCTCCGAGTACAAGTATTTTAGTGAGTACTCAAGTGAACACAATTAAAATCCATATTTAATAAGGGAATAAATGTGTGCTCCGGAGGTTTTTATCACTCTGTTTAAGACCACTTAGTGTCTGGGTGCTGATAATTACCCGAGCCGGGAAAAAAAATCATATAATTCGTTCAAAACATCCCGATTTTGTTCAACAAATTCACTTTATGCTTTTTGAAACATCCCTCTTGCAAAATAATGGAGTGTTCAGCTGGCGAGTAAGATGTAAACAACCCTTTTATGGAGATTGACGCGTGCGTATCATGTTCTGCGCGATGTCGTGCAGAACGCACCTGGCGCGTTGCGTTTTGAATTTAGAACTATAAAATTCTGACTCCCTGGTAGCGTTGCGCTTGCCTACGTGAGGATTGTGAACGTTCAACCAATGCAATGATAAGAGGCACTGGATTTTTAGGAGTCCACATTTTATTGTGACACTGGAAAAGTGTTTAAGACCAGCTAGCCATGTCTTTATCATCCGTTTAAGACCGGCCACGTGACGGGCTCTCGACCAATAGGAATGCGTAAACTGTCTTAGGTATTTATGAATCTAAATTAAGGACATCGATCCTCTCCTGAGTCTGGTACTTTTCAGTATTGATAAAATGGAGCACGTGCATATCCAAGTGAGGAGATTTTTTTTTCATCAAAAACTAACTCACTCGATTTTTCCCCTGAGTTTTTATAATCGAGTATGAGTACTTTGATGATGGAGTACAATTTTGAATAGTCAAGTTTAAGTACTTTGCTTCTTGAGTAACCTGAATTCGAGTCCAAGTATTTGGATTTCCCAGTACAAGTGCGAGTATGAGTAGTATCATAAAGTACTTGAGTTGTATTCGAGTATGAGTACTGAGTACGAGTACGAGTACAAGTAATTCTAACCAAAAGAATTCATTTTCCTCCTTTTTTTGGACCTCTGCAAAACTCTTTAAAAAGTGAATAACTTTTGTATTACATGAAACTCGAATATGGCACGGGAATGAATCTTAAAATATCTCTAATACAGCAACGCAAGATATACGGGTAATCTTCTAGAAACCTTCATGTTCATCATGGGTCAAAAGTGATAAACTACTGAGATAGATTCGTGGGATGCCGTGGTCCAATGGTTACGGTGTTCAACTCGTGTGCCGTGGTACATGGGTTCGAATCCTGACCGTGCGAACATGGTGCTTGTGCTCTTGAGCAAGGCACTTTACCATTATTGCTTTGTCCTTCGGATGGGACGTAAAGCCGTAGGTCCCGTGTGTTGTGTAATGCACGTTAAAGAACCCAGTAACACTCATCACTAAGAGAAGGGGTTTGCCCCGGTGTTTCTGGCAGTGGCTGCAATATGCGCCGCAGCACCTTGTAAACCCTTATAAGGTGCTACATAATGGGTCTCATATTTTTCATAAACTTCATTTCAATACCTGTCTTTAATAATAGACATAATTTCCAGCGCCTTGAGTACCTAATTGTTGGTAGATACGTGCGCTATATAAGACTCCGGTATTATTATTATTATTATTATTACAGACATAAGCACTTACAGTCAGGAAGACATGATGCACAGTAATGAGATGGTTGACTAGACTAGTGGAAATGTTGTGATTTAACGCATCGATGGTGAGTTCAGCATCAAGGCTGGTGCGGCTAGGAGCAACAGTCGCTGCTGCTGCTGCTGCTGCTGCTGCCGTTGCCGATTTACTGGTTTCTTGTTCAGGCAAGATGTAACGGCCACTGAACGAAATGCAAGGCAGGTCAATCTCGGCAGTCGATAATTCATCTCCGTCTTGAACCTTGGGTTAAGAAAGGGTCAAAGGTGAATCAATATGCTGCCCTCTACGATCATGAACTGATGACAACAATCCAACAGCAGTCAGCTCCGGAATTAATCAGGAGCTTTCAATGCTGACACCAAATGAACATGCTGTAAAACATTTGACCGTACTGTATTGGAATTGTTCAAAAGCCTGTGTCTCCCATGTCAAGGACCTAAAGTCACGAAAATTGGAACCTGAAGACGAAGCTGGAACAAAAGCGAGGTTAAGAAATGATGATGAAACCCCCCCCCCCCCCAAAACCCACACAAACAAACAAACACACACACACACACAAACAGGGGAAAAGACCACCAGGATTCAAACTTTCAACTCCAATTATTTATAATTATACAAGCTATACCAAGACTTCTTAATGGTGAAATCAATGGGGCACTGGTTTCTTAATCCCCCAAATTCTTAAGGAATTATCAGCTGAGCAAAACGAGACAGAAAAAAGTACCTTGGAGCTGAACTTGAGGCAGTGTGTGGGCATTTCCAGGCCGTACTTATTCACTCCAGCGTCGGAGGAAGAGGTGCCTTTGATTTCACGGATCTGCACAAATTTGACAACAATTATCAGCATAAAATTTACATATTTTTTAAGTCATTGTTACCCCCCCCCCCAACGTTAGTATGGCATTTTCCCAGCACAGTTCCACAACCGTACTGCAATTTACAATACCCGTTAAAATAGGGGTCCAAATTCACTCAACTATTTGCCGTCCAACAAATTTTGGTTTATAGTGGTTAGACGACAGCAAACAGTAACCATTTGAACTTGCTGACTAGTCTTGTTGACAGGATGACTGATTATCCATGCCCTGTGGCGAGACCAGCTAGACTCATTGCACAAACATGCGGTTCTTGTCAGAGGGCTGGTGTTTGGCTAGGATTTTCAAGGTCAATTGCTCAACTCTGCTTGAAGGGGCTCGAATAAGGAACTTGTGAAATAAATTAAGCAAAACAGATTGCACTTTGCAGTACATTGCCTGCGCAGAGGGTATAGACAATGTCAGGGTGTTCTGTTGAATACATTACGAATGAGATATCTCAATGTTGAAGTATACAAATTCTGATTCAAATTTCCAGTGATATTTATACAACTTACTATGTATTGAGCTTTCAGTGAAGGCAAGACGGCCGCCTGCAAGCAGACATTGTTCAATTTCAGAGTGCTGGTAACCTGCCAAGAAATCGATGCAGGTGCAGGGACCTCGCCAGGGATGGCCTCTGTGCTTGTCACAGGGTCTGCCTGCCCTCTGTGTTCCTCCCCTGTCCCCACCCCGTCCCCCACCCCGTCTATCTCATCCACCCCCTGGGGTCTGGTCAGGGCCGACTGCAGCTCCTTGATGCGGTGTGTCAGTTTGCGTTTGCTGCGGGTGATGACGCCGTGCAGTGTCGCTAGGCCGATGGGCAGGCTGGCGTCGAGGGACTGGAGGTTGAAGTGTGTGGCTATGTGGCCTGGGTTAGCGTGGCTTGCCGCGGCACAGGACGCTTGCGGCTTGTCCAACGTCAACGTCACAACGCACCTGAAGTCACAGGAGAAGTTTGTTACTCCCTGTTCTGCCAAAACCTGCCTGATCACTCAATGGTTCTATGGATTCTTCAAGGAACAAATATAATGTAATACAGTGTAATACAAGTACATATATAATACAATGTAGTTAAAGATATAGTCCATCATTTGTAATTTGTGCATTTTGTTTGTTTGAAGCAACAAAAGTGTTCAAAATCTAATGAAGGATACTGAAAACTAACCTGATGAAGTTTCAGCTCAGCTTCAGCTGTATATTCCGAGAAAAACAGCATTCTAGGATCTCAATTTTAAATCAAAAGTTGCTGAATCATGTTTTGAATTCAGCGTCCGAGACGCGTTCTCACTGAGCCGATTGCAGCTACGCGATGTCGCGCACTGATCCGACGAATTAAAGCAACCGCACGCGCGTGTGCGTCGTGCCAATGCTTGCGCGCGCTTTGCCGAATAACAAAACGAACTACTAATTTAAATTTTCCTACGGTGCGTCTTAGACGCACCGTTGGAAGGCCTTCTTTCGTTGATTACTTCAAATGACAGCTTGCCAGAAAGAATAATTTCACAGGGAGTTTAGTCCCCTTACTATCTTTCAACCAAGTATGTTTTTCAACAATAATTACGCCAGTTACTTTTCGGATGGCTGCAAATGATGGACTATAGCTTTAAGGCGCTGTACTGCCCCAGCACTGTATGGTTCTATGGCTTCTTCAGGGAATAAATACAGAGTAATACAATGTAATACAATGTAATACAATGTAATACAATGTAATACAATGTAATACAATGTAATACAAATCAGTACAGAGTATTCAGTGTGGTACAGGATGGTATGGGTTATTGCTGTGCAGTGTGGTTGTGCACGACTGAAGAATCTTCAAGTCAATTCAGTGTCAGTGTCGTCACACATCGGTCTTTTAAAATATGTTTTGTCAATTTGTTATCTTCTACTTACAATGGGTTTGGCTTCTGCCTTTCCGACAACACAACGATGGCCTCATCGCAACTGACTAAAACTGATCGTTGGGACCACTGCTTTCGACCACTCCCTGAAAAAAAAGCAACACAGATAAAAAGACTGGCTAACCAACATGAGGGCATTAAAAAAAATGGTAAAATGACAAAAAAAATTAAGAACCTTCTGTCTCATTTTTTTTTAAGGGGGGAATTTTTAGGTTGTTTGGATTGAGAACTTGTTGGCGTGCTCTTGCAAATCTGAAAGGAAGCCTACGTTTTTAAGAAGTGGTTTTCATGAAATGAAAAATAAAGGAATGGATTTCCAACACGACGACTAATTAATCAAATATTATATAAAAAAGAAGGAAACCCACTTTAGACAGGAACTTTAACCTTCTTACGTAACTTATTTGAACTGTCTTTTTTAATGTACTGAAGTATAGCTCTTCGACCATACGTTGTGAATTTTTTTTTAAAAATCGCATGAATAGTGTTATTATGTCAATTTGAATACAAGCCATCAAACTCACTGTTGTCCACATGTACAATGGAAGTCTAGTGTAGTATTTTTGTCTTCAAATCAAGCTCCGGAGCTCAGTCAAGCGGATGGAATAAAGCCGTCCGTGGACAAACAGGTTTGGCACATGAAATTTTTAAAGTACCATATCTCAGAGAAAACCTATGCATCTGCAATCATTTTTGTCAATTATTTTTGAAGATCAATTTTCAATAAAGTTCAATTGAAATTCTGAAACATGCTCAATACGAAGGTGAAAATTGCTGTCAAAAGTGAGTTTCCTTCTTTTGGCACCACTCTGCATGTTATTATTTTAAGGCTTATTTATACCTGGTGCAGGCACTAGATGCTTGGTGCTGATGCTAGCCGTGATGTTGTTGAGTTCTGCTTCGCTCTGCAAGCCAGCTAGCTGGGACACTATGCACAGCTCCTCCAGAAGGATCGTACACAGCATGGAGACGTGAAGCGGCTGCTGGGCCTGCTCCTCTTTGGTCATCTTGCTTGGCAACCCGCCGTCCGCTTCGTCCAAGTCTTCCACTAATCTCCTGTTTAAAGGGAATTTACATCATTGGCTTTTGTTGTAATTTTCAGAAATGAACTTATTTGAGGGGTTAGTATAATAGATCAAATATTGTTTAACTGACATGACTGAAGTTTTGTGTTCGAAAATGCTTGAAAAACCAAGAAAAACTAAAATGTTTAAGTAGTCTGGTTCCCTGACTCCACTAAAGATAAAATGGATCAATTTATAGATGTCGGAAAAATTGAAGGTAAGGGAACCAGTCTAAGCTGGCCTGCACCCGTTCATGAACATGTAACTAATAGCAAACAAAATTTGGACTGAAAAAAATTGTAAATTTGGAGCAGTAGTTGAAAAATAGTTAGGTTTTTCCAACGGTGGTCGGCCGACCACCGTTGGAAATATATACAAAAATACCATTTTCTTGAAAATGACTTGACACCAGGTGCCATAATTTTACAGGATGCTTTAGACTGTCATTTACAAACATCCTAGTAAGGTATTTCGTAAAAACTTGGTAGTTTTATTCTTCGATGTTTGCAAATGTTGTATATTCCCTTTAAACAAAGGCATTTGGATGATGAAAATAGGTGGCTGGATCCTACAAAACGAGTCTTAATGTTTGGGCGCATTGTGGACTAGCCAAAAGAATGGCTCGATGTTGAATTGTGATCAGGCAAAAGCTTTCCTATTGTTTTAACTGCCTTTGATAAACCCATTAAAAAAGTGCATCGACAATTTTTGTTTGATTCTTTTTCTCTTCAGTTACAGGGTACATGAGCTTTTGTTTTGCTTTGTTTGTATGATATATGTAACAATGAAGCCCTACTTTTAAAGCCACAGTCCATCATTTGCAGCTATCCAAAAAGTATAACTGGCGTAATCATTGTTGAAAAACATACTTGGTTGAGAGATAGTAAGGGGACTAAACTCCCTCTGAAATGATTCTTTCTGGAAAGCTGTCATTTTGAATAAATCAACAAAAGAAGGCCTTTCCAACTGTGCTTCTTAAGACGCACCGTAGGAAATTTGAATTAGTAGTTCGTTTTGTTTTGCAGCTAAGTGCGCGCAAGCATTGGCATGATGCACATGCGCGCACGCGGTTGCTATAATTCATCAGATGAGTGCGCGACATCGCGTAGCTGCAATCGGCTCATTGAGAGCGTGTCTCGGACGCTGAATTCAGGCCCAATTCAAAACATGATTCAGCAACTTTTGATTTGAAATCGAGATCCTAGAATGCTGTTTTTCCCGGAATGTACAGCTGAAGCTGAGCTGAAACTTCATCAGGTTAGTTGTTCAATACCCTTCTTTAGATTTTGAGCACGTTTGTTGCTTCAAACGAACAAAATGCACAAATTACAAATGATGGACTATACCTTTAATTGTTTGAGTTTATTTTGGTAAATAAATGAATGGATGAATAAATACAATTTTGGTAAATGAAGTGAATAAATAACTATACACCTTTATCTGTTATTTCCTTCTATAGAGGGTTCAATTTAAGTTTCTTCACCTGTATTCAAGTGTTGATCCTCTGTCTCTGGGCCGCCCAATCATCTGCTCGTTCTCAATCCGAAACAAAGGATTGATAATCACATGGGATGTATCGAGGCTGTTGATTGGCTGCGTCACACCGGAGTACAGGTTCATGAGGTGGTACATGGTCTGCCAGCACTGGGCGATGACTTCGCTGTCTGCGTTTGAGCTGAAGGAAATGGTGTCGCCGTGATGACCGTCCGGACTGTCGATGCGGGGAAGGGTGGCCTGTTGCCGGATCAAGGTGGTTGAGAGATCAGAGTTCATGGTGCTGGGTTCTGTGTCAGTTCCGCTCTTGCTGCTTGGAAGGTGGCGCTTTGCCTCTTGCATGGCTTGACCGACTTGGACTAGCTGGCTGAGGAGTCTCAGTAAAGGCATGTTCATGACGGGCATGGCCCGAGTCCAGTGGACGGACATGTAGGCCGCTACCGCCTGGCACTGCCCGGCTTGGTTGACCGGTACGCCAGACGAATCTGAGGGAGAAGGTTTGAGGGGCCGGTCACCAACCTCTGGGGTTTGGCGTCCGGTTTCAAAGCACTCATTCAGGGAGAACTTCAAGACCAGGCTCTCGCTGGAGAAGGAAGGGAAGGAAGCCTTGTTGCGGGAGGAATCCTTGTCGCGGGATTTCTTCCCCCGGCTGCTGCTGCGCGGACGTGAGGATGACTCCACGATGGTGAGGCTCAGACGCTGGAGCTCGATGGTTAGTCCAGTCTGTTGGAGGTTCTTCTTGATGATGAAGTGCTCCGGCTGCTTGCGGGCGATTCCTAGATGCTTCAGGAGGGGCTTGAAGAGGATGTCTGCATCCCCGAGCTGCATGATGGTTGGCGTGATGGTGGCATCCGGGATGAAGCTGCTGGAGTAGGGTAAATTGAAAGGCAGATCTGGTGGGGCTGGGTTATGGTAAGCCTCTTCTGGAATTCCCGCCTCTTCGGGACCCCTCTCGTCTTCCATGGGCTCTACCCCCAACTCAGCGCTGTCAATACTGAGCTTTTGACTTGCTTCCAGAGTCTGATGCCTTCCCGGTGTTCCTGTGAGGCTCTGAGTGTAGCTGCTGGCAGTCTGGGACCGGTGACGTGAATGGTCCCCCGCGTCGCCCACTACGTTGCCTGGTGCGTCGTGGGATTTCTCCGCGCTTTCCGGAGCCTTGCTTGTCCCAGCAAACTCCTCATACATGCTGTACCCAGTCCCGTACTTGCTGGAGTACGGTTTCAGCATTGCCGATTCTGGATCCTCCCTCTCTGCTCCAGCTTGGGTGACCAGCTGCGGAGCGTTGTCTTGCGGGTTACCGTCCAAATCAATGCTGGCTCCCGAGTGCTGAGTCTGGAGCGTGTGTCCCGGAAGATTGGCATCCAGGGCTGCTGTTGCCAGGGGATCCACGCCCTCTTGTTCTTCTAGCTGTGGAATTCTGCTCGCGGGGAACTGCGCGGCCGTGACGGCCGGATTCAGCATGGATAGGATAACCTTCCACTGTCTGATCAAGGCGTGAGTGCCTTGCTCCAGGACTAGGATCGGAGGTACATCCTCGCTGACTAGCTTCTCGATACGCTGGGGGTTGCTGCTGTGGAGGTAGTACCAGAGGGTTGTGAAGAGCTGGCAGGATAGGTCCTGGCTGACGGAATCTGTCTCCGCTGTCCAGCGCTTGTACTTGCTCTGAAAGGATGCCCCAAAAAAGGTGTCTTGTTAGTTTCAAAATCCTTGTATGATTATTATTAGTCTTTTTGTAATGCCACGGCTATGCCATTGGATTTATTTGATCCAGTCAACACCAGCTAGGTAAAGTGATAAGACCCGCACAAAACCAGGGATGAAGTCCAGTCTATCACAAGTCCCTGCAAGTCCATCACAAGTCCTCCAGTCCAAATCGACTCACAAGCTATCGACTCACAGCACTGGTGGAGTGCTGTGGCCTCGTGGTTAAGGGCATTGAATTCATGGTCTGTGGGTAAAGCTGCAGGTTGTGGGTTCGAGTCAAGCCTGGGGCCATGGTGCGTGTGCCCGTTGGCAAGGCACTTTGTCACTCATTGCTTCACTCCACCCAGGAGTAAATGGGTACCTGTGAGGGCAGAGATGGTTATTGTGATTGAATTAGCTTCCTTGCGCCCAACAGGCTGCATCGAGCTGTATACTCCCCAGGGAGCTGAGATGGTATTTGGAATGTTTAATTGGCCCAATGATCAGGGGTAATAATAATGTAAAGCGCTTTGATCTTAGTTAAAAGCGCTATGTAAGAACCTGTTATTATTATTATTATTATTCAAATGGGCTTTGACAGAGGCTTTCCTTTGTTAATGTTCATCCACTCTTACTTGTGACTGGACTTGCGATTTACTTATGACTGGACTTGTATGGACTTCACAAAAACCCACCAACAAAAGTGGAGACTAACTAACAAGCCCATTCCAAAACGGGAAAGTACTCCCATGTCCTCCCTTTCCCTTCCACGGCTTTTGCCTCTTGACTAACCTTTGCAGTCATGTAATGCGTTGAGGTCATCTCGTGCGCTTCGGCCATGATACACGCCATGACCGCGCAGACGCGCAGATGGTTGGTAGCCCGCAGACTCTTCAGCCTGAGTAATGCTTGCTGGGAGGCGGGGAGCCAGGTAGTGACGACCAGTGACAGGGCACTGACCGGATTCAAACCAGATCTGGAAAAAAATTAACAATGCACGCTGTCGTTTTGTTGCTGTACGTTTATTTGGATGATCATTGTTACACTTGGAGATTAACCAAAGACCGTTGAACTGCTGGTCAAGTGTTCGACCAACTATAATGCCTCTCAAGCACATTAACATTGCCTAAATTGTCAAAATTAACCAGAACCTATTGACCTCCAACTATTTACTTTCAACTGTTGACTGCCAAATGTTGACCGCCAAATACCGACTGCCAATTTACTGACTGCAAACTATTGACCGCCAATTATTGACTAAAAACTATTGACTGCCAATTACTGACTGCCAAATACTGACTGCCAACTATTGACTAAAACTATTGACTGCCAATTACTGACTGCCAACAATGACTGCCAACTATCGGTAGCCAATTATTGACTGCCAACTATTGATTGCCAACTTGTGATTGCCAACTATTGACTGCAAACTATTGACTGCCAACTACTGACTGCCAACTATTAACTGCAAAATACAGACTGCCAACTATTGACTACAAACTTTTGACTGTCAACAACTGACTGTCAATTATTGACTGAAATGAAATGCAATTGGCGTTCCGCACAAGTGAATAGACTTTTGAAGAAATTGAAATGGTTTGAATGTACTTACTGAACACCTACTGCATGGTCATGTGACAGCCTGCTAGGAGTGGGCGCATGTAACCAAACCGAACTGATCACCATTTTGCCATCCACGCTCCGAGACTTACTAGACTTGCTGGCCTGCTTCCTCATAGCTAGAGTGATATCTGAGTGTCGCAAATCGGCACCCGACGAGACCCCGGGGTGAATGTCACCGACGCTGCGAGCCCTTGCCCACGGGAGGCTCTGGTGGTCGGACTGGGTGGTGGACAGGAACTCGGGGGAGATCTGCCAGTTTTGGCTGGGCTGGCGGGAGTGGGTGCGGGAGGGGCCGGCCGTGGAGGGTTGAGGGGTGACCGGTGCGCACTGCATGCTGGCGCTGAGTGTGATGCCCTCGATGCCGCATTCCATGAGACTGCAGCTGGTGGGAGGCGGCATGATCACGTCGTCTGCGTCTTGGGAGCCGGAGTGTGGTGCCAGTGTGAACATGACCTAATAAAGAGTTAAAACAACCAGTGGAATAGACAAACAGAGCTAAGAAAGCCATTTAAAAAAGTGTATAATGATGTCAAGAAAAACAGACAGCCTTAAAAAACAAAACAACATAAGGGAGCAAACAAACAAGCAGACAACCAACAGAAACACAAACAGACAGCCCGTAAAGGGAAGTCAACAGCGGAATAGACAGACAGATGTTGGAGGGCCATGCAGAACACATTAACCCCATGCGCTTGGGAAGCGGTCATGGCCGCGGCCGCTAATCCTCATTGGAATGCAGTTGCCAGCTGTGGTATGCCGTGGCACACGGCTAGTGGGTAGTTCCACAGCTGCTGCTTTTGTGCAGTCCCGCTACCACACAAAGGCTGTGCAGTCATGTGGGCCACTTGCTCTATGTGTGGAGGAATGTCCCCATTATAACCCGTGCTTAAGGGGTTAAAGAAGACGCAAAGAAAATGAGACAGCCAAACAAACAAGACAACATGAAAACACAAACAAACAAACAAACAGACAAACGAAAGTCAACAGTGGGAAAGGCAGTCAAACCTGGATCCATCTCAATGACAGCAACTGACTAGAATGTTACTGTGACACAACACAGACAGGGGAAAAGGAAATTCATTTTCAAAAAAGAGTCAAAATCACATGTTAGTCACAAATCAATGAACGCTGGAAGCGTTTTGCATTGATAATGGGAGTATTTTAGTTCAAAGTCAGAGATCACAAGGCAGTCGAGAGCAGGCTATCCCTCAGCCTAACTCGCCTTTTCAAAGACCACTCCATGTTAGCCATTTCTCCGCCATCCCTTAAAGATGTAGTCCATCATTTGTAATTTGTGCATTTTGTTCGTTTGAAGCAACAAAAGTGTTCAAATCTAATAAAAGATACTGAACAACTAACCTGATGAAGTTTCAACTCAGCTTCAGCTGTATATTCCGAGAAAAACAGCATTCTAGGATCTCAATTTCAAATCAAAAGTTGCTGAATCATGTTTTGAATTGTTTTGAATTGCAGCTATACGCGATGTCGCGCACTGATTATAGCAACCGCGCGTGCGCGTGTGCGTCGTGCCAATGCTTGCACGCGCTTCGCCGAATAACAAAACGAACTACTAATTTAAATTTTCCTACGATGCGCCTTAGGACACACCGTTGGAAAGACCTTCTTTCGTTGATTACTTCAAAATGACAGCTTTCCAGAAAGAATAATTTCACAGGGAGTTTAGTCCACTTACTATCTTTCAACCAAGTATGTGTTTCAACAATAATTATGCCAGTTACTTTTCGGATGGCTGCAAATTTAATGGACTATAGCTTTAAATAAGCAACATAAGTAATGTCAAGAATTTGAGAAAATCAACAAGGCCGAACCTTGGATAGTGACTGCGGGATGGACGTCACCCCCGACATGTGCCGACTCCGTCTATCCTTCCCCGGGCAGTCCAGCCCCCTCAACTGGCAGTGGATCTTGCCGATCGCAACACGCCCGACTGTGGAACTCTCCAAGTTCTTAGAGCCCGAGTCCTGATCCACGTTGTGGAGTCCGTACCGCGACCCGGGCAGGAGCTCCTCCAGTTTCTGTTTTCTCTCGGCGGGGCTGGGGGTGTTGGAGTCCGGCTGCCTGGCCGTGGATCTGTTCATGAGCTGGACTTGGATGTTACTAATGCAGCCGACTAACAGGGAGGCCTGGGTGATGTGGTGCTGATGCTGGTCAAAGTCGGTGGACGCTTGCAGGACAAGTAGATTAATCTGTGTAGCAGAAAACGTGGCATATTCAGTACTTAGGGCCTGTGACCATTCAGCCTTGGTATGAAAAGGGCCCCCCAGTAAGCTCGTCCCCTCCCAAGAAGTCCTCTCGTACCATCCCAGCTACCGGCCCAGGAGCTGGTCCGGTTGCTAATCAGGAACTCCTCTATCCTGGGGTCTATTGTTTGCAAGTTTTGACACATGTAATATATCCCAAAAGAAACCTGCTTGTGGTTTTCATCTCTCAGCGCGAAACAATAGAACACTTTCGTCGGCACAGATCAAAACCCCTGCCATGCGGTTTCGCGCACAATGGGACCGTAAATTACCTAGGCGTTATGGAAGGATTTTATCTTTAATCCGGTAAGTCTGCTATTGTTCTGCTCTGGACGTTCTCTGAATGGCAATAAATTGATGCGCCTTACTGACTTCAAAACTTCTGGTCAGACAGGACCATGAACCGGACGAGACTGGGCTGAAGACCGGACTGGCTTTGGACCGGACGAGGTACCGGGGGGCCTTTTTCATACCAGGGCTGAATGGTCACGGTCCCTTACTGAAAATGATGTCCAAACAGTATCAGCGACAGGGATTATGTTTGAGCTTTCACCTTTTTCTGTCCCACTTCACCTACTGAATAAATCAGGCATGCAACCGGGAAGTAACCCGAAAAAGAGAAAATAATTCCAAGCTTTACAAGGCATTATAGGCCCGATAGTGTTTTCTATTTGTTTTATAATAATGATAATAATAATCAGCATTTAAAGGGAAAATACAACATTTACAAACATCAAAAAATAAAACTACCAAATCATTTTGAAATACCTGGCTGGACTGTTAGTGAATGACAGTGTAAAGCATCCTGTAAAATCATGGCACCTGGTATACCGTCATTTTCAAGAAAAGTGGTATTTTTGTATCAATTTCCAACGCTGGTCGGCCGACCAGCATTGGAAGAGACTGGCTTTTTTTCAAATACTGGCCCCAATTGACCATCGCACTTGCTTGCAATCGATTACACACCTATGAACGGGTACAAGCCAGCTAGACTGGTTCCCTGACCTTACAATTCCCCAATGTATGTAAACTGCTCTGTTTCTTCTTATATGGAGTCAGGGAACCAGACTACAGGAAAATGATTGTTTTTCTTGGTTTTTATAGCATTTTCGAACCCAAAACCTCAAAAAAGTCAGTGTAACTATATTTGCTATATATTTCCAACCCCCCAATTCCATCCATTTCTGAAAATTACAGCAAAAGCAAATGATGTATATTCCCTTTAAATTGTATATTTTTTGAACACAGTAAGGACACATGGAATTAAAACTACCTTAGGAACAGCCACTGACAAGCTAACGGTGGACTCGGTGCTGTTCTTGAGTCCGGCTGCCTTGTTAGCACTCTTGAAGGCCGCCTGCACGTCACCTATGCAGTCCATGTGAAGCACGTCTACGATGGCTTCAGGGTGTCGCACGCATAACACATTCTCCGCAGACTGTAAATATCTGAAAGGAAAGACATGTGAATTCAGTGACAGTGACGCCAATTTTTTGTCCCCAAAACACACCAATTTTGAAGGGAGTATACAACATTTGCAAACATCAAAAAACAAAACTACTAAATTATCAAGACAAACCTTACTGGACTGTCTAAAGCATCCTGTACAATGTTGGCACCTGGTGTGATGTTATTTTCAAGAAAAGTGGTGTTTTTGTATCGATTTCCAACGCTGGTCGGCCGACCAGCGTTGGAAAAAAATGTTATTTTTTTTTAAATACTGCCCCAATTTATTATATTTAGTTAGTTCGCATTTTTTTACAATCGATTGCACACATGTGAACAGGTACAAGCCAGCTAGACTGATTCCCTGGCCTTACAATTCCCTGACGACCATAAATTGCTCCGCTTCAAGTCAAGTGGAGTCAGGAAACCGGACAACAGGAAAATGACTGTTTTTCTTGATTTTCCAGCATCTACGAACCCAAAACGTCAAAACAAGTCAGTGTAACAATATTTTCCATAAAATGCTAACCCCACAAATCAATCAATTTCTGAAAATTGCATCTAAAGCAAATGTTGCATATTCCCTTTAACCAATTTCAAGTTCATTGTTTGAAACCTGTAAGAGTAACTTAGTACCTGTCAATCACTTGCATCAGAAGTGGCGTGAGCAGAATATCAAGGGCTCCTTTGATCGAGAGGATAGCCGACGTTGAAGAACTCTGACACTCCTTGACAAGCGCTATGAGACAAATGAAACAAATCAGATTACGGACCGAGTATGTCCACATTGGCAAAACTGATAACCACTGTTGGCACTTCAGTGACTTTTCCGCTATGCATCCATAATAATAATAATAATCGGCATTTAAGAACGCTCTTATTAGTAAACTAAATCACAGCGCTTACAGTATTATTATTACCCCTGATCATTGGGCCAATTGAACATTCCAAATACCATCTCAGCTCCCTGAGGAGTATACAGCTCGATGCTGCCTGTTAGGTGCAGGCAAAGCTTATTCAATCACAATAACCATCTCTGCTCTCACAGGTACCCATTTACTCCTGGGTGGAGAGAAGCAATGAGTGACAAAGTGCCTTGCTCAAGGGCACACGCACCATGACCCCGGCTGGACTCGAACCCACAACCCGCAGCTTTACCCACAGACCACGAATCCAGTGCCTTTAACCACGAGGCCACAGCACTCCACATGCTCTAGTATTCCTCTAAAGTGAAGACGCAACAAGATTCAACTGACTTACTCTGTGTGGACTGGTAGGTGGGTGGTGATGAGTGGACCCGATTGTGGCGTCTCACTTCTTGCGGAGGAAGTCCTAGGAACATCTCGCTGTCTGCACTGTCCTCGTCTTCGGACTCCGACTCCGTGTCAATGTCGTTCTGCTCGACGTCTGTCATCGTCACGAGTCCCGGCTTCAAGCCCGGCTGGCTGATGGTGAAATCCGGAAGCGGGATGTTACCCTTGATGAGGGTGGTGGCAGGGGCGCAGAGTGGGCTGAAAGGAGGGTGTGTCTGGAGGGTGTGGCCTGGTGGGTGTGTCACCCAGCCACTGCAACCCCAGAGCGTTAGGTGATGGCAGTAGGCCTTTGTAGACGCCCAGGGGTGCTGTAAGCTTGGGCTCTGGGGAGCCGCGTCTTTGGACTTCTTCTGAGCGTGCATACTGCTCTCAGTGGATGCGGCAGAGACGAAAGACGCAGAGGATGAATGTCTCCTCCGGTCTGTGTCATCATGTCTTTGAAGAGATTCTGGAGATTCTACTTGCTGAGTGGATGCCGAAGATAGGGTCTCATCGGCGAAGGATTTTGATGGGGAACTTTCAGGAGCGTTGATATCGAAGCTGCCGCTGGAGGGAGTTTCGATGAGCGTCTTGCTCATGCTGTCAGTGAGAGTGAAATCATCTTCCGCCGAGTAGTACTCACTCTCGGCATGGCTTGAGACGGAGCCGCGGCTGTTCTTCATGTGTGGGATATCAGGAACTTCCTTGGATCTCAGGAGAGTAGGGCTGAGAGGGGACTGGTCAATGAGGGATTCACTGCGGAGACGCTGGATCATCTCTGCGCTCAGATTACCCCGGCCTAGGGTAAGTTTGTTATGCAGGGCCATGGTTTCCACCGGCAGGCTGTGGGAGCTGCCGTGGAAGTGGTACGGATGCCGCTCAAAGACGGAGCTATCCGAACCGGTCTTGATTGTCAGGGTCGGGTCCGATGTGGTGCTGGCCTGGGCACTACTGGTACTCAGTGAAACATTCCTGGAAGCTTGCTGCTGGGAGTCAGGGACTGAGACAGAGCTGGAGTCTCTCTTTGAAGGCTCCTTGGGAGGTTCTGGGAGTATTCCAAAAGACCCTGCCGCGTCCGGAGCCTCTACTTGGAAATCAGCTGCCTGTAGATCTCCGGGGAGAATCGGAGCGGCGCTGCCGACAAAACCTTGGGTGAATCTGAACTCCCTCGAGGGAGAGTCCACAGGAGTCCTGTCGCAGACTGAGAAGATCCACTGGCCCTGCTGGAGAATGCTGCGACCGTAGTCGTGATCCACCTCCGTTAAAGGAGCTCTCCAGGCAGCATCCCCAATCCAGTTGGACATGGTGTTCACATCGGGGGCGTTGAAGAACAGGCAGCCGCCGCGACAGCCACACTTGCTGCGGAGTTGGCTCATGGGCTCGTCCGGATTCCCCTGCCAGAGGAACCAGAGGCGACGGCTCTTGCGGTCGTGGGTGGTCAGGAAGTGGTTCTGGGCCTTGAAGGAATCCTTGGACTGGAGCAAGTCGGCCAGGTCTAGCTGCAGCTCGGGGCAGTCGACGGAGCAAGCTTGAAGCCAGGCTGCCTGGGGCTTGTTGGACTCGCAGACAAACTGCTTGACTTGGATCTGTTGGATGGTAGTGCTCAAGCCATCACCGATGCTCACACTGTGCAGGTTGCATTTACCCATGTTCAATGACCCAACCTACAATGAAAAAACAATAAGTCGTCAATAAATATTGTCAAAACCCCAAATATTCTGGTTTTTATTTTCTGGTTTTGTCAAGTCTATACTGTGATTTCAGCCTTGTCTAATGACAACATTTAAATAATCCCCTTGTGGTCTTGATACAGGTCTAGACCTAGACTACTCAGACTAGTCCTGCAGCCTTCCCTTGCAAGCACGGTCAAGCTTCAGCAGTGGCAGAAGCCTCAGCAGTGGCAGAAGTTACCCACCACGTGTAAGTTGGACCTCAAAAACCTGCAAGCTTTTAAAGCCAGAGTCCATCATTTGCAGTTATCCAAAACGTAACTGGCGTAATTATTGTTGAAAAACATACTTGGTTGAAAGATAGTAAGGGGACTAAACTCCCTGCGAAATTATTCTTTCTAGCAAGCTGTCATTTTGAAGAAATCAACAAAAGAAGGCCTTTCCAACGGTGCGTCTTAAGACACACCGTAGGAAAATTTAAATTAGTAGTTCGTTTTGTTAATCGGCGAAGCGCGCGCAAGCATTGGCACGACGCACACGCACTTGCTATAATTCGTCGGATCAGTGCGCGAAATCGCATAGCTGCAATCGGCTCAGTGAGAACGTGTCTCAGACGCTGAATTCAAGCCCAATTCAAAACATGATTCAGCAACTTTTGATTTGAAATTGAGATCCCAGAATGCTGTTTTTCTCGGAATATACAGCCGAAGCTGAGCTGAAACTTCATCAGGTTAGTTGTTCAGTACCCTTCTTTAGATTTTGAGCACTTTTGTTGCTTCAAACGAACAAACTGCACAAATTACAAATGATGGACTATACCTTTAAGGCCCGAGAAATTCCGAACACACGTCAAGCACACATCTATTGGTTTTGGTATTGATTGTAAGCATTATATTTTGGCGGATACCAGCCCCTTATGAATATTCATTAGTGAGTATTCATTAGTGAATATTCATTAGCAAATATTCATGAGCATTATTACTGTACCTGGCACTGTAGGGCACAGCCCGTCTCCACCAGCATCAGATCCACCATCCTGAGACTGACCCGCAGCATGCGATACTTGAAATGCATCATATTTTGGCCGATACCAGCCCCTTATGAATATTCATTAGTGAATATTCACTCGTGAATATTCATTAGCATTATTACTGTACCTGGCACTGTAGGGCACAGCCCGTCTCCACCAGCATCAGATCCAACATCCTTAGACTGACCCGCAGCATGCGATACTTGAAATGCATCATATTTTGGCCGATACCAGCCCCTTATGAATATTCATTAGTGAGTATTCATTAGTGAATATTCATTAGTGAATATTCATTAGCATAATTACTGTACCTGGCACTGCAGGGCACAGCCAGTCTCCACCAGCATAAGATCCACCATCCTGAGACTGACCCGCAGCATGCGATACTTGAAATCATCCTCCGTCGGGCAGGGTACCGGGTAGAGCGGCTCCTTGATGCGACACTGCTGCTGCTTGTCCATGTGAACGCAATACTTGGATGTGATTGGCTTCTGGAGGTCGTCCAGGGGGTCCACGGCCAGATGGATGAAGAGCTGGAGGAAGCTGACTAGGGACAGCATCTGTGAATGTTTAAAAAAAGGATAGAAAGGGATTCGAACTAGCTGCCTGCCAATTGCTGTACGAGTGTTCTACTAACTCTGAGTTATGAAACCTTAGAAGATGGTCGCAACATTTGTCAAAGTTTTACTCTGGGGGCACTAGTGAGAAGGGATATAATCAAAATGGCTATTGTTGATGTACCTTAATGTGGCGCGGCCCCCAACGTGGCGCACTTTGATTTCTCGCCTGTAGCGCCTACCTAGAACAACAGATTTAACTGAAATTTCACAGAAAGTGAAATTTCATCAGGTTCTAAACAGTCCTGTTCATAAATCACAAGCTTATTTACCCGTAACAAATTTTGAAGAAAATTTTATTTTGGCGTGATTTTCCGATATTATTTTCAAGTGCAAAGTGAACCCTTTGAAAATGAATAAGAAAATAATTTTCGGACAAACATCTTGCTGGGTATGTAAGTAGAGGTAATATTTTTTTATCAGAAATTCTTAAATGTTAATTTGGAATTTCCCAAGATTTATTCAAGTGCACCACGTTAGGGAACACTCCGCCAATTTGTGCCCAATTTCCGGACGCCACCATTTTTGAATTTCGGATTAAATTTTATGAAACTGAAATTGTTCACAGAGGTTAAATAGCAAGCATTAATAAGGTAAAAGTACTAGTATTATACTGCATGAATTTGAGGTTTGTCAACAAAGAGGTTTAGCAACACTACACGAGGAAAGTCGGGTAAGTTTCGAAGTGCGCCACGTTAGGGAACATGACTATAGAGAGATTCGATCCAACTGCCTCTAAATTGCTGTCCAGTGCTCTATGAAGTGCGAGTTGTATAACTCTGCAACATCGTCTTTGAATTTGTCATGTTTTTATGCTCTGGAGCACCAGTGCGAAAGTAAATAATTGGCAAAACTGGGTACAGACAGATTCGAACCAGCTACCTCCCAATTGCTGTACCAGTGTTCTACCAACTCTGATTAATACAACCCCACAATAATCTCCACATTTGTTACATTTTTGCTCAAGGGGCACTAGTGATGAGAAAGGACTATAGTTGACAAAAGTTGAGTGGAGTTGAACCAGCAACCTCCAAATTGCTGTGCCGGTGCTCTACCAACTCTCAGTCTAACAAGCTTACAACGCTGCCTCAACATTTATTAGATTCTCCTCTGGGGCACTAGTGAGAAGGGATATAAGGGCCCATGACCATTCAGCCCCAGTATGAAAAGGGCCCCCCAGTAAGCTCGTCCCCTCCCAAGAAGTCCTCTCGTACCGTCCCAGCTACCGGCCCATGAGCTGGTCCGGTTGCTAATCAGGAACTCCTCTATCCTGGGGTCTATTGTTTGCAAGTATTGACACATGTAATATATCCCAGAAGAAACCCGCTTGTGGTTTTCATCTCTCAGTGCGAAACAATAGAAAACTTTCGTCGGCACAGATCAAAACCCCTGCCATGCGGTTTCGCGCACAATGGGACCGTAAATTACCTAGGCGTTATGGAAGGATATTATCTTTAATCCGGTAAGTCTGCTATTGTTCTGCTCTGGAGGTTCTCTGAAGGGCAATAAATTGATGTGCCTGACTGACTTCAAAACTTCTGGTCAGACAGGACCATGTACCGGACGAGACTGGGCTGAAGACCGGACCGGACGAGGTACCGGGGGGCCCTTTTCATACCAGGGCTGAATGGTCACGGTCCCTAAAGGGCGAAAGTGGGTGGAGTGGTATTCGAACCAGTTACCTCCTTATTGCAGTACCAGCGCTCTACCAACTCCTAGTTGTATAACCCTCTATATTTTATTTTTGCTCTGTGAGCAATAGGGAGAAGGGATATACATTGTTATTGGCAACAATCTGTAGAGTGGAATTCGAACCAGCTACCTCCGTGTACTGGTGTCGCGAGGCCTTGTTATGTTACCTGAGGAGGAGTGAGTCTACCGCTCAGGACACCCATCTGGAGATCCAGTAGCCAGGCATATTCTAGCGTCGCGCTATCCACAGGTAGACCCTCATCTGAGAACATCGCATGGCCGCGTAGCTGCAGACCGGACAATCCCAGATGGCCGTCACAGAGATGAGAATCGAGTCTCTGAAAAGCAGAAAGGTCAAAAAGGGGAAAGTTATCTCAGTCATAGACTACAAAACAGCTTTCTGTATCAAGCGAGTGTGGACTTTGGGTTGTGAAAAAGGAAACGTAAGAATATGGAAAAGTAGGATAAAGGAAAAGTAGGAATACTTGAAAGCATGCAGTTACAAAGGGAGAGTTGGGGGACATGGGAGGGACATTCGAACGTATTGTTGACGACGCCTGATGCTCATGTGAGGGCGCTACGGTCTTGCTCAGAATACAATTGTGAACAGACCAGTGCACTCTTTTTTTCTATTAAAGGGAAAATACAATATTTGCAAACATCAAAAAATAAAACTACCAAATCATTTTGAAATACCTTGCTGGACTGTTAGTGAATGACAGTGTAAAGCATCCTGTAAAATCATGGCACCTGGTATACTGTCATTTTCAAGAAAAGTGGTATTTTTGTATCAATTTCCAACGCTGGTCGGCCGACCAGCGTTGGAAAAAAAAAAAAAAATTCTTCAAATACTGGCCCCAATTGACTATCGCACTTGTTTGCAATCGATTACACACCTATGAACGGGTACAAGCCAGCTAGACTGGTTCCCTGACCTTACAATTCCCCAATGTATGTAAACTGCTCTGTTTCTTCTTATATGGAGTCAGGGAACCAGACTACAGGAAAATGATTGTTTTTCTTGGTTTTTATAGCATTTTCGAACCCAAAACCTCAAAAAAGTCAGTGTAACTATATTTGCTATATATTTCTAACCCCCCAATTCCATCCATTTCTGAAAATTACAGCAAAAGCAAATGATGTATATTCCTTTAATACATTTGTAAATTTTCAACTTGTATGTTTAATTCTAACCCCCAACCTCCATTTATTTGTTGTTTGGACGTCTGCAACCCTCTGAAGAAAAAAAATCCGCTTTGTGAGCAGACTGGCTCCCAGTCCGTACATTATCGATACAGATTTTAGGGCGGGAACCAGCCTACCCCGCGAGAATGAAATCATCGTCTGGCAGCAAATAATTAGAAATTGTTAATTAATGATTCAATAATTGAACGTTGGCCAATTGTGTTTTTTTGGGTGGTGTCTCATTCAAAAGTGAATAACATTTGTATTGCTATAAAAATAGCAGTGTACAAAAAGAATCTATTTTTCAGGATGAAATTCAAAAATAGAATGGGGAATGCAGCTTTAAGTGGATAAAAGCGCCCTCTGCCGTACATGCACAAGTCCATTAGCTTACCTTCTGTGAATCTGAGACCATGATAGTGACGGGGGACAGGAGCAGCTGAAGTCTTGTCTCAGAGTGACCTTTCTGAAGCTCAAAGCAGAGCTGGTCGAGTACTGCTATGGGGCAGGACGGCTCCGCTTTGCCACAATACTGTGAAGACAAGAAATAATGCACAAATACTTGAGTCTTTAAAGGGAATATACAACATTTGCAAACATCGAAAAATAAAACTACCAAGTTTTTACGAAATACCTAACTAGGTTGTTGGTAAATGACAGTCTAAAGCATCCTGTAAAATTATGGCACCTGGTGTGAAGTCATTTTCAAGAAAATGGTATTTTTGTAAAAATTTCCAGCGGTGGTCGGCCGACCACCGTTGGAAAAACCTAACTATCTTTCAACTACTGATCCACATTTACCATTAATTCAGTCCAAATTTTGTTTGCTATTGGTTACATGTTCATGAACGGGTGCAGGCCAGCTAGACTGGTACCCTTAACTACAATTTTCCAACATCTGTAAATTGATCCATTTTATATTTAGTGGAGTCAGGGAACCAGACTACTTAAACAGTTTTGTTTTTCTTGGTTTTTCCAGCATTTTCGAACACAAAACTTGAAACATGTCAGTGTAACAATATTTGATCTATTATACTAACCCCTCAACTAGTTCATTTCTGAAAATGACAGCAAAAGCCAATGATGTATATTCCTTTAAAGGCATATAGGGTTAGTTGTGTTTATCGCAAAAGTAACCTACCGAATTATTATCAAAAAATTTAATTAGATTAAAGATCTTACTGGTACTCAACACCCCTTGAAATTATTCCGTCTGGCATGCTGTCATTTAGAAGAAATCAAGAAATGTAGGAGATTTCCAACGATCAGTCAAATGACAAACTCTTGGAGTAAAGAGTGCTATCGACAGAATCGTGTTTCGTGATCAAAAGGTTGTGCATGGTTTTTCACTGTTTTCTCAAAAAGTGTAATATCCACCGAGCTGAAACTTCCACAGGATCGGTTTTGAACACACTTCTTTGGATTTTAAGTGGTGTTATCACTGGAAACAAACAAAAGAAAGACGCTGCAAATCATTAAAAAATAGTATCTTCTTGCAATGTCGCCGCGACAACTTGTTTGTATTCAGATCGTACCACAGGAAGCGTAGCCTTTATGCCATCCACGTTCAGAGAGACGATGACGTCCATGGGTCTGAGCGCTAGACCATTGACTACGCGCCCCTTTGCATCTTTGGGGCCGTCCCCCAGACCATCGCTGGGCGATCTGATGAAGTCCGTCGGGACTTGGTCTACGCCAAAATAGTTTTCCTGGAAACAAAAAAATTAAGACAAAAGATACAAGCAAACAAAAATGTTGTCAATGAGTAAATTAAAATTTCTTGAACACTGAATCCTTTGACTTTAATCCTCCGACTTTTTAAAAACTTTTTAAAACTTGACATAAGACATAAGACATAAACCAGACAATTCAAAACATGCTTATCTTCAGGCCACTAGGCTGACCAGCAAATGCCCCCTACAAACTACATTTCCTGCGATTCAAAACGTGCTTACCTTCAGGGCCAATATGCACTTGACGATAGACCCATATGCCATCAAGATTGCTGGCCCGATATCAACTTCCAGCTGCAAGCGATCAGGGGGCCACTCTGATGGCACGGCCACGCACCCTGCCCTCTTCCATCCAGCGTAGCCGGTCTGGGCTGGGTGGGTCTGGTGTTCGTGCCTGCCGCTAGGGGTGCATCGGATCTGGATCATGGGGGAGTCTTCCTCTAACGGCATAGGGTGATAGGTGTAAGTAATGCTGACTGCGACGTAGGGAACTGCAGCACATTCCACCCAACCATCCCTGGAGAAGAAAGATACAAACAAGTTGTCCATTATTTATACTATTTTTTGGCGTGGGAACCAGCCTACCCCGTGGAAGCGGAATTGTTGTCTACCAGCCAATAACTTAAAACTGAAAGGAAAAAATTCAACAACTAAAACATGGACCGATTTTTGGGGGTCAATGTCTCAATCAAATGTGAATAACTGTCAACTACCACAACAGGAACATATCCAAGATTTGTAAATACATAGACACAAACACATGCCACGCCGCTGTCCGAGCACTTGTACTATCCAGACTCGATTATTGCAACTCTCTTCTCAATGGTATTAATCAGTATGAGGTTGATCGACTCCAACGGCTTCAAAACAATGTTGCTCGTATCACATTATCTCAACCCAAATACACACATGCCTCTCCACTCCTTCAACAATTACATTGGTTACCAGTTAGACAACGCATCAACTTCTAAACAGTGGTTTTCATGCACAAAGCGCTTCATAACACAATGCCGCAGTACATAATGGGATCACTCAACCTTAATGCACCCAGCCGTAGTGGCCTCCGCTCCAGTAACAACCTTAGAGTTCCACGCACATTCAAAAAGGCAGGGGACAGGGCCTTCTCAGTGTCTGGTCCCCGATGCTGGAATTCCTTGTCACACAACATCCGCAACATCAGTTCTCTTGACAACTTTAAGGGCAGACTGAAAACTGATATGTTCTCTCCACATAATCTGTAACTTGTCTTCTGGAGTTATCCTTAGTCGCGCATTGACACTTGCGAAAATGCGCGCTATAAATCGTGTTATTATTATTATTATTAACTGTTGTATTTAGAAAAGGAATTTATTTTTCGGGATGAAACTCAAAAACAGCACGGGAACGCATCTTTAACTCTTAATACCCCTCAGTCTTACCCATCCGTAATGCCTTGCCAGTGATCCAAGGACAGCCCCAGTAATTTCTTGTCGTCCTCCCAAGTATCCGGTGTCTTGGTGGAGCGGTCTAAGCCTTGCAGGCAATGCTGGCTGCTGTAGCATTCTGGGAAATATAGGCGGCCCGAGACTGAGTCCGCCTGAAAAGAAATAAATCAGTCAAGTTACTAGTTCACAAACCTCCTCAGCAATGCTGGAGTCCAGCCCATCACAAGTACAGTGGAACGCCGCTATAACGAACACCACTATACCGAGCATTCGGCTATACCGAACATCATCCTTGGCTCCCAGTTTAAATGTACACAACGTACCGAAAATTGTTGTTGAAAAAAGTCAACAGATTAAAGCTATAGTCCATCATTTGCAGCCATCCGAAAAGTAACTGGCGTAATTATTGTTGAAAAAAATACTCGGTCTCTGGTCAGACCAAAGTTCCGGAATTGACGCGGCCATGCGGCTTTTTTTTTTTTTTTTTTCCTTTTTTTTTTTTTCTTCAAGCTTGGATTGTACAGACAAGGTGGGGTACTATTTTGTTTTTTTTGTGTCCTCATGTACATTGGTGTCCTCCATAATTTGCCTTGGTGCTTTCGATCATTTGCCTTGGTGCAATTTCCCATTCCTTGGTGCTCTTTGGTAAAAAAAAATTGAGGAGGTGCAGAAATAGAGGGCGCTGTTGAAGCTACCGCGAAACACTTTGGAAACAAAAAAGATCAACGCGCAAGATTAAAATCGACGCGCACGCTGACCAGAGACCGACTTATTTTTTTTTGGGGCCTAAACTCCCTGTGAAATTATTCTTTCTGGCAAGCTGTCAGTTTGAAGTAATCAACGAAAGAAGGCCTTCCCAACGGTGCTTCTTAAGACGCACCGTAGGAAATTAAAATTAGTAGTTTGTTTTATTATTCGGTGAAGCGCGCGCAAGCATTGGCATGACGCACGCGCGGTTGCAATAATTCGTCGGATCAGTGCGCGACATCGCATAGCTGCAATCGGCTCAGTGAGAACGTGTCTCGGACGCTGAATTCACGCCCAATTCAAAACATGATTCAGCAACTTTTGATTTGAAATCAAGATCCTAGAATGTTGTTATTCTCAAAATATACAGCTAAAGCTGAGCTGAAACTTCATCAGGTTAGTTGTTCAGCACCCTTCTTTAGATCTTGAGCACTTATGTTGCTTCAAAAGAACAAAATGCACAAATTACAAATGATGGACTATACCTTAAAATGTACACAACGTACCAAAAATTGTTGTTGAAAAAAGTCAACAGATTAACAAAAAAATCTACCGGTTGTACATGTGTACAACACTATTTGGGCCACTTAACTTTTAATTCCCGAACATCAAACGACCCATGGTTACATCGTGTTTGAATATTCAAGAGCGATAGATGGCTATTATTTCCCCAAGGAATAAAAGGGAAAACCACCCGTTGCTAAAGTTTCGTGATGACTCCTCGTGCGGCCGCGGGATGTGAAAAATGCCAGTTCACTATTGGTCAAAAGAGGGTACCGGTGGCTCAAAATCGCTATACCGAACGATCGTTATTTCAATCACTTTCTGTGGATCCCACGATGTTCGTTATAGCGGCATTCCACTGTACTAAAAAAGTCAATCATAAGTCATAACAAGTCAATCACAAGTCCATCACAATGTTATCATAAGTCATCACAAGTCATTATAAGACATCACAAGTCAATCACAAGTCTATCACAAGTCCATCACAATGTAATCATAAGTCATAATAAGTCATCACAAGTCATAATAAGTCAATCACCAGTCATCACAAGTCAATCACAAGTCATCACAAGTCAATCACAAGTCATCACAAGTCATCACAAGTCAATCACAAGTCCAACACAAGTCCATCACAATTCCATCACAGGTCATCACAAGTCAATCACAATGTAATCACAAGTCATCACAAGTCAATCACAAGTCAGTCGCAAGTCCATTACAAGTCCATCACAAGTCCATCACAAGTCATCACAAGTCAACCACAAGTCATCACAAGTCCATCACAATTCTATCACAGGTCGTCACAAGTCCATCACAATGTTATCACAAGTCAATCACAAGTCAGTCACAAGTCATCACAAGTGCATCACAAGAGAATCACATATCCATCACAAGTCAATCACCAAGTCCATTACCAGTCATCACAAGTCCATCACAAGTCATCACAAGTCATCACAAGTCCTCTCATATCAATCACAATTTATCCAATCCCAATTCAAATGGAACAGGAACAAAAGGACAGGCAGACCAACCAACAGACAGACGGACAAATTCTTACCCTGAGCAGAACTCTGACTGGTAGGGTTGGAGGCAGGTAGTCCGAGTACGGAAGAACAATCGACAAATCCAGAAGATCCCCAACCAGGCCGATAAAAACTGCAGTCAAAAAACAATCAACAAGTGTAGAATTACATTTCCATAAATGGCTGAATTTTCACACAAAGACATTTTAGCTGCGAGTAGCAGCCCAACAAATCATCATGTCTCTCCGTTAGTTAGTTAGTAATAGTAATTATAATAATTTGGGAGGCTAATCATCCTTACTCGCAGCTGGTATGCTGAACTGCGAAGGACGCGGCTACAACGTGGTCGGGCCGCTGGCACGTAAAGGCACCTATGGCTGCCGGCCACATCGACCCATATATGAACACGGAGCACAGCTTGAGATCGAAAGTGTTTGATTTTTCCGGAGGGAGGCAAACCGGAGGGCACGGAGAAAAACCCTCGTGGCACAGGAGAGAACCAACGTACAACTCTACTCACATGTGATCTGCGGCCAGGATTTGAACCGTGGTGACCACGGTTACATGTAGTTAGTTAGTAACAAACGTTTACATTGTCTATCTCTCGTACAAATGTTGACCGATTTCAACCAGACTTTGTCAAAGGCATCAGTAGCCCAGCCCCAACATGTCACATGACCAAACTGGGGTCAAAGGTCATCATGGGTTCACTGGGGTCAAAAACCTGATTTTTTACTCAAAACACTACTCCTTCCAGAAATTACATAGCACAATCACGTGACTCATGCACGAACACAAATTCATTGGCCCGCAGCTGCTGAGATCTGGGCCCAATTTCACGGCGCTGCTAAGCACAAAAATTTGCTTAGCACAAAAAAAGTCTGGCTGTGAAAGCAGGTTACCAGCCAAAACTCCACGTGATTTTTATGCTAAGCAAACAACAGCTGAATACTAATCACGAGCAATATACATCACATGGAGTTTTGGATGGTAACCTGCTTTTATAAGCCAGTCTTTTTTTGTGCTAAGCAAACTTTTGTGCTTAGCAGCGCCATGAAATTGGCCCCTGATGGAGCTTGTTATTTGGCCAATTCCTTCTGTTCTACTTTTACTACTCTGTATTGCATGTACATTGTGAGATGGAATTTTGCGTCTAGGTGATATAAATCAAATTAGGTTTTGCCCTTCGCTGACGTTTAAACACTGTATATACTCAGTGTGTTACCTCCCGAGTGAAAGTTGGAAAAAAATCACTCGGGTGGGACTCGAACCCACGACCTCCTGCTTTCTTGTACATTGTGTTTATTCAGCTTCGTATGCTACAGTGAGTAATAAGCGGGGCGGTTTGGGGCGGTACAAGGCCTAAGGCGTTACCGTTTTGTTGCAGACTGGACGAGCAGTCCACCCAATTGTACTTGTTGGTGGGCAGCATTAATACGAACTCTCTCAAGATGATGTTGAGGTTCAGCGTGTAAGGGACAAAGCTGAACAAATCCGAGCGACCCTTGCTAGACCAGTCTGAGAATAAATCTACAAAAAAAAAAAAATTATTGTAAATTAGAATTACAGATATTTCGTCACCGTTTTGACGAAGTGACGCATCAGTCCAAAACCGAGATTTTCTGAAATCTGAGATTTTTTGATATTCTAACATTTTATGATGTCCTCTACATGATTACCAAATTTCGAGACACAACATTCCATTGTTCGTTAATTACGCTAATTGGCTAATTGCACAAAGTGTTGAAAGTGCTACACACTAAATTTTTCGTTCTGACGAAGTGACGAATCTCTATGTGTCACTATAGTCTCATCGAGTTTACACGTGTGCTATATTTAGAAATGTGAAGCCTCCACGATTTGCGTCTTGACGAAGTGACGCATCTGCATTCTAAAATGTATACATTTTATATACACGCACACGCTGTGTACAAACACATGCCTCATTTTTGTTAAGAAGTAGATTTTCCGTTTTGACAAAGTGACAGATATCTTTAGTAATTAATATCTTCTAATTAAACACAATTTTTTGAACAGAGAGAATTGTTTTGGGCTATTCAACTCCTGGGCTATTGTCTCAGTTATATATTTTTCAATTCTGGGGGAGAAATGTACACAAAAATGCCAATTGAAAAATCCACCAATTTCAAACGCAATTGTCTCAAAACTCGGTTTTGCATCTGTGTGCACAGATGTGTCACTTCGTCAAAACGGTGACGATTTACTCAATATTGGGTTTTTACCTATCACCGACATAATTTCATGAACACTACAACTCAGGTTTGTCTGAGGGCTCGCGAGTCAAAATTCAACAATTACTTGGGTGGGACTCGAACCCACAACCGCCTACTTACTAGTGCAGACCTCTCGACCGCTGAGAGATTGCCAGCGTCGACTGGCGAGTTCAAAACCGATACAGCAGTGGGTACCCCAAACAAACAACTCCTACAAAGCTTCGATTTTGGTGGGTTACAACTTAGAAGCATTCTGCTTTTATTTTTCGTGGTCTTGGAGGATCAAAACAAGCTACAATTTGAACTTGATAAGGTACTTCTCAAGTCAATTAAAGATATAGTCCATCATTTGTAATTTGTGCATTTTGTTCGTTTGAAGCTACAAAATTGTTCAAAATCTAATGAAGGATAACTAACCTGATGAAGTTTCAGCTCAGCTTCAGCTGTATATTCCGAGAAAAACAACATTCTAGGATCTCAATTTCAAATCAAAAGTTGCTGAATCATGTTTTGAATTGCAGCTATACGCGATGTCGTGCACTGATCCGACGAATTATAGTGTGCGTCGTGCCAATGCTTGTGCGCGCTGCGGCGAATAACAAAACGAACTACCGTTGGAAAGGCCTTCTTTTGTTGATCACTTCAAAATGAGAGCTTGCCAGAAAGATTAATTTCACAAGGAGTTTAGTCCACTTACTATCTTTCAACAAAGTATGTTTTTCAACAATAATAAGCCAGTTACTTTTTCGGATGACTGCAAATGATGGACTATAGCTTTCAAGTATAACCAAAAAAATTACAGAAGCAGGATTCGAACAATGACAAATTTGCACCAGTCTACACAGACTGAGAAATTAGAATATAACCACAAGCAAGGAATCATAATCTTTGGGACCCCTGTCAATTTTGACAAAAAAATCACGCTAGAAATGGCCAGCTTGATTCGTGTCACCACTCACCACCTACTACTCACCACTTATGAAGCCCTTGTGCGCATACATCAGGTGCGTAGTTGCCTTGCTGAACGTGAGCGTGACTTCCCAGTTCTGGTGATGGTTCCAGACTCGCGGGTAGTGCATGGCAACTTGAAACTACAAGAACAATTAATGACAAGTCAATGACAAGTCAATGACAAGTCAATGACAAGTCAATGACAAGTCAATGACAAGTCAATGACAAGTCAATGACAAGTCAATGACAAGTCAATGACAAGTCAATGACAAGTCAATGACAAGTCAATGACAAGTCAATGACAAGTCAATGACAAGTCAATGGCAAGTCAATGGCAAGTCAATGACAAGTCAATGACAAGTCAGTGGCAAGTCAGTGGCAAGTCAGTGGCAAGTCAGTGACAAGTCAATGACAAGTCAATCACAAGTCAATCACAAGTCAATGGCAAGTCAATGGCAAGTCAATGGCAAGTCAATGGCAAGTCAATGACACGTCAATGACAAGTCAATGACACGTCAATGACAAGTCAATGACAAGTCAATGACAAGTCAATGGCAAGTCAATGGCAAGTCAGTGACAAGTCAGTGGCAAGTCAATGGCAAGTCAATGACAAGTCAATGACAAGTCAATGACAAGTCAGTGACAAGTCAGTGACAAGACAATGACAAGTCAATGACAAGTCAATGACAAGTCAATGACAAGTCAATGACAAGACAATGACAAGTCAATGACAAGTCAATGACAGGCGATGACAAGTCAATCACAAGTCAATCACAAGTCAATCACAAGTCAATCACAAGTCAATAACAAGTCAATGAAGAGTCAATCACAAGACAATGACAAGTCCATGACAAGTCAATCACAAGTCAATGACAATTTAATGACAGGACAATGACAAGTCAATCACAAGTCAATCACAAGTCAATGGCAAGTCAATGACAAGTCAATGACAAATCAATGGCAAGTCAGTGACAAGTCAATGACAAGACAATGACAACTTAATGACAAGTCAATGACAAGTTAATGACAGGATAACGACAAGTCAATAACAAGTCAATGACAAGTCAATGACAAGTCAATCACAAGTCAATCACAAGTCAATCGCAAGTCAATGGCAAGTCAATGGCAAGTCAATGACAAGTCAATGACACGTCAATGACACGTCAATGACACGTCAGTGACAAGTCAATGACAAGTCAGTGACAAGTCAAAGACAAGTCAATGGCAAGTCAATGGCAAGTCAGTGACAAGTCAATGGCAAGTCAATGACAAGTCAATGACAAGTCAATGACAAGTCAATGACAGGACAATGACAAGTCAATGACACGTCAATGACACGTCAATGACACGTCAATGACAAGTCAATGACAAGTCAATGACAAGTCAATGGCAAGTCAATGGCAAGTCAATCACAAGTCAATGGCAAGTCAGTGACAAGTCAATGACAAGTCAGTGACAAGTCAAAGACAAGTCAATGGCAAGTCAGTGGCAAGTCAGTGACAAGTCAATGGCAAGTCAATGACAAGTCAATGACAAGTCAATGACAAGTCAATGACAAGTCAGTGACAAGTCAATGACAAGACAATGACAAGTCAATGACAAGTCAATGACAAGTTAATGACAAGACAATGACAAGTCAATGACAAGTCAATGACAGGACAATGACAAGTCAATCACAAGTCAATCACAAGTCAATCACAAGTCAATCACAAGTCAATAACAAGTCAATGAAGAGTCAATCACAAGACAATGACAAGTCCATGACAAGTCAATCACAAGTCAATGACAATTTAATGACAGGACAATGACAAGTCAATCACAAGTCAATCACAAGTCAATGGCAAGTCAATGACAAGTCAATGACAAATCAATGGCAAGTCAGTGACAAGTCAATGACAAGACAATGACAACTTAATGACAAGTCAATGACAAGTTGACAGGATAACGACAAGTCAATAACAAGTCAATGACAAGTCAATGACAAGTCAATGACAAGTCAATGACAAGTCAATGACAAGTCAATCACCAGACAATGACAAGTCAATCACAAGCCAATCACAAGTCCTTACAAGTCCTCACAAGTCAATCACAAGTCAATCACAAGTCAATCACAAGTCCTCACAAGTCAATCACAAGTCAAATCACAAGCTATTCAGAAGATCTGTGACAGAAAACTTCTTTGTTACTTTTACTTGTGACTGGACTTGTGACGTACTGGAGACCCATCACAAGTCCCTCGACTACAACACTTATTACCTGTAATGTTTCGCTCTCAATGAGTGAGCGATACTCCATGCTGGTGGTGGAGTCTACATGGAGCAGTTGACCTGTGACCCTTGTGTGGTACCCCTCTGGCCCAATCAGTAACGGAATACTGACTTCAACGTACGACGCCTTGTCAACGTCGATGTGAAAAGCGTTGGTTTCCTGAAATGACAATTGCAGGAAAATTCTATTAATAAATAATAATAATTTGAGAGGCTAATCATCCTTACTCGCAGCTGGTGTGCTGAATTGCGAAAGACGTGACTACAACATGGTCGGGCCGCTGGCACGTAAAGGCGCCTATGGCTGCTGGCCACATCGACCCATATATGACCACAGAGCACAGCCTGAGATTGAAAGTGTTTGATTTTTCCGGAGGGAGGACAACCAGAGGGCCCGGAGAAAAACCCTTGTGGCACAGGAGCGAACCAACACACAACTCTACTCACATGTGATCCGCGGCCAGGATTCGAACCGAGGTCACCTTGGTGAGAGGCGAGCGCTTTTCGCACAAGCCACCATCAACCAATCATTAACAATCATTTCAAAGAAGATTTACAATCCAGACTGTAAAGTGTATTACTATACCTCATAAATATTCATCAGGCAACCGTGGCATTTCATTGGTCCATTCCAGCAACTCAACCGTGTGATAGTTTTTACTATCACCCGTGTCTTCGTACGCGCACGTGACGCGCAAAAACCAGGGAGGTACTATCACACACCTGGGTCGCAGCAGTTAGATTTGTTCCAGTACTGTGTTATCTCGTTACCAACGACGCATGTGCTTTACGTGCGTACCGTGGAGAACACCAGTGTGTGTGCATGTGCCAGTCTATAACGGTGTACATCAAAATGGCGACCGGTGGTGCTCGCTTTGCGATTTTAACCGAGGAGGAAGTGGGTGAAATTTTACACAATAAAAATAAATGCAGTGTTTTGTGTGAATGCTTAAGTTATTTAAATGACACAAAATTAACTTTCTATTCTGTCTGTCTCCTTCAACTAAAATAATGTTTCACTTTATCCAAATACTGCACAATCAAAAACATGGTGGAATGGACGAATGAAATACCGCAGCTGCCTGATGAATATTTATGAGGTATAGTAAAACAAATATAACATGTTTTTGTGGGGAAATAGTGAGAACAAATGACCCCTCGGTGTTGGATAATTGGGACTATCTCCCTTTGCCTCAGGAGATACTCTGAGTAAAGTCTAGAAGCCACTCAGAGCTACAGGGCTACAAGAGACGAAAAAAGTAGAGGAAGCACTCAGGAAAACTGAAGGTAGGAATTAACATTCTTCTTGAAACAGGACAGATCATAGGTTGGAGGGAAACAAGCACCAGGCAAGGAATTCCAAAGAGATGCAGCACGTGGGGAAAAGTTATTGGAATATATCCTTTTGTTCTAAATCTAGGTACTGCAACATGATATGGATGCGAACAGGCAGAAAGCTGAGTTTCTCTCTCAAACGCTCTGATTGAAGGAACCACGTTGGATAGACTGGCGCAGTTTATAAAGTTACATCAGAGAAGGGCAAAGCCCAATATTGAATGAAACTTACATTTCCCAGACACAAAAATCTTTAACTGTGAAATGGCATGGTCCAATGGTTAAAGAGGTTGTGGAATGCTCGAAGTCACTTCCATCATTTTTCGGGTATATGTAGCCTAAGGTGTGATGAAATAAAAACAACTATTGTGTCTGTCATGAAATGACAACAAAAGGTAATTTTGAGAGCTGTTTTTCAGGTCCTGTTTCGACCCGAACGTGCAATTTGGGTAAAAGTCGTCGTTGGGGGCAGCAAACAAAACATAGTAAATCGTGACGTAATAAACAGGACTTGTTTATAATACGCTGCATCGGGAGTCCTGTTTATTACGTCACGATTTACTACGTTTTGTTTGCTGCCCCCAATATCGACTTTTACACAAACTGCACGTTCGGGTCAAAACAGGACCTGAAAAACAGCTCTCCAAAGTACCTTTTGTACTCACTTCATGACAGACACAATAGTCGTTTTTATTTCATCACACCTTAGGCTACATATACCCGAAAAATGACGGAAATGTCTTCGAGCATTCCACAACCTCTTTAACTTGTGTAAAACAGCACAAGGGTTTTAACCCTGGAGGAACATGGCACTTGTGTTCTTAGGCAAGACACTTTACGACAATTGCCTCTTTCCACCCAGGAGTATGACATGGGTACCTGTGAGGGTAGCGACCAGACTGCGCTGATCTCGAGCTGCTACAGAAAACTTTGATCAATAATACAACTGACCTTATCTTTACTGAAGAGAATGTCGATGGTTGCTTCAGCGACGGTGTTCAATCGGAACTCAAAGCTTGTGAATTGTCTCTTCTGGCCCGGCCTGGCCTTGGAGGAGACCTCATGGGTCTTGTAGCCTTGTGGGAAGAAGAACTTGTGTAACGCATCTCTGGAAATAAGAGACAAATGAAGACGATAAATGTAAGTGTTTCAAAATAATATCTTAACTAATCAATGATTGAACATTTAAGCGGTTACCATACTTGAAATTTTGCAATAAAAATATTGAAAATGCTGAAATTGTGTGGATGTGTGGTTGGAAATATGGGAATAAATATGTGCTTGGCCAGTTTTAAACACTCTGTTTAAGACCGGTTGGAGTCTGGATGCTGATAACTACCCGAGCCGATTCATAAATACCTTTTCGGTAAAACAATCAAACCTTTTCGGTCCAAAAGTCAAAACAAGTCAAAAATTATACATTTCCAACACTTTTATTCAACAAGTTTACCTCATGTTTTTTGGAAACATGTTATTATGGTATGTCCAGTCTCGCGAGTGTCGTAAACAACTCCTAATATGGAGATTGGCTGGAGATTGGCGCGCGATGTGGCGCACAACGCAGCTGTACACACTTCAAAACCTACTCTGCATATGAATTAGCATGCAGACTATAACTAAGAGAAAAACAAAAAGGTTTTTCTTTCTTGTTTTGAAATACAAATTTTAATTCGATCATCAATAAAAAAAAAACGGATGGACACTATTCTTCTGTCTATTTTTTACTGCAATGACTGAACAACTTAACGCAATGCAAAGCTAAGCAAAAACAACTAAAGACCCTGACACAATGCATCCTCCAAAATCAAACGGCACATCAAAGGTATACAGCCTCAATACTCGAAATCCCCAAAAAAGTGTCCCGTTGATTTTGTAAGATTGAGGGTCAGGTTTAACCCTAAGTCCCTAGGCCTTTTTGCTAGGATGTAGCCTCAATCCTACAAAATCCTCCAATTGGCCTCATGGAAAAATAGCATATAGCCTCATTCCTGCAAATTCCTCCATCGTTTCTTAAATAAGGTCCATGGGTAGGTGACCACTGCCTGAATCCTGCAAAATCCTCCGGCTATGACTGTCAATAGGCTGAGGCAGAGGCAGTGACATCCTGGAGCAGTGAGGAGGATTTTAAGTATAGTCAAGGACTAAATTTATGCTAGGCTGAGCATAAACAACACAAGGTCCGGCCCAAGACCATGACATAGCGCGTCCTCCGAAATCAGCAACGCACTTTTGCCATGTAACCTCAATCCTGCAAATTCCTCCAATTTGCAACAAGGATTTTGGAGGATTTGGAAAGGTTAGGGTTTTCTTAGGTGTGTATCACTTTGACACTGATCATTTCTTACCTTTGTCTGTCTGCCCAAGGCCCATAGCTGATGTTGGTGGCCGTCCCACAGGTGATGTCTAACGCCCAGCAGGGAGGGATCAACTCATCAGCACCACACTCATTCTTCACAGGAACATAACCTTGGGATAAACAAAAAAAACCAAATAATGCTGATAAAACCATCAATTTGGATCGGGGGGGGGGGGGGGGGTGGAAATTAAACCGGCAGTAACTCAAGGTTTACCTCAAAGTTTACTGCAAGGTTTACCGCAAGGTCTTCAATGAGGTCATATCATGAGGTTTATAGGGAGGTTTACTGCGAGGTTTAATGCAAGATTTACGAGGTTTACTGCGAGGTTTCTGGCAAGTTTTACAACAAGGTTTACTGTGAGGTTTACACTGAGGTTTATACTGAGGTTTACCCTGAGGTTTACCCCGAGGTTTACCCCGAGGTTTACCCCGAGGTTTACCCCGAGGTTTACCCCGAGGTTTACCCCGAGGTTTACCCTAAGGTTTACCCTGAGGTTTACCCCGAGGTTTACCCCGAGGTTTACCCCGAGATTTACCCTAAGGTTTACCCTGAGGTTTACCCCGAGGTTTACCCCAAGGTTTACCACAAGGTTTACCACAAGGTTTACCACAAGGTTTACCACAAGATTAACAATGAAGTTTACTGTACAATAGTTACTGTGTCCTTCATTGCTCACACGATTGCAGCTCTGCCCTCTACTTGGCAACCCTGCAAGGCAATGCATGTCTCAGCTCTAGACCTCATGGAAAGAACGGCTCTGGGGGACACATTTTGTGCTCTTATGCAAAATTTCAAAGACTCGTGGACAAAAATGTAAATCGGGTACCGCAGTAAAAAGGTTTTCAAAAGACAAACGGTACATGCGATTAACCACATTTTTTCACACATGGTTACTAACGAACATGTCATCCTTAAAAGGTTTAAAAAGTTCAAAACTTCAACTTGGTTTTGAAAAAAAAAGGAAAGAATGTAGTATCCTGACGCAACTTCTGTGGTCGCGTACAAAGTCTATGGAGAGATGCCTGCATTTTTTAAAGTATTTTCTAACAAAATTGGAAATGTTTCTCAGTCCCAGATTGGTGTCTCTTCCACTTTTTTTGTGACGACTGGTCTTTATTGAGGCAGTATATGATAAAAAAAATGGCGTCAGGTTGCAACATTCTTTCCTAACCAAACAATGTAAGTCAATTTGTGTTGCTTTAATAACACACTGCAATGTATTCTTCCAATGGTTGATATTTGTTTAATTAATATGCACTTACCTGCTTCATCCTGCGAGTAATGGAAGTGCAGTGTGTTGGACTGAACCACCACAAAGCCTTCCCCCATGTACCGAGGAGGCCTGAGAAGAAAACATAAAACAATAATATAACTACTAATCACTGGTCGCAGGTTCAAGTCCCACCACAGTAAACTAGTGAAATTTCTTAGTTTTTCAAAAGAAAAAAACCAACTGACTTATGCTGCTTAAACTCACTCAAGGGATAATACAACTTTGTATGCGTGTATAAATTCCTTAAATTGTCCCTGTGATCTAAATTCCTTTTTGACTTTCTCCTCCAAGTGAACAATTCGGGCGATTCACAATGTGGAGCGCCACCAATAGTTTGCCACGGAGAGTTCATTTTTCCCAGTGCATTGTGGGAGATGGTCGACAAATTCGCAGCGCGGGACATTTGAAATTGTTCCTTTTTTCCGGTCAGTAGTTTCGTAAGCGTATGATTCGAGTCTATGTTTGCCCTTTTCTTTTCTTTGTATCAATATGGCGATTTTTGGTAAGGCGGCAGAACGCTATGCCCCAATCTGTAACAAATTAGCTCAAGTTGTCTACTGACACTCATTCAAATGAACCATATTTTGTCGACCGTAAACTTGAAAAGTTGACTCTCCATGGCAAACACTTGGTGGCGCACTGCATTGTGAATGGCCCGAATTGCGTTACAGTAAAAACAATTTTAATATAAAATGGTAAAGATCTAGGAAATGAGTTCACAAAATGTTATTAATTTTTTTCATTGAAGAATTACAACTTTTTAAAGTTGGGGATTATAAATATCTTGACCAAAAAGTGAAATACTAAACTGGAGTATCCACTCCGTTCACAAGTACCCCCTCATTGGCAAAGAAAGTACAGTTGGGGGTGACCGACCGACCGACGCCATCTTGCCCGACTGCAATTTTGCCGTGACACGCGGCCGTACCACTGCGTGTACATAGTACAAATCCCTGGTGTACGTGCGTCACACACAAGGAACGGTGCGCGTCAACCAGCTAAATGTCCCGCCCATGGGACGTCGTTGCAAGGTAAAAGGGCGCCCTCTTTTGTTGGCGCACAGAGCCCATACAACCATGGAAAGGAAATGGACCCAAAAACTTCACAAATAAAAGGAGAATTTTACTTACTCATCCGTTGGTCCTTCAAACTTTGGGCTCGGAGCCAGGATGACTTTAAACTGTTCCCCTTCACATAGGATCTCATGCATGAAGAAATCCCACGGGGCGGACGGTGATCGCGTCGTGTAGGAGCCATGGGCATCTTCTATGCTTAGGATTAGTACGCTAGGAACGAAGCGATTGCCGAAAACTGTGCGACCCTGAAAAAATGTTGAGAAGGATTCGCAGTGTGAATTTTTTAACACACGGTTTCATGGTCCTACGGTAGTTTGCAGTACACATTCAAATAGTGCCCTAATACACCTGTCACTTTGGGGTGTTACAGTGGTCAGACAACTGTTTGGCTAGGATTTTCAGGGTCAATAGGTCTCTCTTAAAGACAGTCATGTCAGTGAAGGGCAAAACAAAATATAAAAAAAGTTCATACATAGACTTACATTGTGAATGTCAAATTTAACAACGCCTACAAAATCTCTCCAGTCCAGCAACGCGGGTCTGGTTTGCAAGGAGGCCGCTTTAGACCTGCACACACACAAAAATATAAAATAAGAGTAACAGTTAAATAAATACAGAAATGTTGCTATATGGTGCAGCTGTTTTCTTTTATTCTATACAAAGCCTCAAAAAAATTCCGGTAAGAATGTTGCAACCTGATGCCACTTTTTTTTTACATGTATTCTCTCAATAAAGGTCAGTCTTTGCAAAAATGAAAAAAAGTAAGACTGCTGCAAACTGCTTACTGACTGGATGGACCTGAAATATATAAATCTAAAAATTAATGTGGCCTGACGTTGCGAACTTAGCAAGTTCTTCTTCAGAGGCTAAAACAGAAATGACTTTGCAAAAAGATGCTAAGACATGAATCTGGGACTGAGAAACATTTCCAATTTTGTTAAGGAAAAAAATTCTTAACTCTCCATAGACTTTGCACACAACCGCTGAAGTTGCGTCAGGTTGCAACATTCTTTCCTAAATCCCTGTCATCCGATTGGCTGGTAGTTGATCAGGTGTCATTAAATTATTTGTACCAACCCACAGCCCAGTAAAATACAAGTCTCATTCCACAGTTCAGTGATTGACGTCAGTTCCACAGTCTTGACCGAAGACTAGAAGTATATTACAAAGATCGGTATCCATTCTGTCCTGAATTACGACCTCTGACCTTTTATCCCCTGAGCCACTGTTGCCTGGCGATTCAGTTCCCGCCTCCGTCTTTGGTTGGAAGGACTTCTCAATTTCCTCGTAGACACTGGAGACGTTGTAACAGTGCAACTCCAGTCCGTTCAGAAGGACGTAGACCCGATTGACACACTGCAAGGCATCTGTGTTTGGCAGGCAAAAATGCAATGGGTGAATTCACACAGTATTCATTACCGCAATAGTTACTTTAAAGGGAATATACATCATTTGCTTTTGCTGTAATTTTCAGAAATGGATGGAATTGGGGGGTTGGAAATATATAGCAAATATAGTTACATTGACTTTTTTGAGGTTTTGGGTTCGAAAATGCTATAAAAACCAAGAAAAACAATCATTTTCCTGTAGTCTGGTTCCCTGACTCCATAAAAGAAGAAACAGAGCAGTTTACATACATTGGGGAATTGTAAGGTCAGGGAACCAGTCTAGCTGGCTTGTACCCGTTCATAGGTGTGTAATCGATTGCAAACAAGTGCGATGGTCAATTGGGGCCAGTATTTGAAAAAAGCCAGTTTTTTCCAACGCTGGTCGGCCGACCAGCGTTAAAAATTGATACAAAAATACCACTTTTCTTGAAAATGACAGTATACCAGGTGCCATGATTTTACAGGATGCTTTACACTGTCATTCACTAACAGTCCAGCAAGGTATTTCAAAATGATTTGGTAGTTTTATTTTTTGATGTTTGCAAATGTTGTATTTTCCCTTTAAGGACATTCCTACACAGGGCGACCCCCCCAAAAAAATGCAACACTGAAACAATAGCCTTTTTTCCAAAAACGTGTTCTGTGAACTTTAATGTTTTGGATATCATATTAAAGGGAATGTACAACATTTGCTTTTGCTGCAATTTTCAGAAATAAATGGATTCGGAGGATTAGTATGTTATAACAAATATTGTGAAACTGACTTGCTTCACGTTTTGGGTTCAGAGATGCTGGGAAATCCAAGAAAACCAACCATGTTCTTGTAGTCTGGTTCCCTGACCCCACTTAAGATGAAACAGAGCAATTTATAGACTTTGGGGAATTGTAAGGTTAGAGAATCAGTCTAGCTGACTTGCGGAATAACTCAATATGAAAAATTAGGAGCAGTTTTTGAAAACAGCCAGTTTTCTCCGACGCTGGTCGGCCGACCAGCGTTGGAAAAATACAAGTTTTCTTGAAAATGTGAGCACACCAGGAGCCACGATTTTACAGCACGATTTGGACTGTCATTCCCTGACAATTCAGTAGGATATTTCATGATAATTTGCTCATCTCGTTTTTTGATGTTTGCAAATGTTGTTTCTTCCCTTTAATGTTTTGGATATCATATTAAAGGGAAAATACAACATTTGCAAACATCAAAAAATAAAACTACCAAATCATTTTGAAATACCTTGCTGGACTGTTAGTGAATGACAGTGTAAAGCATCCTGTAAAATCATGGCACCTGGTATACTGTCATTTTCAAGAAAAGTGGTATTTTTGTATCAATTTCCAACGCTGGTCGGCCGACCAGCATTGGAAAAAAACTGGCTTTTTTTCAAATACTGGCCCCAATTGACCATCGCACTTGTTTGCAATCGATTACACACCTATGAACGGGTACAAGCCAGCTAGACTGGTTCCCTGACCTTACAATTCCCAATGTATGTAAACTGCTCTGTTTCTTCTTATATGGAGTCAGGGAACCAGACTACAGGAAAATGATTGTTTTTCTTGGTTTTTATAGCATTTTCGAACCCAAAACCTCAAAAAAGTCAGTGTATTACTATATTTGATTATATTTCCAACCCCCCAATTCCATCCATTTCTGAAAATTACAGCAAAAGCAAATGATGTATATTCCCTTTAAAGCTGAGAGTTTTTTTTCTTCAAATATTGAAAAAAAATCAAGACAGCACATTGAGTTGCTGCGAAAATGAAAATCGCTGTACATGGCCTTTTCGTCGTAGCAAATATTGCTCCAGGGCGGGTCTCGGTGTACTGCAAAAATGACGTTACGGTGAGAAGTATCGTACAAATACTGTACAAATGTTCCTCAACAGTCAGCATTTGTGGTGTTTGACATTTTTTTAACATTTAACGGATATATCATGTCTTTTTCAACAATTGTATTTTTCGGCCAACAATATTCCCGGCAGCAAGTTGTTCAAGAGGAAGTCAATCTTACCGTCCTGATGTCCTATTGGTAGATACTGCCTCCACCATCTGAGAATTAACAGGCCATCCTGCACTCTGATTGGTCGAAATTAATGATAACAATGATATTAACAATTTGTAATAATGACAACAATAAACAGTAATGAATATTTAAAAAAAAACTATAAATTATTATTACCGTTCATACCTGTCAATACTGGCACTTATGGTAGCACTACGTAATTATTACCCCTGATCTTCATGCCAACATTCCTTAGATCAACTCAGTTCCTAGGGGAGCATGTACATGGCTTGATGTTGCCATTTCAGCACAAAATGGTAATTTAAACACAAAGAACTCCACTGCACTGACAGGAACCAGCTTTACTCCTGAGTGGGAAGAACCAAATTGTGACAAAGCGCTTGCTCAAGGACACAAGCAAGAGACACATACCTGAATGCGTAGTCAGCTGTGATGTAGGCCACGTCTCGGAACATCAATTTGCCCGACAGCACCGAGAAAGAGATGGAGCCTGCGAGCACAAGTCAGATTTCAACAATAAAACTGTGACTGTCTTAACCTATCTCATAATTTGTGTTATCAGAAAAGAAATTGCGATGCGATCAAGCTAAATGAGTCGTTTGTCGACCCCAATCAGACATATTTTTATTACAGATTTGAAAAGAGCATAATCTCAGCATTACTTTTGTGAAAACCGCATGCTGATACCACCTTTCGTAAAAAAAATTATGGAAGTTGGAACACCAAGAGATGTGATGAAGTGATGTGATGAAGTGGCCCTATTTTGGCCTGTATCTCCAAATGAAAATTCCCGACAAACGACTCATGTAGCTTGATCGCATCACAATTAAAAAATCTCAAATTTCTTAAAGATTCTTCTTGGGAGGTGTGGTCATTTCAATGTTTTATAGTAAAAATTGGATTCAGCCTCAAACCTCTGTTTCTTGAATTTGTTCAGTGGAGGGGTGACCATTGCTTCAATCCTTCAAAAATCCTCCGACAATCACTGTTAAAGCTATAGTCCATCATTTGCAGCTATCCGAAAAGTAACTGGCGTAATTATTGTTGAAAAACATACTTGGTTGAAAGATAGTAAGGGGACTAAACTCCCTGTGAAATTATTTTTTTCTGGCAAGCTGTCATTTTGAAGTAATCAATGAAAGAAGGCCTTTCCAACGGTGCTTCTTAAGACGCAACGTAGGAAATTTAAATTAGTAGTTCTTTTTGTTATTCGGCGAAGCGCACGCAAGCATTGGCACGACACACACCCATGCGCGGTTGCTATAATTCGTCGGATCAGTGCGCGACATCGCGTAGCTGCAATCGGCTCAGTGAGAACGTGTCTCGGACACTGAATTCAGGCCCAATTTCGATTTGAAATTGAGATCCTAGAATGCTGTTTTTCTCGGAATATACAGCTGAAGCTGAGCTGAAACTTCATCGGGTTAGTTGTTAAGTACCCTTCTTTAGATTTTGAGCACTTTTGTTGCTTCAAACGAACAAAATGCACAAATTACAAATGATGGACTATATCTTTAATGGGTTGAGGCAGTACTGATGACATTCTCAAGCAGTGAGGATGATATCGAGCATACACAGGGCTCAATTATGCATGGCTGAACATAAGGAATGCTGGGAAAAGCCTATGAACTTGACACAATGCGTCCTCCTAAATTAACGGACACTTTTGCCATTCAGCCTCAATCCTCCCAAATCCTCCAAAAAACCATGAAGGACTTTGAAGGATTGAGATTTTGGATTAACACTTCATATCCCTTCACCTGAAACTGACCTGCCGTGTTTTAAAGGGTTTTACATATTGCTCTGAATATTGACTTCCCCCTAGGAGGGTTGATCCATCCATGCAAGCCATAATGAGGACTGCCCCTTTAACCCCAACTCCCTAGTCCTTTTTGCTAGGATGTAGCCTCAATCCTGCGAAATCCTCCAATTGGCCTCCTGGCAAAATAGCATATAGCCTCAATCCTGCAAATTCTTCCCATTATTTCTTGAAAATGATCCGTGGAGGGGTGACCACTGCCTGAATCCTGCAAAATCCTGCGGCAGTGACTGTCAATATGTTTAGGCTTGGCCAGTGACATCCTGGAGCAGTATGGAGGATTTCAAGCATAATCAAGGACTATATTTATGCATGGCTGAGCAAAAACAACACAAGGTCCGGCCCAAGACCTTGACATAGTGCATCCTGCGAAATCAGTAACACACTTTTGCCATGTAACCTCAATCCTCCAAATTCCTCCACTTTGGCAAAGAGGATTTTGAAGGGTTCAGGGCAGTTGGGGTTAAAGGGTTTTACATATTGCTCTGAACATTGATTTCCAGCTAGGATGGTTAATCAATTCATGCAAGCCTTAATGAGGACTGCCCCTTTAAGACCCAACTCACCAATATGTATGTATCCTTCCTTGATGAAGCGATTTGCGATCTTGGTCAGCACGAACCCCCACCACCGCGAGTGGTAGTACGTGATAAACAGTAGCCAGAAGCAGGCACACACCGTGGCCACTAGGGGGAGGAGCAACTGCTTGAACACGCCCCATCCCCCACCCCCTTCTTCATCCCCACCCCCATTGGCGGCGGTACCATTGCCGGGACTAGGCGTCGCCATTAAGCATACCGATCAGTGCATGATGAACACTGGCTGTACTCTCGAGTCAGATTTTATACTTTATCTCTGAAAATGAGTTAAAAAAAAGAGTACATGTCATTAAAATATATTTTGGCAATAAACATACATAATTTCTTTTTGCTCTGCATACATTTAAGGTTTTAATAATGAGCAGATAATAATGAGCTCTGGAAATGCGAAAAGACAGCGGTACGTTATACGCATGACATCTACAACCATGACAACGCATGAGCCGGCCAATGACAGAGCAATACGTCATTATGAATATAATGGATACTTCAAATACGTCCAAAGATTGATCATCGCAACAGCGATCGTTAACCTAGCGGTTAAAAGTCTCGTGTTTCAAGCAAGAGTCCGAGGTTCTAATCTCGATGAAGTAAGCGACTGATTAATAAATAGGAATAAAGGAAAGGAGAGGGTGAGAGTAGAGGAGGGAAAGTGGAGGGAATAACCATAAAAAAAATAAAGGATGCAACTTTTGGCGCTTGAAAATTAATTGAAAAAAGTGGTGCTCCAGTACGGAAATTTTTCCCAAAATTGGAAATGTTTCTCTAAGACCCAGATTCATGTTTCCAACATTTTTGCAATGACTGACCTTCATTGAGTTGATATAGGCCTATGGAACATTCTTTCCCATTTCTGTATTTAGGCCAAACACTAAATAAAAATCTTTTACTTTCTTCAACTTTCATTTGCTTCCAGTTTGAACAGCGCCCCCACAAGGCTTCGCATTAGCATGTCAGAAATAAACGGATTTAGCATAGGCCTACTTCGTACTTGTCAATGCAATTGCAAACCTGACGAAACCAATCATTTCTGACTAAAAAATAAACTCCAACAAACAGAATAAAATCGAACCATTTAGTTTCCGTAGAGACGTAGACACCCTTCATTTTCTACACCGCATTCTTTAAATGAAGAAACATTAAGAGAAACAATATTCGCCTGGGGCAAACAACTGACAACTGAACTCACTCATGCATGAAGAACCACTCCTCCAAAACAATGTTTGGTATGATAACCCGGGGGGTCACAAATGCCTGGAACGACTTGAGAAACGACTATCTTTGCCGAAAGCAAACTTGCCCAACTACGAATTACAGCCGAAATCAAAATAAACTTGTACTCCGTTGTGCATTACGAAGAAGTAAAGCCTTCCATGTGGATTGTTAAAAAAACATACATATTCCAACGTACATTACCTTTTCATAAAACACTGGACAATACTGTACATAACTTTTGTTTTGTTCTACCGAATTTAGGGAAATCTAAGATTCTCAAAAATAATTTGTCATACCTAGACTGACACAAGTTTAATGACATTGAACGCGCGTGTAACAAATCGGCACGTAGCTTTTATGGGTAGTTCCCTATGCGATGATGTGATATTGGCATAGTGTTCTACTCAAGGCACCCGACTGATGTACTGCTGTTCACGATCCAACATGGCGTCCTTTGTGTCGTATGCTTCAGTTTTCGCGTGGAGTTTTCTTCTGTTGTTTGCCGTTTCGTCGCTGGCTGGCGCCGATGAAGCTTGCTACAGCTACGGAGGGGGACATGTTTACCCTGGGGAGGGTTTGAGATCGTCTGAACACGCTGTGCACTGGAGCAAAGTGCAAAGTATGGATCGTCAACGTTTGGCAGTTTCGATTTAATGGGCGGGGCCATTGGTGGGAGGGGGTGGGGTCCATGGATTAAGGCGGGGCAGGGTGGATGGAGACATAATTTGAAGGAAGCTGGAATGAATAAGCAGTTTAATAATTATTTAAAATTAATTTATTGATTTTTATTCTCAAGTCACAAAATTGAAAGTGGGGGGGGGGGGCTTGCTTATGTAATGTATAACCATGGATGTGTTGGTAATCCTTACCTGTAGGACCCCGTTCCTATATAACTTTATAAGGTTAAAAGACTCACCAATACAGCTGACTAAAATGACACTCAAAAGTGACATTCTGATATTTTTGAACAGTTTGCAATGACACCTTCTTGAATATCAGCAGGTTTAATTTTGTAGAAAGGGGGCAGGGCTTTGGTTTATGAGGGGTAAAAGATGACGATGACCAACAACAGAAAATATATTAAAAAACCAAGATGGCGAACTGCAAAAAATGTAGGAAAGTCACATTTTCTTTGAAAATGCTTTCAAAATTACAACTAACAATAACATCAGTTTACCTGAAGAAAAAAAACTGCTTTAGCATGCAAAAGTCACTTTGGTGTTGGACAGTTATCTGCAAAAGTCAGTTTTGAACAGAACTCGTAAAAATAGAGGCGTCCTAAAGATAAGGATTACCGATGTGTTTTATTTCTCCGTGGTATGACCTGATGACATATGAAAAATGTGAAAAATTGGGATGCGTCCATAAATTGTCCCCCCCCCCCCCCCCCCCTGCACTGTCCAGGTCTTACGCTGGTGCATGTTGGGCGGGGGAGGTGGGGGGGAATAATTCATTTGATAGGTGAATAATGTAACCATGCACACACACAATATTGGCAAACTCAACATGCTCAAGCAAATGGAAACATTTCATCACTAGTTTAGATGTGAGGTTGGAATTTAGCATGAATGACAAAAATATCAAAATAGAAATGAAATCTTTCAAACATTTGGTTTCCAATTTCAAACTTTACTTCCTTTGAAATGACAAAAAAATGCATCATGAAGCAGTTTGTCAATGTCATAATACTGTATTAACTAGCTGCTTCAAACACTTATAAAAAAATATTACCTGTCTGTGTAATTATCTGCCATTCAGACACTTGACCACAATTAAGCCGAGTAGGCCTACTTCAGTATTCCCATATGGCACTTGTGGATATGTCAAATGCCCATTCACACAAGGTCAGTGCATTGTGCGTTAGTATGTTTCTGTGACAATAACATAATTTGTAGTTCTTTTTATTTTTTAGTTTCCAAGCCAGCTCCATCTTTTGAAGGCACAGCTGTTGACAACGGTGAATTCAAGGAGTTGAAGTTGACCGACTACAAAGGCAAATATCTGGTCTTGGTCTTCTACCCTCTGGATTTGTAAGTGATTCCCCCCCCCCCCCCACCACACCCCTCACCACACCCTCACCACACCCTTACCAAACCCTCTGTCTAATCTACAAAAAAAAAAAAATGCACAATAAATCACCTCGACAATTAGGCCGGCAACAAAATCGATCATTTCTTGTCTGGGCTTTTTTAGAAAATAAGGAGGTGGCCCCATTTTTTTTTTTTTTTTATTACCCAAGATGGTAGATTTTTCAAGATGGCAGACGGATTCTTCTATTTACTCGCCTCTTTTGCTGCAACAAAATTCTTTCCAAAAGTAGCCATCACACTCTTTACATAGCCACAATTTTGTTGGAAACAAATAAATAGACAAATATTGAAAACATGCAAAAAAAATTGCAAATGTATGAATTCAAAATTTTGAGGAAAAAAAGGAGGTGGCTGAGAAAGAGGACGCGGACGGGACGAGAAAGTGTTTACCTTTTTTTTACTTGGCCTAACATGTAGCAGCAATATTTAAAGCCTTTCCTAATTTTTTATATGTTGCTCAATTTTGTTAATTTCCAGCACTTTTGTCTGTCCCACTGAGATCATTGCTTTCAGCGACCGGATCAGCGAGTTTAAAGACATCAACACGGAGGTGGTGGCAATATCTGTTGACTCCCAGTTCACCCACTTGGCATGGTAAGGACTTTTGTTGTAATAATTCAGTCGAAAATGCCCCAAAACAAGGTCACTTGAAGGAAGAAAAAGACATTCCAGTCGTTGTAACATGGTAGAGCCTTTGAAATACATTATAAGACTCTGCAAGCCCACTTCGAGAAGCGAGGCGGTGATAAAATTCTCCACATTTTCCAAATATGGTCATAATTTTTTTTTCAATGGGCCAATAAGGCCAAGCTTCCATGTAATCCTCACCCCTACTATACACCACAAGCCTTTAGACTCCCATTGGCCAGACCCTAGCCACTCCGGAGTAAGGAGTGTTGAAAGACAGAAGCCAAGATGGCACCTAATGCCTTTGTGCGGTAATTGGAGATCTTAGTGGCCACCCCCTTTGTGCCGCCGATCTCTTTGTGTCAACCCCTCGTGCTGCCCAGAGCTCAGACAGGTTGTGAACAATCCTGGACCATGTGAATGACCCATTTCTTGTGCATGTCCAGGCATGAAGGGTTTATTGACCTAGAAACATATGTGGTGATAAAATTCTCCATGTGGTTCCATCACGTAATTTTTTTACACTTGAAGCTCGAAGGGTAAGCTGGTCCCTTCCAATTTAGTCTTTGGGGTCTACGTAGTCAACTGAGTCAAATTTCGGGGCCAACATGAGACTTTAAGCAACTTTAATTCACAAGTGACAGTCAGTCAGTAAGTCAGTCGGTCGGTGAGATAGTTACAAAGAGGACTGAAGGCTGGCACTCTGGGACCAGCAAAAATGTACGTGATATTTGTTTTCTTGTTGATGTTTTTGTCTAGGATAAACACCCCAAGGAAACAGGGCGGACTTGGACCAATCGCAATCCCCCTTTTATCTGACTTGACACACCAGATATCTAAGGATTACGGCGTTCTATTGGAGGATTTAGGCCATACGCTCAGGTTTGTTGTAATCGTTATTCTGTCTGCAATTTCTGACTCTTTCCTTCACTTCCACTGTTTATTTTATCCCAAAAGGGTTTTATCTGCAATATTCTGTTTTAAAAGCACCATTTGGAGATAGAAAACCTGTTTCATACTTTAGTTCTTTTAAAGTTTCTAGTATATCATACTTTGAAAAAAATGAGCATTTTTGGCAGAGTCCTCACAAATAAATCTCATGTCCATCACATGTCAGTCACATCTCAATCACATGTCAGTCACATGTCTATCACTTCTCAATCACATGTCAGTCACATGTCAATCACTTCTCAATCACATGTCAGTCAAATGTCAGTCAAATGCCAATCACATCTCAATCACATGTCAGTCAAATGTCTATCACATGACATCCAGTGTCAAATCAAATAATAAGCTATTGAAAAAATTGTAACAAAGGCTTTCATTTGTAATTGTTCACATGTTTACTCAAGAGGCTGACTTGTGATTTGACATGACAAAAACTCACTTTTGGAGGAACATAATTGTCAGACAAAAGTTAATTATCCACAACAATTAATGCATATTTTTTTGGTTTCCAAATCTATAGGGGCTTGTTTATTATAGATGACAAAGGGGTTTTACGCCAGATTACCATGAACGATTTGCCGGTCGGCCGATCGGTTGACGAAACGCTACGGTTGGTGCAGGCGTTCCAGTACACGGACAAAAACGGTGAAGTGTGTCCTGCCGGCTGGAAGCCAGGCAGTGCCACGGTAAGTGAAGTGCGCCCTCTTGTGATAATTTTCAAAAAGTGGCAGGCATCCATGAAGTTTATACCTCGTTTGGATGTAGCCAATATAATTTGACCCAAAAATGGCTTTTTATGCAATTTTGGCAAAGATGTTATTTTTCCTAATTACATCAACCAAATAAAAACAGTCATTCCAACAAAGTTTGTCCAATCCTTAACTAGAAACAGAGAAATGATGTTTTACTCTTTGGCATTTCTTGACAGATCATTCCCAATCCAGAGGATAAACTCAAGTATTTCAGCAAACAGAATGACCAATAGTTGCTTCAGGACTTCAACCCACTGGAAGGGGCACAGCCATTTATGTTGATGAGCTAGACTTGCTACAAGTACAAGTCTAGCTGAAGTCTTTGGTTCTTTTTTATGATTTGGGGATTCGTTTTGAAAAAAAAAAACATCTTTTTTCATTTCATTTTGTAGCATGCAAAAAACTTTTATTCTAAAAATATCAAATTCATTGGTGTTGTAGTAAAACAAAACAAACCCCAAAAAACTTGAAAAGCTTTTGAGAGATTTATGGTATGTTTTCCATTTGCCATTGGACATAATTTAGTCGTTTTAAGCTTTGTACCAGTATTGTAAGAATCGTTGTTGAATTTGAGGTTTTCTTTCTTTGCCTGTACATGTAACTTGGGTTTTGCAAGAGTGTTTATTTTGCTTGCTTGGAATTTCATGGTCTCGGAAACTTGACTTCACACTTGTATAATTACACTTAGTGTAGATAAAATTGAACAAATCATTGTGATTTTCATGTTATTTTGATTGTTTATTCAATTACATTTTGAGCTTATGAAGTACTTTTTCCTTTCATATCTGAAGTTTAAATTTTGATATTTTTTCGTTGTGAGTTAAATATTTGTAGTTGTATTTGGTCGTAGTGGTGAAATTTTTGGAACTCTGGTAGAGGACAGACTACATGTACTTTTTTTTTGTCTGTCTGAAGTTTTCCTTTTTTTCTGATTAAAGTACTTTTGGTGTTGGTCTTATTCTATTGCATTACCCATATCGGTAAGATCTGCTAAATGCTGGAGTTAGAATTCGAACGAACGGCCAACTTTCTGTGAAAAAGAAATGACGTCATGATCACAGGAAAAAAAATAATGTCATCCACTGAAATCGGCATTCACTCCTTTAAACAGGTCATAAAGGGCTTGACCAAATATAACAAAGTCCATACGGAAGGTATCTATCATAATTGTTGACTTGCTCCAACAAAATGATTATTAAGTAAAACTTACAGACTCCGGTATTTCTTCATGTATTTGAAATACAAATTATTTCTGTGAATCGATGTTCCGGTGGGAATGTTAGTTGCTAAATAAGGAAATATTCAGACTAAAAAGTGACAATTTTTACTTAATTTCAATGGCACATTTCATGCCAAAGGTCGGACATTCAAAACCGGCTATGGTCGACTTTGGCCTCGTTTTGTTGGATCAAGTTGCAGTCTGTGCTGAGCCAAGCCTATCGTCTACAGTATTTACTTTTAGGGTTGAAAGTTCACTGTGTTTGGAACGCTGGTAATAATATGGTACATCAAATGAACTGGTGATAAAATTGAGCATTTTAAGAGTTCTTTTTCGTGTGTCAGTCACATAAAAGGCAATATATTCAACATTTCCTATAAATCTGTAGCGTGCATGTATGCAAGAATATTTCTGATGCAAGCAATAAACGTACTTAAAACCTTGCAATTTTCATTCATGAGAAGTGTATTGTGGTCTCTTCCTTTGAACTTTAGCCTTTGTTATCTTGTTAAAACGGAGTGAGTCATTTTCAGGAATTGCCTGAAATCATATTTAGTCCGTCAATTTCCAATAATTGGCACAGTAGCTCTGCACATGAAATAAACAACTTCAACCTGCTGAAATCAAATTACCCTCCTGAATAAAAAAACAAGTGCGAGTACACAATAAGTTCTGGCCGTCTTGCGTGAAAGTCTTGCATGAAATCTATCAAAATGATCCCTGCCAGAGCTTAAAAAATGCGACACCGAAAAATGCGACGTCAATGGCACATATGGAACACTACACTTCAGATGCATGTATACCTAGATTTTTAGCGATTTGTGGTACATACCACCACTTGACTTTAACATTACTGCACATTTTTTGCCTCCATTTACAAACTTTTCAAAAACATCTTTCCGAATTGTTACAAACAATTATTTAATTGATTTAGTTAGCTTTTTTTTTAAGCTTTAAAGTTTGGTACATTGTTATATTTTGTGGGAAACTTACGGGGCTCATTTTGGTAAATTTTTATATGTTCAAAATTTACAAACATGGGCATTGATTGAACAAACTCAGTGTTCCGAAAACCGTCACGAGTACGTTCTATGACTACCGCATGACATTTGGTCAATTAGTCAATTATTTCTGGTCAATTTTCCGAGGGGAGAGACAGACAGACAGACTGACCGACCAAGTGACATGTAGAAGCTCCTGCCAGAGCTTAAAAAGACTTGTTATAAAGTCCCTTGCCTAGGAACATAGGCAGCACATCCAAGGCAGTGATCAGTATTAAAAGAAATTGACACTTTCGATGTATAAATTTCAGGTCGTGAACACAATTCTTGGCGAGCATACCGCCTGCAACTTCAACATTTTTCACTCCCCAAATTTAAATACCAAGAAATCAAACTAAACACAAACATGCATATTAATTTCCATGACAGTAATATTGCAATGTTTAATTCACTGTACGGCATAAATGATGTTTATATTTCTGATAACTTTGCATTTTAGAATTAAATTAGGCAAAACACGGTTCATGTACATGTACACTGTACACGTATGCAATTTCCAGTACATAAACATATCCATCAAGTACATATGTAAAGTCTTGTAGCTCAAAAATATTAACATTTCACTATGGAAAATACTTTTCAACAGTTCATGACAACCAGCTTTACACTGGTTTGCCAATATAATCTTCATGCACCATCTATACGTTAAAATGTTATCCATACATGTTTCTGTCCAGGATGAGTCAAAAAGGAAACCAAAATGGCACCCTCTATTTTTTATTTTACGTTCTGCATGAAGCACGTTCAAGATCTAGGATGTGAAAGCCCAATTAATGAGCTTAATTTCAGTAAAGGAATGGTTCATATCGCTTATGTACTTTTCAAGTTATGGACTTTTCAACACAAACAGTTTTGCAATTTTGTCCATGGATCACAATAAAGGCAAGTGCTGTTTCAGCAAAACGAAAACAATTCCCATTTCAAGAAACACGTCAGAACACTCTCATAACCATGATAACTGGCTCTTATCATAACCTTCATTAAAACAACTTTCACATCCAATGTTAAAGCAACATACATTTACTTCATAACGTCAAGAGTTCCTAGTCTTGCCTTGCCTTCTACTTGGCTACCCGGAGACTTATGGGATTATTCTGATATCGTTTTCATGATACAACATGGTTTCAATTTACAGAAATATCACGTACCTTAGATGTGATCCGTGGACAAAATTTTAGAACTGTTTGTGTTAAAAATTCCATAACTCAAAAAGTACACAAGTGATTTGAATGATTCTTGTACTAAAAGAGAGCTTATTAATTGGGCTTTCGCATCCTAGGTCTGGAAAGCGCTACATCCAGGACGTCTTTACAAAATAGGGGGCGCTATTTGAGTTTCCTTTTTGTTTACTCACCCTGTATAGACAATTCCGAGCATTCTAGCATTGTATGCTCACGATGGCCCCCTTCAATGGTGAAAGCATTGTGCTAGCTATTGTTCAGATAATCCATCATGGGGTAGTTGATTTGTACAAAAGCTAGCACAATACTTCGCCATTGAAGGGGGCTCCGCTTGGATAAGTCTACATATGTTTATTAATGTATGCCTGTGCACCACATGATTAGATGTACAATCATGTTTTATCAAATTTTCTATGAAATAAAATTCTTACATTTAAATGAGTTGAAAACATGAAAAGAGGAAAATAACTCTTCCTCAAAAAAAGTATAAATAACCAATTGCGAGGATTTTTTTGCCTATTTACAAAGAGCGCATTTTGGTAAGATCTCTTTAAACATCAAGCTATTTTGGCATAATATTTCAAACATTCTCGGTAAAACTGCATAATGCCATTTCTTCATTTAAATTATACTCCAAATTTTTACAGGAAAATACAAGTAAGAACAAGATAGTTGAGACAAATTTTGACAAGAAAAAAATTATTAGGACAGGATCCGATGTTTGTCGAACACTATGCTGGAAGCCATATTGGTCTTGTTCCAAGACCTCAATGCAATGACCAGAGCCATGATACACTCAATATGGAATTGTATTTGAGGTAAGGTGCCAGTCCATTTCATGCCAGTCAACTTACAAAACTTCCAGTATTTCATTGCTGTCTCCAATACTTATTACAGTGATGTACCAAAAAAGAAGGTTTTTACTTTTGAAGACTTGGGCTGTCTATTTCCTATTTTTGAACAAATTCCCTTCAAAATTCATTCAAAACTGTCAGGAAAAAAACCCCAAGTGCAATTGGAAAACCTACATTTAACCAAAAGCAACAGAAGACTTGACAATCTGGTACCATAAAAAGTATGCATTGGTAAGTTGTGACAAAGAATGTCATGTTATACAGCGGCTTGTGAGGAGACTAAGTTTGCCAGCGACCTTTGACCCTTACCACTCACCAACATAATAATGCCACCAATTAATACTCAATGTACACCTCATTTTAGATTACAAAAAAAAGATGTTCCAAATAAATTTCAAATGGTTGTGTTTAATGTCTATATATGCTGTAGCTTTACTGGGCCAAAAAATAAAAAAACAATTCTTTTATTTTCATATTCACATTAAAAAAAAAAAAGTTGTTTCATTTTCATATTCACATTAAGAAGTGTTTGAGTACTTAGTCTTGATTTCTGATTTTCTACGTAAGAAAATGTTGGCAAATGTGACATCATCATACGAGCAGAGATTGACAAATTTCTGCTTAATCTATGACACAGTTGTGATACAATTTTTTTTTAAAGTTTATACCATTAACCCACACTACCTAAGCACGTTTGCTGAGGAATCTTTCTGAATCCTACAAAATCCATCATTTTGCAGGAAACCAATGGCACATTCTTTGGACTTGAAACTTGTAAGGGCATCAAGCTGCTCCATGCAAAGTAACAGTGGCTGAGCTCTGGCTTCCTGAATCCTACAAAATCCATCGTTTTTGCAGGAAACCAATGGTACATTCTTTGGACTTGAAACTTAATTGTACAAGGGGCATCGAGCTCCATGTCTGAGCTCTACCTTCCTCAATCCTACAAAATCCACCATTGTGCAGGAAACCAATGGCACATTCTTTGGACTTGAAACTTGTAAGGGCATCAAGCTGCTCCATGTAAAGTAACAGTGGCTGAGCTCTGGCTTCCTGAATCCTACAAAATCAATCATTTTGCAGGAAACCAATGGCACATCCTTTGGACTTGAAACTTGCAAAGGGCGTCGAGCTCCATGTAAAGTAACAGTGGCTGAGCTACATGTATGGCTTCCTCAATCCTACAAAATCCTTCAAAACCTATGAGTGGATTTTGAATGAACTGGGAGGGTTTAGGGTTAATGTACAAATGTAATACAACAGGCACTTCGGCTTACAAATGTTCCATGTTTGCAGGTTCGTTTGCCTTTCTTCACAAATCACAGTTGTGTCTTGGGTCCTGCTGCATCAGATGAATGCATTTTGTTCCGAGGAACCAGACTATCAGAAGGACACTCTCACCAAGTATCATTGAACATGCATATTGAGTACTTGCATGGACATGAGAACAACTTGTGTGCACATGTGCCGTCTTGTCAATAAAGGAAGGCTGGTAACCAACTGGAGCTACTCCAACATGATAGGAAAACTGTTACAGACTTCTGGGACTAAGACACTATTTGTACTCAACTGCTCACAATAATTTGAGATTTCAGCGGCCACTGAATATTGTTTCCAATGTTTATGTCGATTGCTCAAGTAGATTTCATTCTATACACCATCGCCTCCTCAGGTTCTAGAATCACTCCTTAGAAGATTCTCAGTAAGAACAGACGACAAAGCAAGACTGCATATAGCTTTAGGGATTGACCGATGCTTCAGAACAGTTTTCTATTCTTTTGACCTCGTGGAGGTCAAAGTTCACAGCGAACAATGAAAATCCACAGAAGCGAGGAACATGATGCCAACAGAATGATAAACAAAAAGGTTACCAGTCTAGGGTAAGAGTGTAACCTAATTATCCAGACTTGTCCAAAAACAAGCTGAGTTGGCAAGTTGAAAATCCTGCAAGCCACAAATTAGCTCCTCCGTTCTCATGAGGACTGATTGCCCGTTTAGGGTCTGAGCATGGTACCATTATCGCGTGGCATTTCGCAAGCCTCGCATTTATCCAGCGCAGGGTGATTTAGCAAGGTACACGCCGAGCAACTCCACATCAACGATTCGTATGGAGGAGGGGGTGGTTCAGCATCTATGACAGCTAAAAAAAAGAAGAAGAAAACTTGGTTAAGAATGAATTTTTGTGAAGTGAATCCAAATTCAATATCAACAAAACGGTAACACTCTTAAAGAAATACAGGATCATTTGCTTTTCATGCAGTTTGTTTGTTTCCAATAATAACACCACTCAAAATCCAAAGAAGAATGTTTAAAACCTATTCATAAATACCTAAGACAGTTTACCCATTCCTATTGGTCGAGAGCCCATCACGTGGCCGGTCTTAAACGGATGATAAAGACATGGCTAGCTGGTCTTAAACACTTTTTCAGTGTCACATGAAATTTGGACTCCCATGAAATCCGGTGCCTTTTAACGTTTCATTGGTTGAATGTTCACATTCCTCATGTATGCATGCGCAATACTACCAGTGAATCAGTATTTCATGGTCCGAAATTCACACTTCACCAGCCCAGCTGCGTTTTGCGCGACATGGCGCAGTACGCATGACGCGCACGCCAATGTCCTTATAAGGTAACGAGTTGTGGAGGGGCATTCCATACTATAGTCAGAGGGGTGTTTCGTAAAACATGAAGTAAAATTGTTGAACAAAATGGTTGGCAACATCTAGTTTTTGACTTGTTTTGATTTTTGGAAAGAAAAGATTTTTAACAAATTTTGGTTTAGATCCGACGACTCTTTGTTGAATATCAGACGACTATTTACTGTACGCTGACTAAAGACATAAAACAGTCACCGACTTGTGCTATAAATACACCTACGACGCGTCGCACTTACGACGTGTTTTGTGAAATGGATCGCAGGACGCATCGCAGCTGCGACGCATCGTAGAGACACGACGCGTCGCAGCGCTGCGATGCATCGTAAGTTACGAAGAGTTTGATGAAATCGGGTGCAGTTCCAATCATAACAAAGGAATGACATTTGTAACAGTCCGTCTGAATAGCTTGTGACTGGACTTGCGACATTGGTCATAAAGGTTTCTAGCGGACCACTTACTCTCAGGGATGGGGTTATTGTTGAGGATCGGTGGTACCGGGCCCGGGGCACCGGTTGAACCCATGTTGCCATAGAAACTGGTCGCTTGGGTGACATCCATCAAACCTGAAAGTAAAATCAGGAAAATTGATTACAGAACTACGACAGGAACCCAAAGAAATACAGTTGCACAAATCTCTTCAACTATTACTCTCCCTTGACATGTAGTATTGGTCTCATGCCGGTCAACAATGCTTAACTTCCATAATTTCCATCAGTGTTCTCCAACTTTGAAAATTAAAGCGCAGTCAAAAAGCGGAGGGGGGGGGCGATATAATTATGTTAGGGGCGCTATTTGCAGTCATACATTTCTTTATGCTAAGGGGCGCTATTTGCAGATGAACATGTACATTATGTACGGATAACAGCTTTTAGGCCATTTCTAACACAGTAACACTAAAAATTAAGTGCAATACTGGCTCAGCATCATCTTTTTTAACACATCAGTGACCAGGGACTCTGAGGCAGTTTGGCCTTGAGACTTTTGACCTGATTGATTGCTACAATGGGCAGGCTTGTCAGTTTGACAAATGTTCCATGTTACTGCTTTTGGCAGAGTTTCTGGCCAAAATATACCCTGGATGGTAAGGGCAGTCCCCCTTGTTTTTCTTTTTTTATTATTTTTTCCTTTTTTTTAAAGCATGGCGGGCAACTTTTTAAGCTTGGCGGCAGCTTTAGAAGCTTGGCGGGTGCCTCAGAAAGCTTGGCGGGGAACCAGGTTATATTTACAGGCTGGAGAACAGTGATCCATGTGCTTTATGTGACTAAGCTAACGGTCTGGGAGCACTCACCTTGGCTTTTGTAGGATTCTATTTCCCGCGTCATACACTCAATGTCAATCTGCAGCTGGTGTTTCTGTTTCCGCAGTAAACCGATTTCCTCAAGCTGAATAAAAAAGAAATTAATAAAACATATCTACTACTTTGTGTCTGTGAAATGTAACTTCCATTTTGGGTTTTTCCCTTCACTTTTTAACCCTCCGAGTAGGAAGTCAATAAATTATGTAAAGACCTGAAAAACCCTGCAGGTCCGTTTCTGGTGAAGGGATATGACGTGTTAAAGTAACTGTGTCACACAGAGAGTCACTGCACACTAAACAGCACTGTGGAGAGCAATGAAGCGTGACTGAATCTGCCTGCTTGCCCTGAGCTTAACCACACCAAAGAATTGTGCAGGGATTTGAAGTGTTATCCATACTCCACAGAAGATTACCTCAAAGGAATTTGAAGTGTGGGTGCAAAGTGAATTTTGCCAAACTTGAAGGGTTGTGAAGTGCAGAAGACTGGGAGGGTTGACTCAGTAATTTAAATAGAAACATCTGAATTACAATTAATGTTAACTGCCTTATCCCCCCCCCCCCCTAAAAAAAAAATTAATTAACCCTAACTCCCTAGGCCTTTTTGCTAGGATGTAGCCTCAATCCTGCAAAATCCTTCAATTGGCCTCATGGAAAAATAGCCTCAATCCTGCAAATTCCTCCGTTATTTCTTGAATATGGTCCATAGAGTGGCGACCACTGCCTGAATCCTGCAAAATCCTCCGGCTATGACTGTCAATAGGCTGAGGCAGAGGCAGTGACATCCTGGAGCAGTGCGGAGGATTTCAAGTATAATCAAGGACTCAATTTATGCACGGCTGAGCATAAACAACACAAGGTCCGGCCCAGGACCTTGACACAGTGCGTCCTCCGAAATCAGCAACGCACTTTTGCCATGTAACCTCAATCCTGCAAATTCCTCCAATTTGCAAAAAGGATTTTTGAGGATTTGGGATGGTTAGGCTTAAGGCTTGACATAATAAAGAGTACCTCACTGAACTATAGACACATACCGTTGGGAATGGTGACCGGTGGTTTTTCCGTTTGTGGGACACCTCCCGTTCCATACCGGAATTCTGCTCTCTCATGAGGGCCAGACTTTTCTTTTCTTCCTCTAGTTCCTTGATAAGACGTTCGTACCGCGCTCTCTGGTGCATCAGTAACGCTGTTGGAGAGAATAAAACAATGACTGGAATTAAGACTACCTATACATCTATCACATTAAGTGAGAAATTAACTGCAGTGCACAGAAGTGGAACGCAATTTTATAAATTTAAAAAACAAAAAATAGGACAAAACAAAATAGTTTTGAAACAACGATGAATAACGATCTAAATCAAGATTTTTGAGTATTTTTGTGTTTCAGTAATTTATTGTGACCTCAAAACAGTAAAAAAAAATATCTTGAGATCTGCTGCTGCCCACAAAAACACCCTTTTATTTACTGTCGTAATATCTGAAAAATGACTCATAGCTTTAATATCCACTCTGCAGACACAGACACGTTTAATTTGGTACACCACTTGAGACATCATAGCCTTTAGTCAAATCCCACGTGCTTATCCGGCCACGTTACGCACCCCGGATGCTGGCATGTAAAAAGACTAGCACGAGCGGCGAAGCCGCGAGAGCCTTTACCATCTCGTGGAGAACGCTTATGTTTTTCTTAATACATTTGTGTACCGATTTGGTAGACACATTTTCATGCATAATGCACGACGTGTTGTGAATGTGTGCGCGTCTTGTTTTTTTTTTAGAACGCGTGTGGCACGCGCTCGAAGGTGCGCGCGTGTCATCACCTCAAAAATGGCTTGATCGTGGTGATTGCTTCATATATATTCGCACACATGCATGATTCATATTACTTGGAAAATGAATAATGGTTAACTCCACGAGATGCTAAAGGCGCTCATGGCTTTGCCACACGACTGGTCTTTTTTCGTGCCAGAATCTGGGGCGCCACGCGTCCGGGTAGACATGCGCGCCTTGACTAAAGGCTAGAGACATCAAGGCGGGAAAGGTTGGCGTGCGTTGGTTTTAACCACCAAAATTCTAATCCACTTCTCAAATGCCTGGGGCAATAATTGAGAGTACCTACCCTCTGTGTAGGCTTGATCTTCCTTTTCTTTGGATGTGGATCTGTCTGGTGGAAGAGTTGGAGGTACAAGAGTTGCGTCCCTTCGCTTTGACCTCTCTTTCCTCTTTGGAGGGATTGGATCAACCCCGGCCACAATTCCCCCGGCTGGGGTAGCTGCAGTCTGGTGGGCCGCGAATTCGTCGTCTGGCTTGGGGGACGCTCTCGCAGGCTCTTGAGCGGAGAAGACAGGGTTAAAGGATATGCTGTCCGTCGTTCTGCTGTACGAGGCCACAATGGGCGACTGGCTTTGCTTGCCCTTGCGCGGTTTGGCCGCCGGGCTAGACGGCTGTACGGGGTCGAGTTGGTAAGAGGTGGCGATCTGGGAGCCGGAGCGCGACTCCGCGGGTTTTACTGGGGGCTGAGGCGGTGTCCACCTGTCGCTGGGCTCGTCAGTGGGATCGTCACTGGGTGCTGTGAACGGCTGCGAGTGTTCCTGCCAAGCAGGCCGCGGCTCAAAGGGGAAGTTCCTTAGGTCCACTCTTTGTTCTAAGCCGTTACTTGTCCTCCCGTAGGGAGTACTCGACTGCCGATGAGGAGCTTCCCCTCGTAATTGGGAACCCCCGGGCACTGGACTGCCCCGCTCAGTCTCAACATTTGGCGCGCTTATTGTCCTCATGGGCAGTTTTTGTATGTCCAACGTGCACGACACGACATGCCTCTCCTCCTCAGAAGTACTTGGAGGAAAATGTCCGGGTTCGGTCCGCGATTCCACATCAGGCACTCCGGTCTCTAAGGACGCCCAGCTTGTGAAACTCGGCTGGGGCGTCCTCTCGGGATCCTCCACGCCTATTTGGTGATCATAGGGGTCCCGAATGGGCATACCCACCATTTGCTCAGGGGTATAAAACTGAGATGTGTACGTAGCAGCGCTGACGTTTGTTCTTGGTGGGGGGTTTGGCGTAATCTTTTCGTCATAGGTCGGAGTGTTGTGGCCGACAAAGTCGCCATACATGAAGGATGGGCTGGCGAGTTCAAGCTCCTTGATACAACGACTCATATTGCCTCCATTCTAAAGGATATGAGATGAGAAAATACAAAAGTATGTTTGGTCCCCTTTTAATCATCTTGAAAAACTAAACAAATACATTTACAATGTACATATGTATAAGTCTGTACTGTGTTTGCAAGGGTAATGTACATAATGATAATAATAATAATATGTACATGTACATATATGTAATTTTCATCTCGTTTTACTATTTTCTTGAGAAAAACATACAACATGAAAAGTAGAGACAACAAATAACACCGTTTCGTGCTATTTTTCCGACAGTTGGACTAAGAATGCTGTTTATCCAGATTCATTTCTTTTTCTCTAATTAACTTATAGGATCGAGTAATTCAACATAGGGGGCCCATAGCTGGAGTTACCCAGCCCTGAGTTTTATCATTGGGTTGTCGTCTAGGGCTGGAGCGAATTTTTCTCGTAACTTGTAGTAAAGGCAAAATTTTTTGGAAAATGTTCAATTTTGTCCCCGTTACACACTAATTGCAACTGCAACTCACCCCAAACTTGCCTGGAATAACCATTACACAGGTCCTTGAAGTAAAAAACGATCCACGATGAAGATTCAGCCTACAATTGCAGTGAAAACAGGAGGAATAACCGCTAACTTGACAACCTTGCTGGATTGGCCAGGACCGCAATTGGTTTGTGCACAAAAAAAATTGTGTACAATGAATGGCGGTCGATTAACAGGCACAGAGAGAGCGATCGCTGTCAACTACTCGTTTTGCCGGCTGCGCTGGCTGTTGGCGCATGACGTCACGCGGAAGCGTAACACCCGATGACTGTTTCATGCACTAATATGAGGTTTACCACTCGCATCACAGCTTTGGTACTGGAACCGCAACCAATAGTGCATGAAACAGTCATCGGGTGTTACGCTTCCGCGTGACGTCATGCGCCAACAGCCAGCGCAGCCGGCAAAACGAGTAGTTGACAGCGATCGCTCTCTCTGTGCCTGTTAATCGACCGCCATTCATTGTACACAATTTTTTTTGTGCACAAACCAATTGCGGTCCTGGCCAATCCAGCAAGGTTGTCAAGTTAGCGGTTATTCCTCCTGTTTTCACTGCAATTGTAGGCTGAATCTTCATCGTGGATCGTTTTTTACTTCAAGGACCTGTGTAATGGTTATTCCAGGCAAGTTTGGGGTGAGTTGCAGTTGCAATTAGTGTGTAACGGGGACAAAATTGAACATTTTCCAAAAATTTTTTGCCTATACTACAAGTTACGAGAAAAATTCGCTCCAGCCCTAGACGACAACCCAATGATAAAACTCAGGGCTGGGTAACTCCAGCTATGGGGCCCATGTTATTTTTTTCCACCTCTTTTTCACCTCGGCTTGTGTGATCTCCCAGTTTGTACAAAAAGTGATCGAAACTGTCGCACTGACGTTACAACAGTTGACTGTCTGGTTCCCTGACCTGAAAATATTTGATGTCGGGATCTTTTGATCTCTTGGATTCGGAACCAACCAGGACCAGGTTCATCATGCTGTGCATGATCACAAACAACATGATCAAAAAGTCATGAACAAGTAACAAGAAATTTAATCTACTTTAATATTAAAAAAGTAGGATTTCATTTGATACATAAAAGTAATGAAATCTTTCTTTTTTTTAAATCCAGATTTCAAAAAAATTACCAAATATTGTTTATCACGAAACTGATGCAATGAGAGGGTGTACCTTTTTCAGGGAAGAGGAAACAACATCAGCGGGAATTTCGGGGAATCGCTGTTGAAGATCCCGCACCGAACTTGCCGAAAGCTCAAAATACGCCTCTTTATCTCCGGCAATGGCCATAGCTTTTCGACACCATGTAGACGAAGTTTCCAAAGTAGCGATTCATATGGCTAGTTATAAATCATTAATAAACGCAGTATTTTCGTCCGGTTTTTCCCGAAGAAATTTCAACTTCGCCAACTAAGTTTTTCCATACAATTTTACGCAGTATGCAGATTGTTCATGTGATCTAGCTGCGACCTGACACAACGCTGGTTCCCTTGCAGTCTATTCATTAGTACGAGCGAGATCCCGTGAACCAGTGTTTACAACGAATCCGCTGGTACCGCGGGTTATCTACAGAAGCAAAACAAACGCCTGGAATACACGTCTAATCGTACCCGTTTGCGAATATGGGATCTCAAAGCCCAAATAGGAATGCTTGATAAATTTTATAGAACGCCACAACAAAATTATAAACATAACATTGCCAATTTTAAAACTTTTCTGTAAATGTAGCAATATTTGAAGATATAGCGATATTCAAAAATTCAACAACATGATTTGATTTTGAATATTCGATTTTGGACGATTTTAATGGGTATATTGGGTGGTTATTTGTTACTTCTTATTTGCTTTTTTAGCTGAGTGTAAATGTTCTTATTTTAGCTGAGTCTAAATTTTTATTTTGTTTTTATTATAAAAAAAGTCTTGTGATTGTAAATAATTGTTCATAAATACCTAAGACAGTTTACCCATTCCTATTGGTCAAAAACCCCTCATGTGGTTGGTTTTAAACGGTTGATAAAAAAAATACTTTTAAATACTTTTCTGGTACCGCAGCGTTCTGCACCACCACACAGTATGCACCATGCGCGCACCATTTCCATATCAGGAGAGTTTTAGTTCTACTCACAAAAGGCACATACCATAAACATAGCTAGGGTGTTTCACAAAACATGAAATAAAACTGTGTTGAACAAGAACAAAATCACTGGAAATTTATACGCTTTTACTCGTTTTGAGTTTTGACCGACAGGTCAGGTGTTTACGGCATTGTGCCTTAATTTAAACAGATAAACGTATGCCAAATTTTCTGGTTCTTTAAATCCGGAGAAATTACTTGTCAAAATAAAACACAGACAGATCATTGACAAGTTCAAAGGAAATTTGATATGACACATAATAAAATTCGCCAACATTTAGGCGCGCCATACAAATTCTGACATTACTGGAGGACATTTTCCAAACACACACTTGTTTACCGAAAATGTGTATGAAAAAAATGGCAGAGAAGAGTGCGGAAAGTCGCTAAAAAATAGCAATAATTTCGATATAATTTGTCGAAAAGGTTACTTAAAACAGAGAGATAGCCATGGAGGGGCAGGAAAACTCTTCCGACTCTGAGGAGAAAATCCAGGTGAAAACAGAGCCGCGTGAAGAAGATATCAAGGTAATCAAAATGATTCGTTCCTTCGACCGTTCGACTTCGTCTTCTCGTTTTTTTTTCTCGTTCAGTATCGGGGGGGGGGGGGGGTGGGGGGTGGGGGGGGGGGGGTGGGGGGGTGGGGGGGGGGGCACTGCGCTGTGCGTGGCTGTGTGCTTGGTGTATGCATGGAGGAATGTGTTCTTATTCCTACATGGTCATGATAGTGGTGTATGTGTAGCGTAGCATACACGGTAGTCCGAAAATTTGGGACTCTCAATACTGTGTATGAGAGTCCCAAAACTTAAGGTATCCATATCGTGCAAAACTTTGTGCTGCATGATAAAACCAGTGTGAATCAAATTTGCAAGCTTCTTACTCACTACAGTTTCTTCAATAATCCCTGAAACTTCTGCCTAGCAAAGTTGCTGTTGTGAGCATTGCATCACCAAAATTTCAGCTTTTAAATCTAATTTTGCAGAGAGTTATCGAAATCCATACGTGAGACATCACATTTATGTGTACTGCAATGCATTGTGCAAAAAGACTCCTCAGCTATAACATTTTTATCGTGTAGATAAAACAGCGCCCTCTTGTTGATCTGAGTGAATGCAATATGTTTCATTTTTAGCAGAGGGCGCTATGTTCATTTGGCCATTGATTAAAAAACGAGTAAGCTGCAAGGCTCTTCCTACACCTACCCAGAATACGTTGGGAATCACACACCCATTTCCAGAGCATGGAGATTGACGTGGGTGGTTTTTGAACTGCCAAAACCTTGCCTTAAAATTGGACTTAAGGTCTCAAATTTTGCAGGTGACATGCTTGCAACTATAGCATTTTGATGTATGTGTTGTGTGGGCATTAATTAGCCAAATGGTGAGTAAAAAAACGTCAGTAGTAATTTTGCACGTTTTTATGCACTCACGGTCCCAGTCTGGGGAAGTGGTACCTGGGCGCAAGTGGGGCTGGTTGATAAATAAGAATAATGTAGGCTAGTGAGCAGGTGAGTAGTGGTTTTAATCCCCCCTACTATATAGTCATTACGACAGCCGTAATGCAATTTCTGGGGGTCCTACTAAACTACATCAACAAGCGTCAACGGTTGTCAACAAGCATCAACAAATTTTGTATATGCTTTTGAACATTAAAAGTAAATTTATATGGTAGAAAACGCAATAAAGAACATCTTCTGCATATCAATTAAGTTAAAATTATTTCAAAACTTGTTTTTTTGAACGCGAAATTTGGATGGCGCTGTACATTTCATGCATGTGTAGTATGGCTCTGTTCACTTCACGCATGCATAGTACGGCTAGCTTCACGTAAACAAGATGGCGGCCAACACTAATCGACAAATTCGTCGTACATTTCGCGTTCAAAAAAACAAGTTTTAAAATAATACTAACTTTAATTGATACGCAGAAGATCTTCTTTATTGCTTTTTCTACCATATAAAGCTACTTTTAATGTTCTAAAGCATATACAAAATTTGTTGATGCTTGTTGATGACTGTTGACACTTGTTGACGCTTGTTGACGCAGTTTAGTAGGACCGATTTCAGGCTTAGGCCGAGGGAATGAAAGTCATAGAATACCGTCCACCGCCCGCATGTGCCGAAAGGTGCCGCCGAAATTTTTCATTATTTACAAAAAAAATCATTAAACACAGTATACGAATGTAGCTTGAACTTTCCAGTTTACTACTACTAACTTTACCAGGCTCATGACGTGGGGAGATCACCGGTACCAGCAGTAGAGCTGGAATTCTGGAATTGCTTTCTTGACTTTTAATCATTTATACTATAGACTTGTTAGATGGTGGTTTTTTTTATTTTTTTTATTTTTTTTAGTGCCAACTGATGCAGATCGTCTTAATATCATCGCAGTTACACTTATACCCACGTCGCAAGATTGACCTGAGGGCAGCTTTACGTTAAGAGCTTGATGCCCCTTGAACCATGTTAAAGTTAAACGATTGTCTGTTGTCGATTGTAACTACAGGGTTATGCAGAGGACACTATGAACGAGTTGTTGGCCATTTATGGATACGAGAAAGTTGACGAAGGAGTAACAAAGGAGCTTCATTTACACCACTTCTCGGACAAAGATGGTGACAGGGATGCTGAAGGTATGGATCCTGGAAACTGCTTTAATTCTTGTGATGTTTAGGCCCCCTATTAATTTTTTTTTTTTTTTGGTCCATCGGGTCAAGTAAACACTAAACCAATTTGTTGTTTCCTTATGTTTTTCCTGCATGCCTCTTTATATTTAATTATGCATTTGCAATAATATAGTCTTTTTGTTTCCAGCAAAAATATGCAAGTTTTAAATCTGGTAGAAAAAGTGATGGCTTCTTTGGACACAAAAGTATCGGCAAAAGAGTCGAGAAAATGGAACGATACATTCACCATCTTGGAAAATTTGCCATCTTTAGGGAGGAAAAAGGCCACCTCCTTCCTTGTTTTCCAAAAGCCTGGATGAAATTTTTTTTACTTGGCCTTGATTCCAGCACTTGGTCACTAATTTGGGTGTCTGTGTGTAATTGTTGCATAGAATCAATTAAAAACAAAATTAAAATCAGTTCTGAATATGCAATATAGAATGTGGACTTGTTTTATATTCCTCTGATGGGATAGGTTCTCATGGCGGAATCATCATCAAGCAAGAAGTCGGGGATGACGACGATTATGACGTCAAACCGCTGCTCAGCGACCAGGAGATGGGCGAACTTCAGATCAACGAACAACAGCTCAGTGACTACCAAGCCAGCGGCCCCAGCTCTCCAGGTGACGATCACATGAATCACTCCTCAGGTGCTGTCGCGAGCGTGTGCACATCGGCAGAATGCAGCGATGGGGGTAAGCAAGGTTTCGCCTGGTATCTTTGGGACACACTGAAGGCTGTTTTGGATCCCAAATTTACTCATGGAAATGTTTGTAAAACATGTCCCTGTGTTGAGTGGAGATTTGTAGTGCAGTGGCCTAGTGGTTTGATGCTTTGTACCAAATTTCTTACTGTGCTGCTTCTGGATGCGACAGTATTGTTTACAGTCCACGGACTCGCGCTGATTAAAGAGGCGAAGCCTTGGAAGTTGATAGACAAAAGTTGTTAACAATTCCTTTTGGTTTGAAGGCCTTTCTCATTTCAATCCACAGAAAACCCAACCGGTTCTGAATACGAGATTGTGTGTGCTTGGTGCCAGAACTATGGCTTCAAGAGGTACACACTCAACACGACCACCGAGTCCAAGGCCTTCTGCAGCGAGAAATGCTTTGCCGCCTGCCGCCGGGCCTACTTCCGACGCAACAAGGTCTGCGACTGGTGCCGCCACATCCGCCACAGCAAGGACTACATTGATTTCCAGGACGGGAAGCGTAAGCTGCAGTTCTGCAGCGACAAGTGCCTGCACCAGTACAAGATGGACGTCTTCTGTCAGGAGACCCAGGCTCTGGGATCCGCAGGGGTGTCTGCCGTTGACTCGGGGGCTGTTGTCGAGCAGGGAGCTCCGATAAACGAATCGGTTGCTGCTGTGAACAGCTCTGAGGAATCGGAGCACGGTGACACTAACATGTTGCTGACTGTGGCTGCCGACAGCAGTACACAGCCCTTCGTGCTCGGAAACGGCGTCCATAAACTACCTGCCCAGCCAGGCCAGGACTGGCCGGTCCTTGCCGCACGGACACAGCCCAAATCCAAACAGCATGCAAACCGAACCATCATCGGCGTGCAGCATATCGCTATCGCGCCAAAGGTCAGCACGGCTGGTAGTCAACTGGCTCCAGTCCCGCCTGTCACCCAAGTCGCTGCCCCTGCTGCCACCAGTTTGACCCCACCGACTGCTTTCCCTGCTAGGGTGACCCCGCCAAACCCTGCTGGTCAGGTGTTTGGGTTGCAGACCATCATCCAGCCTGGGGTAGGCAACTCTCAAGTTGTAGGCAACTCACAAGTCGTTGGCCGCACTCCGGTGGTGGTCCGAGGTACTCACTGGCCCCCTGTCGTCAGGCAGATCCCAGGGTATGTTATCCCAAGCCAACAGCAACAGCAGTCATCACCACCAGTCGTCCAAGCTCCAAGGCGCATCCTTCCTGCTGTACCTGCCAAATTTCCTGAGGTGTCCACCTCAGCTGCTAAAAAAGGATCAGAGACTTCAGTACTTCCACACCAAAAACCCTGCACCTCTGAAGATAAGCTCTCTGATAGTAGCCAGTCTTCAGCATCCAACTTCAGCCACCTTCTACCCCCAGTGACAGTCATGGTACCCCAGCCGGTTTTCATTCCCATACCATACCCCATCCCCATCCCCATCCCTGTTCCGGAGGCCACATTTCATGCAATGAGAGCAGCGTGTACTGCAAGTAGGCAGTGTTCTCGTGAAGCTAGCTCCGGCCAAAATGACGAGAGGAGCAAAGCAGGCAGCCGACATTCTGCAAGTGTTTCCAGCAAACTTGATGTGAGACATGGAAGACATCAAACCTCGGGATTCCACGAATCCTTTTTTCACAAACAAGCAAACTCTGAATTGGACTGTAGTACCTCACACAGGGCTAGTAAGCGACACCACGGGCTATCACCTCATGGGATTTCAGTGACCTGTCCAAAGATTAACGAGCCAACCACCTTCCCCGATGCTAAGCACAAAGCTTGGCAGCCGCTCTTCAAGTACAAGACCCTCCAGCGAAGTGCCAGCATGGATCTAAGCCTTGCCCGACCCTCAGAGGAACCGTCCAAATCAAGCTACAAACCAAAATCTGAGCAGGACCATGTTGGCAGCATCAGCAGAAGCATCGGCAACGTCAGCTCCCATCACCAAGATCCCTCCTACCTGACGCCGGATGTCTCAGTTCATCTCAGCGGGGAGTCTTCCGCCAAGGTCCGGGAAGCTCTCCGTTGCCACCTGACCAAGCGCCTCTCCCAATCAGCTCTGAACCTCACTGAAGTTGGCAGGATGCCCACCCCTCAGGACGACCTGCGTCGATGCCAGAGCCTCAGCAGACTGAGATACCTGGAGCCAAATCACATGGAGAAGCTTCCAGAGTTGGCCGATGGATACTCCTCATCCCCAAGCCACTGCTCGTCCACCTCATCCACTCAGAGAAGCAACTTCAACCCACCTGACATGCCTGAGCAAGAAGAAAACAAGGAGGGTGAGGAGGAAGGTCAACCTCCTCAAGACGAAGACCCTCAGAGTCCAGCAGCAGAATCTGATGATGATGACACGATAGAACCGGAAGCCAAACGGCAATGCCTCAACCATATTTGAATATAGCACTGTAGCCAAGCAAATAGCAAATCCACAACTCTTGGGGTATGTATATTTGTGTGATATCAAAAATCTGATGTCAAAATTTGTTTGGACAATGTAAAAATAAAATCTTCATGAAACTTTGGTCAAACAGTTGTAACAAAAATCTGTTTAGCTATAGAGATAATTCAGAGATATTACAAAAACTTGCTCATGAAGTAAAAACTAAACCTATTCACTGCTTTGTTACTGTGCCATTGTTAACTTGCTGTAGGTTAGGTACACATACATGTTTCTTACCTATTTATTCAATTTAAAGGTATTGTACACTATTTGCAGCTATCCAAAAAGTATTAAACTGACCAAATTATTGTGAAAAAGCTTACTTGTTTTAAAGATAGTAATGGCACTTAACTCCCTGTGAAATTAATCCTGCCATGTTGTCATTTTGAAGAAAACACCAAAAGAAGGTCATTTCCAAGGATGTGCCAAGTGACACATTTTTGGAAATTTCTGTGAATCCGCCCCCATACGTTTTGTAGTTCCGTGAATGGATGACAACCAGTTGTCTGAGAATTATGTCCTGAATGCTGATTTCGGGATTGTGTCACAAGAGGGCGCAAGTCAAAACATGACTCGGTAACTTTGGTATTGAAACTGAGAACCAGAATATTGTGTTTATCTTTGTTCTGTTTTTTTTCAAAATAAACAGCATTCACAGAGCTCAAATTTCATCAGGTTGGTTATTTAGCATCCGTCTTTAGATTTTGAGCAGTTTGTACAAAATAAAAATAATAATACACAAATTACAAACGGTCTACTCTTCCTTTGAACTCTGAACTTCCTTTTCCTTTCAAGGGCATTCACTTGAATCATCGTACTTCATTTTTGCGTTTTGGAAATAAGGTCCACACCAATAAGCCATTTGCGTGTTAGATTTGAATAAAATCTGGAACGCTGACTTAATACAATGCTTTGCACGTTTTAACCTAGCATTCTCCCGACCAAAGAGACTGTTACTATATCACGTGATTCGGGGCAAGCCTTATGCTAGCAACCCCCAGCTCCGGCATGGTCTGGTGTCTTTGTGCCATTCTCACCCATTGTGAACGATGTATCGGTGCCGAGCGTCTCTTACGTAACTATGCAAGAGCTTGCCCCGAATCATGTGATTAGCAACAGTGTCTTTGGTCTGGAGAATTCACAGTTAAAATGTGCCAAGCATTCTGAGCAAGTCATTGTACCAGACGTTTTTCAAATGTAAATCCCAAAGGGTATAGGTTACTTGCAAATGGCTTATTGCAAAGGTTCACAGTATTATAACGTCAGCATTCTCAGTGCACACATCTACCAAGTCTTCACAAATGACACACGTAGACACTGTGGTTGATAGTGCACATGTACATGGAAAACTGTATGAGTTCATGTCTTTTAAGTCTGTACATGTAGATTTAGGAATAATCCACTTTATATACATTTGTACACATGCACAGAGAACCTGCATGTGATAAAATATAGAGTACCTGTTTTGTGTGACAATATTTGTGGTCACACAAAAATTCTGTCTATATTTCACATGCTGCAGAAATTTACCACCGCGCAGCACAGGTTGAAATTAGTTAAAATGTAAAACTGTAGAATACAAATGGAAGGTCGCCAAAACTTATTTTTCCTTCAAAGAACTTACGTGTAATATCATCTATCTTCCAAATTTGTTGGGTAATTTTTTTTAACCCCCCCCCCCCCTTAAGAAAAGGTCATTTATTATCTCACATTAATTCAAAGACCAACTCACAGTAAACAATTTAACAATAATCTTGCCGGGGTTCGTGTAAGTTTCTTTTGAATCTTCCCAATGTTTTTCTGTCGACAGCAAGGTAAAGCTGTTTTCTCGTCTTGAAAATTTAATCATGGTGTGCTTCGCTTATTCGGTTCATGCCAAGTGTGCAAAGAGCAAAAGTTAAATTCATGGAATTACAATGTACATTTATGTACCATAAGGTGTTCAAAAATTCAGTAAACATTGCTTTTCAGCATTAGCAATGCTGCATTGCTTTTCAGCATTAGCAATGCTGCATTGCTTTTCAGCATTAGCAATGCTGCATTGCTTTTCAGCATTAGCAATGCTGCAAACCTAAAAAATAGCATACACGACTTCCCATGTTTTACTTCAATAGGGCACCCGGTACCTGTACTACCCATAAATGCACACCACTACTCAGAGAAGATGTGGCTAAGAATTGGATTTAAAATTGAACATTTATAGGTCAGCTTTGAATGGATGTCATGACAATATTTTTTTTTGGGGGGGGGGTTGGTAAAAGGGATATGATAAAATTTAATTTAGTCTGCCACAGTGACTCTGCCATAATATTGCGTTTTAATTGTGCAATCATTGAAATCTGTAATGTGTCACTGTTTTGATATTTTTTGCAATGGTATTGCTTAATTACACGAGGGGCACTTTGTATTGTCTTTCCATCGTTACGTAAGTCCAGGACTAAACTAAAGTTTGGTCTTTAATCTTCCATTGTAATCATTGGCTCTTCCCAGTTCTATGAATACAGGATCATAAATATCACAAAGAACTGCTGTTTGAAACAAAGAAAAAAGCTTAGTGTTTAATGTGTTTATGTGATACATGTAGTATTTAGAGTATATAAATGATAGTGAAATGCATAAAAGGAAAGTTGAGATATCACAAGCATAGCCGGGTAAAGTTTATGCCATTCGGTTTTTTGCATTTATTGCACTTTGCTCAACTACAGCCTGTGCCCAATTCTGTCTCATTTTGCCAAGAAAGTTCCTTACAAAAATGGGATAACATTAGGGTTAAGGCAGGAACCCCCCCCCCCCCCCTGTATTCAATATAAGCTTTCGTTTTATGGGGCTCCATATTTTTGATAATAAAAATTAAAAAGTTACACTTCTTGAGTGAATGAAAGTGTAGATTTGTGCATACAGAGAGCTGTATATTTTGAGAGAGAAAAAAATCACTGTGCTAAAAAAAGTAAATGTTTACATTTGTAAAAACAGTTATCGGTATTAACGTCTGTGTGCTCACAGCAAAGCAGTGTATATGTAGCACATGTGTAATTATTGTACATGTTATTTAAACATCTCAAATGGAATAGTTTGTGTCATTGATAAAAGCCGTCTTTGGCTTCGCGTGTATAATTTCTGCAATGTCCAATTTTCATAACCAAATGTATGTTGTTACTTAATTTGTTGAAGAACGCCCACAAGATGTACTGTTGGGGTTGTGGAGATTAAAGTGACAAAAGTATAAGTTGTGGCCACTGCAAAGCTACCATATTGTGAGTTCTAATTGTGGTTTTATTGGAAAATCCTCATCTGAAATTTGGACACAAAATCCGTATATAAATAAACAAGAAAATCGCTGTCCATATCAAAAACTTTCAGCATTCAAGCACATACATGTACCTATCTATTCTTGGGTTGCCTCAGAAATTACAACGAAATGAGTCTTGAACGCTAGTCTTTGTACACTAGTGAGAACACACGAGTCTCCATTTTTTCAAGTCTCCAGTTTCTCGTACAAACTTTTTGAAAAAAGGATGTGAAGTTGAACCTTTTTTTTTTTTTTTACCAATGACCAATGTTTTTCAAAACATCCACAGCTTTCGTGTGATTTCTTTCCAAGAAGGTGGATGATGGATTTTTTACTCAAAATTATCATCTTTTTTCCAAGACAAGCCTTTTGACCTCAAAATGGCTGCTTATTCACGTTGGAAAAAGTATTTCAACACAAGATATTTGTGATGGTGAAAATATCAGAAAGTTGTGAAAATTTTTAAAAAAATTGACGTGACAGGCAAAAGGATTGAGGCTGGGACGAGAAACTGGTATTTTTTTATTTAGCCTTATAAAAAGCTTGCAAAGAGCGCCCCCACTGTGTTGTGGACAGGTTGTTCCTCTGTGTACAATGGCGCACCCAGGATTTGGCTGCCTTGGGGGGGGGGGGGGCTCACAAGTTAAAACATTTTCAAAACATTTTGCCAAAATTTTAGGCCGCAGAAAAAAATTGTTGGGGTTTTTTTTTGGGGGGGAGGGGACTATTTTGACGTTGGTGGCGCCACTTACACCCAGGGTGACCGTTTTAGCCGATTTTCGGCTAACTTTGACAGAATTTTTTGTAAAAAAATGAGTTTGACAGAATATTTGACAGAATGGATTTTTTTGGCAGATTTCTGGCAGAATTCTGCAAAAATGGTAATTTGACAGAAAAACAGCAATGTTGAACAAAAAATGGAACGTGTTTTAAAAAAGCTTCAATCCTTTCAACAAACCCTTGCATAGTAATGGGACAGGTTGGCTGGTCTATAGGTGCTGAGGTTAACTGGGAAATTTTGTGGCCGGATCTGCGTTTTGACCGAAATTTACGCAATAATTTCATAACATCTTTATGTGACTATAGATTGTTTAATGTAATTTGAACCTTAATTAAGTCAATACTACCAATCTGCGTGTGATTTAAGTGTTTATAGTGTATTTCGAGTAATTCTGGGGAATTTGGCAGATTTGTTTTCTTTGTGCATTTAGCAGAATTTGGCTCTGACCTTACGGTCACCCTGCATGCTTACACCACTATTATACTATTATAAAATAGGCCAATACATATCACCAAGGTAAAATTGTTGGACTAAAATAAGCCCCCCGAGCCCCCCCCCCCCCCCCCCTCCTTTGGGTGCGCCACTGTGTGTGTACTGTTACATAAGTAAACACTGTACTTTCATTGGCAATGAATTTAAACTTACAAAAATGCCCACATAGAGGGCGCCCTGTGCAGGTTTCCTGTATGGCCGCGTCTGAATTTCTTGGCAACAGCTGGACTTGAAATAACACACACGTGTCTATGAGAAGTGGCTGCAGCCGCTGCCATAGACGCGTCTGTATTTTCCAGCCATGGCTAAGTAATTCAAACACGGCCTTTACTAGCCCAGCCTAGGTATCAATTGTGCATATGTGTACATGGTGAAAATCTGAAATAATGATAAAAATGAAAATCACTTGCCTGTATCCTGAGTTCTGCATTGGCTTGAAAGTTGAATGCAGTAGTGCCAACAGCTTTAGAGGTGGTTGTTCTTACTTGCATATTTACTTTCCCTGTAGCTAGAGGTGGTTATGGGACCTCTTTTTAGGCCTCTTGTCTACCAACTTTCATTCACCATTTTGGGCCAAGTTCCATAAACCTTTTGATCTTTGCACTGCATTCTGGGTATGGATCACAAACATGCAATGCATTTTATGCACAAATTTACCTATGGCGCAGGGAACCAGTCAAACTTTAAATAAGTGTTTTCTTCAAAGTATTTACCAACATTAACCTGATCTTTAATTCACATATTTATGCATGGAAAATAAGTCAAAATTTGAAGAAGAAAAGCAATTTTTTTTCAACTTTAGAAAAGAAGAAATAATTTTGAAATTTCTTTCAAGGTACCAGTCATAAGGCTGTGATGTGATTGGCTAATGTTAGATGAGAGAGCTTGAAATCTTGATTCTGATTGGACCATAAGGCTCTTCCAGTTTATATAGGGTCATATATATTTCAGAATGCAACTCCCAAAAACAAGGATTCCTCAAAAGCTTTCTTGAAAACATGTGTGTAAGAGGCCTTACAAAGTGACTATTTCAAATTCACAAAATGCAACGATGTAAACAATTAGATCAATCAAATTTGGATCAAATGAAAGGTTTCACTGGTTCACTGCCCCCATAGGTTTGTGCACATATTGCCTGATTTGTATGTCATCCTTACCCAGAATGCATTGCAAATTTCAAAAAGGTTTTGTCCTGCGTCATTTTTTAAACATCGGCTTTATCTCCAGCGTTGGCTTAAGTTTAAGTGGTCTAATTTTAAGTACCAATACTCGAGATGCCAGCTGATTAAGGGTTAGCCCATCTGCTGCAGCAAATCCTGTTACAGAAAGCCAAAGTTTGTAGTCTTTAGTTTTCAATGAAAGCCTGTGAAAATTCCTACAGAGACATAGCCAAATTCAGGGACGCATCCATGGTTTCAGAAATGCTGTGGTATCTGAGAAAGACACTATGTACTTGGTAGAAGTGTTGCAGATGAATAAAGCTCAGTTGTTGACACGGAACCATGGTAACCGCTGTGGTCTTAAAAAACTGATTCGATTTTTTTTTTTTCTAAAAAAATTCAAGAGTTTTTGGATCAGGAGAAAGATCAAATGCCACAAAAATCAAATTGACACAAGTATTTTTGGTCTTAAATACAATATATTTAATTTTGATTATTCATGACATATTTCTTTGAATTTTAGTACTATATTTACAATTTCTGTCTATTAAATACTACTTGGGATGAATACTACTACAGCTGTCCAGACAAAATCCAAAATAATTGAACTTAAAAAATAATTAAACACAAAGACATTACTACGATAAAAATAATCTCTCAGCATGTACATGAATAAGTTCTGTTAACTCAGGTCCAATGTAAACAAAAATTGAAAACTTAGTTAAAATTTATCAACGGAATTACTTCCGAAGTTCAACTACCCATAAAATGGGGAGGATTTTCTGAATTAAACCCCAGGATTTGTTCGAGTTGGCCCTCGAACTAATTTTTCTGGGGACTGGCAAAGTAGGTCTTTTGGTCAGATAAGAAGTAAACGGGGGGAGTCAGGTTGGCGTAGCGGTATACTCAAAACTCCTCAGGGATTTTGAGGACATCCGTGAAGTTTTTACATTTGCTTATCTAGCTCCCAGACTTATGTTCTTGAAACTCAATGGTTCTTGAGTCTGGAGTGCTGAATGGTAACACATAGCAACGGATGAAAAACTGGTGTGCATGTGAACAGATGCTTATATGGGAAGACGTCAGCCCCCCCCCCCCCCATAGTAAGAGTTTTTCATTAGAACCGTCAATTGTTGGCTACAATAGGAGCAACTGAAATTGTGTGTCAACAAATAACGTTTCACAGTTCTGCAGCACTATTTGTACATTTGAGATGCTTTAAATGAATGTAACTTCTCTACCGATGACCAACTTAACACAACTCAGGCCAAGTTCAGGCAAGGACCATTAGTCGACTAGTGGTTGATTTGTGACGTATCTTACGCCTGCGCACTGATAGCAACGTGCGAACGTCTCTAGTCAAACGCTGGTCAAAATGTCATTGCAAAACTTCTGGATCCTGGCTCCCTGCTAGCGTTATGAATGCGCGCGGCTATTGGTTACCAGCGAAGCAACCAGCCCCAGTAGGCTGGTTCCAAATAGTCGACTAGCGTAGTCAACCACCGTCGACTAGACAGAGTTCGGGCAAGCGTTAGTTAACCATTGGTCAACTATAGTCCTTGCGCGAACTTGGCCTATGTACAGAAGTTAAATACCAACCAAAGGTTGCAATGTACTGAAAACAACTTTAGCCGGTAACCAATAAAAGCTGCAAAACAAATAACCTTTACATACCAGCAATTTGTGGTCATAGATTTGAGATGGTTTCGACGACTGTTCCGAAAACTCCCAATGACGAAGCTGACACAACTCAGTACAGAGGCAGAATACCAGCCAGAGGTTATATGTACAGGATAAACTTTAGCTGGTAACCAATCAAGGTTTTTGGCAAAATGCCTTAAATAACAGAATATCTAATAAAGTCTTTGGTTAAAAAAGTACAGGTCAAAATTGGACTGAACTGTACCAGATGTGTTTCTGAACATAATTGGACAATTTCATTTATAGTAGTTTTCTTTAATTAAGTTTGAATACATTTAACTGATCAAAATCGTCAATAAAGTAATTTGAATTGCATTTAGGGCAGTCTCCTAGCAACCGTACCATGGCAACGAAAGGCTTCTTCAAAACCCTACTTAAGTACTTTTGGAGTCCAGTGAAGAATTCTTCCGTCATGTAATCTGAACATAATTGGACAATTTTATTTAAAGTAGTTTTCTTAAATTAAGTTTGAATACATTTAACTGATCAAAATCGTCAATGAAAAAAAATTGAATTGCATTTAGGGCAGTCTCCTAGCAACCGTACCATGGCAACGAAAGGCTTCTTCAAAACCCTACTTAAGTACTTTTGGAGTCCAGTGAAGAATTCTTCCGTCATGTAATCACGTCGTCATCTTGCTCGAAATTCGGCTGGTTCCTTCTTGACGAAATACCCACTAGCTTGTTGCCATTTACTGTAGGAAAGAAACCAAAATAGTCATATAAGTCGGAACTGTGTTTAGCTTCTTTTCAAAAAAATATCTGATCAGCATAAACAAATTACCCGCAAAAAGTCTCGTAGTTATAAAGGATATACGCATACGCACAATAAAAACAACCGCAGGTGTGTGCGTCGTGTCAATGCTTGCATGCACCCATTCACAGCGGAAATTTCCAAAACTGTGTCATTTGACACATCTTTGGAAATTACCGTCTGTTATTGTTTTCTTCAAAATGACAGCATGCCAGAAGGAATAATTTCACAGGGAGTTTAGTGTCATTACTATCTTTAAAGCTATAGTCCATCATTTGCAGCTATCCGAAAAGTAACGGCGTAATTCTTGTTGAAAAACATACTTAGTTTGAAAGATAGTAAGGGGACAAAACTCCCTGTGAAATTATTCTTTCTGGAAAGCTGTCATTTTTAAAGAAATCAACAAAAGAAGGCCTTTCCAACGGTGCTTCTTAAGAGGCACCGTAGGAAATTTAAATTAGTAGTTTGTTTTTGTTATTCGGCGAAGCGCGCGCAAGCACTGGCACGACGCACACGCACGTGCGGTTGCTATAATTCGTCAGATCAGTGCGCGACATCGCGTAGCTGCAATCGGCTCAGTGAGAACGTGTCTCGGACGCTGAATTCAGGCCCAAATTCAAAACATGAATCAGCAACTTTTGATTTGAAATTGAGATCCTAGAATGCCGTTTTTCTCGGAATATACAGCTGAAGCTGAGCTGAAACTTCATTAGGTAAGTTGTTCAGTACCCTTCTTTAGATTTTGAGCACTTTTGTTGCTTCAAACGAACAAAATGCACAAATTACAAATGATGGACTATATCTTTAATATTACATGTATAAAAAGAACTGGGGTATTTATGAATGCAGCACAACATTTAAAATAAGAACAAAAGAGTTCCACACATGTTCAAGTTAAAACAAATCATTTACGTGAGGACATTTCCAGTGGGCTCAATCTGGGACTGATTCGCTCCGGTAGGGGGTCCAAGGTGGGCTGGTGAGGGGGTCGCGAGAGGGGTCGTTGGTTCATTGTGGACGCCCATGAGGGCACCGGCAGGGGACCAGTCATTCCTTCAATGGGACCGTCCAGGGGTAACGGTGCCAACTTGTTGTTCTTCTTTAATTTCTTCTTTTTCTTCTTCTTCTTCTTTTCGGGGATTTCTGATGAAATTTAAAAATATATAACTTTGGTTAATAAAAGAAGATAACACACCCTTAGATGCAATGCTAGCAATGCTGCAAACCTGGAAGATGGCAATCAGGGATTTGAGAGGATGTAGCTTAAAAATGGAAGGAACTTGATAGATTGAGTATTTGAAAAAGTGAATTCAAATTGAAGTCCCCAAATTGAAATTGTCTCAACTTGCATACAGTGGTTATAAAAAAGGTATGTTGAAGAAATGCAAAACCCATTATCTTCAAGCAAACTTGAATTCTCGATTCTGATTGGTCGACCCATTGCAACCACACAGTCCATATCGCACTCCACGTGTCGCGCTATTCTAAGATGCGCGCACCATTTCTGCTGCACAAACATGTAAAAAGATAACCGTTGAAAAGATTGTGTGCAGCGTACATGTTCCATCTTTATTGTACGTCAAGTTTGCTTGAAGAAATTTCTCAGTTGGGCCAAGAAGTAAGAGCACAAATAAAATAAACAATACAAATATAAGGTAAACAGAGAGTTTCTTGCATACCCTGAGGTGAGACAACATCGCCTTCCTCTTGCACCGTTGATGCAGCCGTTACCCCCTCCTCCGATACCTTCTGGCCCCGCCCCTCCCCTGTCTCTTCATCACCACTGTCCTTCATGCCATTGTTCTGTGAGACCCCTCTCAATCTCGCCTCTACCTCCACAGTCCTGTCAACATTCTTGGAGTGTCCAGATGCATCGGGCGACTGTTCCGTTTCTCCAGAGTCTTTAGTTTTGGTTATTTCCTCTTCTTGGTCCAGTTTTTCCAATTCTAGTTTCTTTTTCTTCTCCTTGGCTTTCTGCTTTTTGGATTGTTCACTCTGGATTAAGAAAAGAAACAAGAATAAAGCCTTTGAAAATCTGGCAATTTCCGCAGCATTTTCACCAAGCTTATGCAGGAGATTATCTGCCTATTTTGGTTATTAACCAAATGACACGTGGATATAATGAGGGATTATCCACTGGTCACAAGTGGCAAAAGATTTGGTGATTATCCAGGGTAGGTAAGATAATTCAAGAGATAATCCACTGATGACACATCATGAGATAAATCTGGATTACATACTGGTTGGGATTATCCACTATTGGGGATTAAAATAGGGATCATCTTTTGGAGGCAAGTGACTGCGAGGTTATCCACTGGAGATAAGGTACCATGAGATTAATTGGGAATTATCCACTATTGGGGATTAAAATAGGGATTATCTTTTGGAGGCAAGTAACTACGAGGTTATCCACTGGAGATGAGGTACCATGAGATTAGTTGGGGATTATCCACTATTGGGGATTAAAATAGGAATTATCTTTTGGAGGCAAGTGACTGCGAGGTTATCCACTGGAGATGAGGTACCATGAGATTAGTTGGGGATTATCCACTATTGGGGATTAAAATAGGGATCATCTTTTGGAGGCAAGTGACAGCGAGGTTATCCACTGGAGATGAGGTACCATGAGATTAGTTGGGGATTATCCACTATTGGGGATTAAAATAGGGATCATCTTCTGCAGGCAAGTGACAGCGAGGTTATCCACTGGAGATAAGGTATTATGAGATTAGTTGGGGACTGTCCATTTTGGGGGATAATCCAGCATAATCCACTCACCTTTTCATCCAAGTATTCCTTGTTGACAGGCTTGAAGGGATCTCCCATGATGACATCTTCCTCATCCTCATCCGGCGGCGCATCCTGACCAAGACGTTTCCGTTCTTCCTCTTCTTTACGCTCTCTGAAGGAAATTATTTTATAAGGTTTAAGTCACAGGTAAGCTGTGGCAAATTTCACTGTAAGTGTTTAGTTACATCAAATTCGTTTTGAATTCACTGAATATGAACTCGCCTTTATTATTTTAAAATTACCTTAACCAATGCAACAACGTGCAACACTTAGCCTGCCAAGTGTAACATGATCAAAAATGTCAAAACAAATATCAAGGCCAAACTGCGTCAGAGTCTCTGGTCACCAACTGCAGCAGGATACAACTGTGGCATTGTACAATGAGACTAGCTCTCAATGTTTCAGAATTGGCTGTTTATGCACTGGTGTTGATGGCTCAGTGCAGCAAGCTACAACAGATTTTTACCACCTGATGCACTGTGTAGCATCTGGCAGGGTTTGGGATGATCAGTTGATGGGGCTGTGCTCATCTCCCTTTGATTTTGTCTTCGTTCTTCTTTGGATTTTTTTGCTGGACAATAATTTTCCGAACAACGCATACACTTCAAACTTGGTATGAACATCAACCTGGATGCAGAGATTGGGCTGTGCCCGTCACCCTTTGGTTTTGTCTTTGTTTTTCTTTTGAATATTGTTTTGTTTTTTTGGGACAACTATTTTAATTACATGCACATGTACTTCAAACTTGGTATGAACATGCATCAGGCATACAACTGTAACGTCATGATCACGTCATCATTTAGGACACGAATGCTGACGTCTGCATTTGTTGATGTTAGGCATCTGATGCTGTGACTTCATCAAACCGGAAGTTAAATGCCAATCAATACACACAAATAAACTTTCGTGTAATTCAAAGAAAACTTGTTCCTTTCACTGTCTTCCGTCACGTGGTAAAATGCCTACACTGGTCAATTAATCACACAGATTGATAATTTCTGCCATTTTTACACGGACACTCATAACTGAACTGAAACAACGTACAACCAAATGCCAGTGTTGCGCCTCATCTCCCTGTGTTTGTGACAGAAACATATGTGACCTGTTCTGTCAAAAGCAGACGCTTCTGGGCAGAGGTTGAAATTGAGATAGGGCCAAAAAACGCTGTGGGGGTGATTTTTTTTCCATTTTCTAATTTTTGCATATTTGTAATCCTGAGCACGTCTAAATTATACTATAAAAGTTTGAAACCCTAATTTGATCTCTAATTATAGTATTTTTGATGATTTGTTAAGGTATATCGGTTAAAGAAATGTCTGTTTTGTGACGTTCGTGTCCATTTTCTCTGTTTTCTACTTTTCGACCCAATGAACTTCAAAATAGCATAACTTTGCGCAGGAATGACCGGTTTCAAAAATTAAACCACCTATTAACAGGAAACAGAACATATTGTAACAATATGCAAAAATCTCATTTTTGACCTTATGTCCAGAAAAGTCTGATTTTGACAGAACAGGTCACATATGTCAGACGTCTACTTAGTTATAGAAATCAGTGTATGGAAATCTAAACCATCTTCAGTACCTCTCTTCTCGTCTTTTTCGTATCCGTTCCAGTTTAGCTTTCTTCTCGATAGCTTCAGCTTCTTTTTGTTCCTCCATCTCCCTGGCCATGCGGGCGCTCAGCGTGGGCCAATCCCTGAGGATGCCGTGAAGTAGCCACTCTAGTCCGACAGACACAGACTTGTCCATCTTCTTGCCGGTGCCCTGCATGGCCGAGCACGTCTCCTATAAAGGAAAATACAGAAGTATTAATGCAACAGTGATCACGTGGGCCTCATGTAGCTATTTGTTCATCAGGCCATGAGACCAGTTTTCTTCAGCAGCTCGAAATCAGCGCAATCTGGTCTCTATCCTCACAGGTACCCATTTTTCTCTGGGTAGAAGTAGGAGATTGTGGTAAAGTGTCTTGCCAAAGAACACTAACACCTTATCACTCAAGGGATCAAATATGTGTACAATCGCACCTACCATCAAACATGAATTGGACACTGAACCCATCAGACCACGGAGCTCCATCGAACTCTGTAATTTTATAGTCTCTACCCTAGTAGGTTCACAACCATATATAGCCTGGGCACAAAGAGGCAATTGTGGTAAAGTGTCTTGCCCAAGAACACAAATACCTCATCCAGGGATCAAATCCGTGTACAATCGCACCTACCATCACACACAAGTTGGACACTTAACCCATGGAACCATGGTGCTCCATTGAACTCTGTAATTTCACAGTCTCTACCGTAATAGATTTACAACCATTTATTGCCTGGGCACAAAGAGGCAATTGTGGTAAAGAGTCTTGCCCAAGAACACAAACACCTCATCTCTCCAGGGAGCATATCCGTGTACAATCACACCTACCATCACACACGAGTTGGCCATTGTACCCATTCAACCATGGCACGCCATACTGTGATTTCATTGGTTTAGAAGGGTCACATGTCCAGTATGTAAAAATAATCAAAGTACGTACCACACGACACGGACATTTACTGTCGTTGACCATGTCCTCTAGATTGAGTTGATCGCAGATGTCAATTTCATCAAGAGCGCCCTCTTTGTCCTGCTTGTTGGCGAGGCTGCGCAAATAAACAATGTAAATCACCCGATTGTTGAAATTACTTAATGCCTGGTATGAAATGCTTCAATTTTACACAGAGCTAAGCATAAAGATACAATATTATCAATTATTATTTATATCAGGATTCCAAGTAGTACAAAAATAATCAGTGTACATTTGTACTGCATTCTATCGGAGAAGCAACCGGATGACTATTCAATATCGGATTTTTTTGCACAGTTTTCAACAAAATTGAGAGCTTCCAGCAGTGCGAGATTTCGCTCCAGGAAGTGAACAATGCGATACAATTTTGAGAAAAAAAGACACCGAAAACATCTTGAAAGCAACCACAAGGCTGCACATATTCTGGCCGAGAAGAATATACCGACAGAGTCCGAGACAATGGATAAGCTTACGCTAGCAGTTATTTCGTCAAAGTTCCAAGTTAGCGTCGCAAGTCAGCATCACTGAATTAACTTCAAGTCATCCTGATATTAATAGTGTTAATAGTATTGGATAGCCTTTTTTTAAGGGGACACAAGAATATATTGCACTTGCTGTAACAATGCTGCACGAGTCTATATTGTTATAGCTGGTGCAATATATTCTTGTATCCCCCTCAAAGCCATCCAATATTATATCATTATCATATCTGAACTAGTCAATAATCAAGTTATCAGAGAGAATAGTAATGAAATACCCTGACTACAAGCCAGTTTATACTTCATTCTAATGTAAATACGAAACAATTTTGACATCACAAAATATTTGCAGTGACATTGCTAGAGTTGAAATGTGTGCAACTCTCTTGCAAAATCACAGTCCAAAAACCTGACGAATTTGTGTACATGCATTTGCAACGCAGTGTGTAAATTTGACCCAAAGTACGAGTTCACTTAAACTTACATTAGAATACGCTTGCCAACGATCCTCTCCTGTTTCAAAACTTCTTGTAGAACCTCTTGGCACTCCCGTAACCTGGCTTCATCGCTCGCATCAATCACGAAGACCACGCCATGAATCTCGGCGTAGTAGTTCTTCCAGATCGGACGGATCTTCTTGCCCCCACCGAGGTCAAAGACGGTGACGTCAAACTTCTCAAACTTGAACTGGACATTGCAGAAGCCAACGGTAGGGGCCACGTCTTCTTGCGATTCTGTAGGAAGACCCAAAAAATGTCGGTGAAGGGCAAAAACCAATATTGAATTAACATCATCCCGATGCAAAATTCCATCTTTTAAATAGTTGTGGTACCCGCTGCTATATCAGATTCGAACCAGCCAGCCGACCCTGGCAAGCTCGGTGGTAAGACGTCTGCACTAGTAAGTAGGAGGTCGTGGGTTCGAGTCCCACCAGAGTGGATTGTGAATTTTTTCTCACAATCACTTGGGACAACACTGAGTATACAGTGTTTATGAAAATATGTCGGCAAAGGGCAAAACTCAATATTAAACATGTAGGGAAAAAGTAAAACAAAGTAAGACAAGAAATATCAATAAACAAGTAGGAGTAAAAATCCCCTTGAATTCGCACCGAAATACCATTGTTAAAAAATATATATTATTTCACATAAATTTACTTATTCTCACAAAAGCAACTTCAACAATTAACAGTTGTAAAAATGTCCATATTTATTATAAAAATTCAACCTTATGATAATAGCATGAGTATAACACAATGTTTATACCTGTCGATCTCAATTGAAATTTAAGACAAAAGTAATCTGAAACCCAACTTGAAGAATGAATAAAAACAAATTAAATAACGAAAAAAATGAAAACTGAAAAAATCCTTATGCTTTCCAAATTTTTGTTTTCGGACACAAAATTAAAAGTTTCATTCTCTTGACCTTATGGTTGTGTCAGAGTTCCTACATCCAAACTATGACAATCCAAATAGAGTTGGGGAATATCTAACTTAAGTTGGGACAATACTAGCCCCATAAATGTGGCCAATTTACTGGACTACCTCCATAAATAAAGGCCACACTTCCACCATGTACAAAAACAGTCGAACTTTGTCAAATTTTGATTTTCACATTTAGGCTTAGTTTGTAGTTTATTTTTGCTTTAGAAGCATACTCACCCTCTTTATGGGCTAATCAGAAAGTGCTGCCTTTTTCAGATGTCAATTTTTCGTGAAATTTCCAGATTCGTTTGCACACATTTGCGTATCAAAATTTCAACATGAAATTTCACAAAAATTAGACATCTGAAAAAGGCAGCACTTTCTGATTAGCCTATAAAGAGGGTGAGTATGCTTCTAAAGCAAAAATAAACCACAAACTAAGCCTAAATGTGAAAATCAAAATTTGACAAAGTTCGACATGTTTTTGTACATGGTGGAAGTGTGGCCTTTATTTATGGATGTAGTCCAGTAAATTGGTCACATTTATGGGGCTAGGACAATACCATAGTTGGGGCGGAACATAACCAATATTTTACCTCCTTGAATCCCCAATATTGTTGTTGTTTTTCCAGCATTGTCGAGACCAATAAGCGCCAAAGTCACTTTCCTATTGGAGAAAGGGGAAATAAAATTAATTTGTTGACAATGTTTTTCATGAGACACAGTATCTATCGATGTCATTTTCTGACACTTGAGTGCAGTGTTTAGAAAGTTTAAGAAAGTTAGCTGTTTTGTTGAAAAATATTCAATATAAAAGCTCAATGACTGTCTAAAATGACTCAAAATCAACTGCAAAAAAGGGCTTTATTCAGGATAAAAAGCAACTTGTTGTTTGAGAAAATTAATATCATTCAACGGAAACAATATTGCAACCTGACGCCACTTTTTTTTCTTCATATACTACATGTATACATATACATGTAGGCCCTATCAATGTCAATGAAGGTCATTCATTGCACAAATGATGATAAGACATGAGTCTGGGACTGAGAAAAATTTCCAATTTTGTTAGGAAAATGTTCTTGTCTCTCCATACTTTGTACACAATCGCGAAAGTGGCATCAGGTCGTAAATTTTTTTCCCATTCAACTTTAATTTACTTTTCTTATGATGCAAACTCCTTTTTTAAAGTTTTAAATATTGACAATTGTACAAAAAAATTACATAACATTTTATGCAAATGCTCGTCCAAAAATAAGCAACTTACTTGAATGGTTCTCGCTTCTTTTTTATCCACTGGAAACAATTCGCCATCAGGCTAAACATTCCCTTCCTAAACAAAATGTTTAAAAAAGAAACAAATATTTTCGTTTTCCAGTTTCTTTTTTATTGTTTTGCATTAGGCCTAATAAAACATGGACGTACATGACTGATTGATAAACATATAACTTTGCAGCAAATCTATGACTGAAAACATTCAAAATTGAGCGGAGTTAAAAAAAAACTCAGTCTTAGGCTCTTACCTCAATATGCAGCCAAAAAAAACCCACACACACACGGCAACGATACGGTGCAACCGGCGCGGCCGGAGCGGAGGCCAGCGGCAGCAACACAACGATTTTTTTAAGGCCTACATCACGATGAATCTCGTGTTGTGACTATAAACGGAAACACCCGATAAAACAAAAGTTTGGAGACGAATGCAAAGTCAAAAAGTCGTCCTTTTATATTAACAATTCAATAATTATTCGAAGAAATACTGCGGTTTCGGCGCTTTCTCTAGTACTTTTTTCCCAAGCGATCGAAGAAAAAAAAAGATGATTGAATTTGTGTAGGATTTGCTATGTCGATGTCACAAAAGATGTTATCGTGACACAGCATATGTGAGAGTCTGGGTGCCAGACGAGATAAATAAACCTATGATTAGTCACGTGATTATGTTTTGTTTCCGCAGCAACATCAATCAAGGTGAAATAAATATTGCTTTTTTATCCCAATTTCATTTCGAATATTGACAAAACGTTTGAAATAATAATCTCCAATGTGTAATCAAGACATTTTGCTTGTCAAAATGACGGAAATACTCCAATTTCAATCATTTAAACCTTACAAAAAATATCACGGCCGATGAAATTTTCGTCTGGTTCTTTTACCATTAAATCACACAAATACATGTATCTGGGTTCAGGTACTAGGAAAATGAATAGCGCCCTCTGGACTAGCCAACCTTTTCGTTCATTTCTGTACGAAGACATGATGCCTACTGAAGTCATTTTACTTGATTTCTACGGTGAAATTTCAATATCCCACATTGTAGTTAAGAAATTATTTGATTACCAACCGTCAATGTGTCATAATCGAAATGGCTCAATGGTACACTACTCATAATGTCATATTTCTACACAAGGCATTGTGCAACACGGTGGCCGAGTGGTTAAGGCGTTAGACTTAAGTTCTAATGGACGTAAGTCCTCATGGGTTCGAACCCCATCCGTGTTATAAATTTTGAGTATGCTGATTTTATTAAATTCCTTCACTTCATTTCGACAATTTACACTTCTAAATGAATATCTAGGTGTTTTAAACAATGTGCGGCCTTTTCTTCGTCCGAAAATACTGTACAAATACTCAACATGAGGCGAAACATTTCAAATGCAACATGGCCTGGGCGGCTAGATAACCAGCGTACAGCGAAGAAGATCATGGGAGGCAATTTTCTTTATACATGTACTTTTGTAGTTACAAATACATGTACATGTAACTGTAAAACAAACCAAAACAAGTCCTACTCCTTACTAGGGGGGGGGGGGGGGGGGGGGGGGGGGCTACTAACACAGTGTGTCATGTGTGGTCTTGTGTAATAGCGCCCTTATGTGGTTTGTATTGTTGATAATACAGTAACCACATGAGGGCGCTATTACACAAGACCATACATGACGCAGTGTATGTACAGTATGTTCAAAAAAAGTACAACTGTACTTGTACACGTAGTATTGTAGGCAGGCGTACACGTACTACGTGTACAACATTAAAACTTTGTAAGAAGCTGGCGATGGCACATCTGAAAGCAGTGAAGCATAAAATTGTACTCAACCACAAAACAATAAAATCATCGAATCTTTGGGTTTTTCGGGCTGAATATTTTGGGCGATCCTTGTTATTGATTGGTTTGGCAGTATTTACGTTTTGAGAGTTGTCCGAACTTGAAGAAAATGCAAGGAAATGAATTACATATCAATGTGAATACCTTCCGTCACTAGGTGGCGATCTTGCTCTTGCCTGTCACTTTAGTTTTCCCCGTTGCTTCTATAATCGTTTTAGGGCTGAAGAAAAAAAAGTGGGTGGAGACAAAACCAACACTTTTAAAAGGTGGGGGGTGCTCTCTTCACCTTAATCCCCCCCCCCTCCCCTCCCCCCCCCAAAAAAAAACCCCACACACTTCCGCTGCCTCATTGTAAGCTGACTATAGCATTAATTAATGTGTATGTAAATTAATAATGTTTAATCGACTCTCTTGAAAAGAAAAAGGGGCGGATCTAGTTATCAGGAAAAATTAAGGGGGGAAAATAAAGGGGGTGGGGTTGGTTCTAAAACACCCACTGCTAAAGGGGTCCGGGGAAAAAAATGAAATATACGTTGATTTTTCCTACATTCTAAGGTAATTCAAGAATAAATTTAGGAACTTCAGAATTCCATTTATTATTTGTCGCCCATACAAGTTATAACAATTTAATACATGTAATTGCAATAGCGCAATAATTAAACGTGCTGATTGTAGGCGGGCGTGGACACAATCATCCATGATCTAGCTCCTAGACCCATTTCCTTGAAACTCAATATGGTTCTTGAGTCTGGAGTGCTGAATGGTAACACATAAAAACCAATGAATACGCTAGTTCTAAGGAAAAGACGTTTTCATCTGCTTGACTGACACTGACATAACAATCCCACGCCTATAAGTCGTGTGATTTCATTGGATGTCTTTTTTTTTTCCTTCAAAATTTGGGAATGGATCCTTGTAAACCAATCATTATACATTTCGCAGTTTTGTATCGTTATCTTTTAAAATATAATCTTAAAAAGAACATATATATTCTTGGACGAAAATGTCAGCAACTTAGACTAGATATTTTTAACATAGAAGTTAACGGTTATAAGTCAGAACTTTATACAGCTGAAATAAATAGGCATGTTCGATCATATATAAACTACACGTATATACTGCTATTTAATAAAACAACAAACAATTTAAATTGGCTTTATAATATTTTTGCTGTAACACACAAAGAGTGAATAATTTGTTAAGGCTAAGTACGTGCAGTTACTACATCACAAGTCGATTACTTTTGTTTGGTTAAATATTTTTGATTAAATACATGAAACATTTAATATCAACAACTTATATTTAAGGCGTGTAAGATCATTTGCATTTATCCCAAACTTAAACCTACCGAATTATTATCAAAAGCTTACCTTGATTAAAGATCGTACTGGTACTAAACACCCCATGAAATTATTCCGTCTGGCTTGCTGACATTTATAAGAAATCAAAAAATGTCAGTGATTTGTAACGATCAGTCAATTAGCTAATTTGTGGAATAAAGAGTGCTTATAAAGACGAAATCGTCTTTCGTGATCAAGAGGTATAGTGGGTTTTTCCCTGTTTTCTCGAAAAGTGATATCCACTGAGCTGAAACTTCAACAGGTTAGGTTTTGAACGTTGTTCTTTGGATTCTGAGTGGTGTTATTATTGGAAACGAACAAAATGCATTAAAAGCGAATGATCCTACATGCCTTTCATAAAGACAAGATTAATACATCATTACCTATAATTATATACTATATGTCTATTTATCACATTCAAAAAGGTCCCTTGAAAAGACCGGGGACGAATTACATGGAGCTACTGAGCACAGCACTTTGTTTAGCAAAAAAATGTTCTAAGCAACCGTCACATTCAAAAAGGCCTCTTGAAGAGACCGGGGACGAATTACATGGAGCTACTGGGTACAGCAATTTGTTTAGCAAAAAAATGTTTTAAGCAGAGACGGTTTACCAGCCAAAATCGCAAACAATCTATATAGCTCGTGACTGGTTCTCGTTAGACAAATAAATCTGCCAAATAAAGCAATACAATTTGCTTAGCAGCTCAGGAAAAGTTTGGTGCAGCTCGTGCTATAAGCCAAAGATTACAACCCATTCACCTATCATTTTATTTATGTCTACCTCCACACTGAGTAAACAGTGTTTAATAATAATAATAATAATAATAACAACTGTATTTATATAGCGCGTTTTGCCAGAGGATACAAAGCGCTGGGGGAGAATGCAACCAAAGCCAGGTAAATGAAGTATATGAACATATGAGACCCATTATGTAGCACCTTTTTGCTAGGTGCTGCGGCGCATAATTGCTGCCACTGCCAGAAACACCGAGGCGCGGCAAACCCCTCCTCTTAGCGACAAGTGTTACTGGGTTCTTTAACGTGCATTACACAACACACGGGACCTACGGCTTTACGTCCCATCCGAAGGACGAAGTGATAATGGTAAAGTGCCTTGCTCAATAGCACAAGCACCATGTTCCCACGGTCAGGATTCGAACCCGTGTACCACGGCACACGAGTCGAACACCGTAACCATTGGACCACAGCGCCCCACTAAATTAAACGACGGTGAAGGGCAAAACCTGTAACTTTATTTATATCTACCTCCAGTTTGCCAGTCGTTATCCAAGACTGGATCCCGGTCCCTCAAATGTAGGGACCGGTAGCGGGCAACGAATCCTGGAGGAATTGCTCCCGGTGTATGTAAATTAACCTGGGTCTGAATCCCGCCCTGGATACATCACAACGATAATGACACGCGGGGAACCAGCCTTGAGCCTTGGCTATCATTAATACGCAGTTTGTTTGATGACGAGTTTCAATTTCGCTGAATTTGAAGGTGTCTCTGGCAGTGGCGTAGCCAGGAATTTTTCAGTGGGGGGGGGGGGGGGGGGGGGCGCCGGGGCTTGAACATTTTATGGGGGGGGGGCGTCATGTACATCAATGATAATTTTTTTAGAAACTCAAAATCTCAGTGGGGGGGGGGGGCGACTGGGGGGCGACAAGGTTTCGTGTCGTCGCCCCCCCCCCACACGCCCCCCCCCCCCCCCGTGGCTTCGCCACTGGTCTCTGGCAACTATAGAGGGGCACTGCTTTTCAGTATTTGAAACCTATGCAGTTAAAATGCTTGAAACTTGCCTTCGTGCAGACACTATGGCGATTCTGCCTACTGGTAAGAGTCAGTTTTCCGATAGCCGTGACACTCAGTGTCGTCCATGCGCACGACTTTTGCAAAAAAAAAAAAAAAATCATACTGCGCACGCGCAACGGTGATCCAATCAAAGGATTTACATGAAAATACTAGTCCACATGGGCACTAGCTACCAGTGCCGCCAGTCGCGATACCTGCAGTTTTATGGCAAGCGCGGCCTGGTCGCCGCGGCAGTACTACGGAGGGCGCTATCGACAAGATGAATCAAGTCACGCCGATACTACGAAAAAAATTACAGGTGCGGTTTATTCAAGCATCATGCTATGGGGTACATGTGTATGATTAATTTTTTTTAGTTTCGACTGTGCCGAAGTTCCAGACTGGATTTCATTCATCTTTTTGATATAGCGACCTCTGCCGCCGCAGTCGCATACGAACAAAATCCAAAGCCATTCTTGAATCAAGAGTACTAGAGCCTGAAAGACTCCTGGTGGCGCGCTTCCGGACCCCTCGAACAGGAAAATTATACTAGCACTTAATATTTTGTGCTATAACTCCGACTTTTATGTTATAAAAGTCAGAGGTTTTTAGAATTGTTGTGTTGGTACATTT